ATATAAGTTACAGTGTAATTACACTATGATTGTACTATAATTACATCTGTCAAATTTTTAGAAGAAAATTTGTCGACAAATGTATAGGTGGGTCATGAATCATGAATCCATAAAGCAGGCCTGTTATGGGCTAGCCGACCCATCTCAGACATAGAGCCCAGTGATGGTTTATCAAGTTGTGTCCCGGTATAGAACTGCTATGCTCTCGCCTGCCTCTCCTCCGCTCTCCACAACACTTAGTAGGAGTATTCCTTTCATTTTAAAACTGAATGAAACATTATATGGTACACTTAGAAGTCTATCCAGATTTACTATATTGTATATTGTATAGTATCTTACTTAATCGTAGGTTGGTTTATTTAAAACGAAGGAAATATATTTTAAGATAAATAAAGTAGTACAATATTTCAGACCAGCTCAGAACAAAACAAAGCATCGTTGTCTTTGTCTTGCTTGGAAGTTCAAATTCCTATCCTACTTTTCCTATTTAAAACTTTTGACGTTTAGAATTTATATAAAAAATAGCTACCTTTAAATATTTGTAGCGATGAAATATAAAGATACACTCGATTTTACAACCCTACCCACTGACCATAGCGATGGACAATCTAATCTTTTTTATATTTCCTCTTAATCTTTATAAAAAGTTTAAAAATAGTTATATTATGAGAACAAGAAAGTAGAGGCTCAGTTTTTTTTGGTAAAAATGTCTATAACTATATAAACATTAAACAAGCCATAATTCTTTATAGGGAGCGTTCGGCAAGTTGTTGGTTGTAACGGCTATATAAGTGGCATGTGCAGCCGAATAGATCCATATATAGTTGGTGGTGGGATGGTGATTAAGGATAAAATGAAAAAAAAATTGAAACGAAAATGATTTATGTAACAACCATTTTAGAACAATTTTAAAATGTTATGGGAGGTTGTAATAAGCACAAAGTTTATGTATGACAATTTGAGACGAGAGAACCGATAAGCTCAGCACAAGTGTGCAACTGTGCAAGATTTACACCTCGAGGGAGAGACTGGGCCCCACCCGTCCCGCGCCACGATGAAGCTTTCGCCTTTCCGGACGATGGCCCACCACGGGCCCCCATACGATGGTTACAGGCCCACGTCATCGGACGCGAGTCGGGACAGCGGCGAGGGACCAGCACCACCACCACCGGCGCAGCGCACCACCAGGCACGGCATCGAACGCGCGCGCGCGCGCCGCACACGACCCCCCCGTGTCGCGCGACGTCGATGACAACGCGGCCCCACGTCCACGTGGCCCTGCCTCCCGTGAGCGTGGGTACGCGTGGCCACGGTCGCGGAAGCCTGCGTCGATTGTTTTCCCTGTGGTGGGGCCCACGAAATTCGAGCGTTGAATACAAAGCGCCTTTTTATTTGGGGCCCATCCTTTGTTTGGTGAGTCGCGTTCCACTTCCCCTGTCCCTTTTATTCAGGGCTCCTTTTTCTCTGTTTCTACAGTAGGAATTATTTCGTGTTTGAACCGGGATAACGAGCCTAACGAAAGAGCCATTCAAATATCTAACACTTCTTGTAGTTCATGATCTTTGAAGGTGTCCCGATTAACTCCATCGCTTTAAGGCTGTGATTACTATGGATTTAGTTGATTGCCATATTGGTTGTAGCCATGTTGATTGTAGCAATGTTAGTTGATTTCGTAAATAAGTGGCTATGTTTTTTTTTTAAAAAAAAAGCTCTTCACATTTGGCTTATACAAATTATAAATGGCTGATTAGCAAAAAAGAAATCAAACTCACTAATAAAGTAAATCACAGTAATATAAATAATAATTGTGTACGTCCCTCAGTTCCATAATTCTGACGTTTTGAATAAGATTGATACAAATCATTTACTAGAATTTAACTATCAATAACTATTGAGAAACGCTGATGGGTCTTCTGGCTAGCTCCACAAGGTGATGGAATAAACGACCTGGGTTCAAAGTCTCATCCCTTCTAATTATTTGATATTAGGTCATTCCCTAATATTCACGTCTTTTACTATCAATAACTATTAAATATTTAGTTTGAGGACACTAGAATATGATTTATAGATTAGCCTTAAAATATAATTTTAATAAACTTAAATGATTATTTGATATTAGGTCATTCCCTAATATTTACGTTTTTTTACTATCAATAACTATTAAGGACACTAGATATGATTTATACATTAGCCTTAAAAGGTAATTTTAATAAACTTAAATGTTTACTTATTTGTTATATATTATAATAGAAATATATAGTCAAAGATATATTATTGTAGATCGTACCATTGTCCAAAACATCAAAAATTGTAAAATAGGAGGGAGTAGTTCTTTTTAATAACATGAATAGCAAAACATATGTTAAATATCAACGGTATTATATATTAAAAACATGAGGGAGTATGATTGATCATGATATATTCTTATTTGACGTGCTCATAACGACTCCATTCTCTTTCAGTCTTCCTTAAAGTATGTTTTTCTGCAACATTGAAGATTTTGTAGGTTTAGATGCCAGTACACAATACACATGACATGCTCTACTAGAAGTACAAGGCTCTTTTGTTCTCAAGGAGGCTATTGCACATACCGTTCATCTCTTGTACTAGTAATTAATTGTCTTCTTCGGTAACCGACACAGTTCATTTTGGACCTGTGAAACAAAAGTAAAATTACAGCTCAAATTATTTTGTTACCCTTTATTTTACTAAATCACTAGAAAAATCTGATTTATCTATTTTAATTTACTTTTTAGAGAGTTGTCAAGTATCTGACAAAGACATTTGTGTAATTAAAGATGAAAATGTGACAGAAAGTTCTGCAGCGATTTACATTTAACGAAGATGAAAATGTGACTAAAAGTTATATAATGACTTTATTTACAAAAGTATTAATGAAACTACTAAAAATGACTTATATTTGAGATTAATTCGTTTCAGACATGGCCAATTTGGGTCCTTTGTTTGCAGCAATTGTGTCACCCTTACACTCCATCACTCGATCAATGCACATCTTTCTCCGTCCTCCTCCCCGTCACTTTCTAATGGCAACACATACTAAACCAAATTGCAACACGACAACAATAGATCAGAAAACTAGTGGACAAAAGAAACAAAGAAAGTCAATTGGTGATTGGTCTATTCGAGATGGCCCCGTTTGGATATCAACAAAAAGGTGGCGAAATGTACTGACTTGTCTTGCTTGGCTAATGGATGGGCTTATTCAATTGCTAACTCCTATTGTAACCCGTACAATTGCATTTTACAATTTCAATCACCTTCTTGTGCACAGTTCGATTAATTTGATGCAAAACAGCCTAGCTTTACAAAATAACTTTAGGGATTTCTAGAACAATCGAATTTCATATGGGACAGCTCAATCACATAAGAACAAAGCTCGCATTTCAATTAGGGACTCAAATATGCTATAATTTTTTTTTATAATAGTAGTACTACATTAAAGATTCATATGCCACTGTCAAAATTTAAATGTTAAAACTTGATTTTAGTGCTGATTTTATTGTTTTTTTTTCATCGTGGTTTATTTTCAACGTTAGGTTTTAAATTGTTAATATGAATACATATAACTTTTTTTAATCGTTAATAAGATGTTATGAGTTATAAACTTATACGCAATTAGTAATCCATCCGTCCCAAAATATAAGTATTTTAGTTATGAATCTGGACCAAAAGTTAATATATTTTAGTATACGTCAAACGATGGACTGAAACTTGTATTGTTCCAACAAGCGGCTAATCGAATGTCCATTGCGTTTAAAACAAACTGCAGGTTTGTTTATGGTTCTGCAGGACCAAAGGGAACAAAAGTTAATGGAAAGAATCGTCACCCTCATCATCAGCTCATGAATGGAAATCCACACTGAAAAGCACATGCAGAGGACGAGCCAAAAAGGATCGGAGAAAGTGCAGCCGTACTGCTGAAAATTGGCTCGAGGTAGTACCAAAACCTTTTACTCTGGCCGTAATTATTCGTGCCATCCAAAAATTAACCATCGTGCTCCCCACAGTGGAGCCAAGCTCCTAGAAACACATCATTGTCCGTCCAAAGAAAATCCAACGCTCCTTCCACAGTCGGTGATGCTCTTGTTTTGCTTTGCAGTTCTTCACTTCTTTAGCTTATATAAGATGCAACCAAACTTGAATTTAACTGTTAATTCTAGATTGGATTAGTATTTTGTTGTGGGTTTGTATTTTTATGCCTTTAGCTAATCTCCCATGCCACCGTGTTTTCCATCAACACTATAGGACCACTAAATTATATAAAAACCTTATTCTAAAATATTTTTTCATTGCCTATGTATGCAGAGTATAAGGGCCCATGCATTTAGACGAGATTTTCCAGCCACGGAAAATAAAAAGATCATTAGCAAACGATTAATTAATTATTAGCTATTATAATTTTTTAAAATAAAAAGATGAAAAGTAAATTTATTTGGGGAATTTATTTTATCTTTTTAAAAACTTTCATATATAAAAAGTTTTTGCACGAAAGATATTTCAGGTAGCGTGTCCACGAAAATCGAGAGTTCTTCAAGGGTAAATCAAAACTCAGTGTAAACTGCAAAAAAAGAATTAGGAGGTGTTTGGGAGATCTCTCCAAAAAATAAGTCGAGGGACTAAACTAACACTTCCTTAGGTAGTGTTTGAATCTTCTGAAGATGAAGATTAAGTATTTCACGTAAAACGAGGTGGTAATAACGTGTGATTAATCGAGTTTTAATTATTATAAACTCGAAAATGGATTAATCTGATATTTTAGAACAACTTTTATATAAAAAGTTTTCGTACGAAACACACTGTTTAGCTGTTTGAAAAGCGTGCCACGAAAATTCAAAATTTAATCCACTTCTTACAGTGGAAACGAACAGGACTAGTCAATCAATTAAAAGATACTCACATGATGATATAAGCCTCTTTCTAAACTAAAATCAAACCCATCACCTTTGTTTTTTCCATCCAATATTCTGCAAAAAAAAAAATTTTGTTTGTGCCAAATCGGATTTTTTTTATTGATATTTTAGATGGTTTTGCAAAAAAAAATTCACAAACAAAAGAACTTGTGAGAGGAACTACACTCTTGTGGCCAGGAAAGGAGGGCAAGTGTGGCAAGGCTTTTTGCGTAGACACACTAGGCAGACGCCAGGAATCGCTGTCAGCGACAAGTCTGCTTTTCACGTGGCGCCGGGCCCACCGACAGCGACACTGTTCCCTCCAGCGCTGCCGCCGTTGCCTTCCTCCACACTACGGAGTACACTACTGTCACTTTTTTCTCTCCCGCTACTTTTGCGGAATTTCCCCTGCGTTTCCCACGAATCTCCCTTGGCTCCCCTTTCTGCATCGTTCGCTGCTTGAGCCAGAGAAAGCCAGGAGTGCCATTTCTAGCTCACCGGCCACGTGGCCCACGTACTAGAGGGGGAGGATTTTGACAAAAAAGGACTAGGTACAATTTCATTTTACAAAAATTTGCAGAAAACCCCCTACGGAATTGTTTATTCGCCCCAGCCAAGTAAGCAAAGTTTTCGCGGCTAGCTAGGTCGTCCATTGCTCGGTGGGCTCGGCCCACCACGGCAGCGACGGGAGATGCTCGTCGGCGAAGAAGCCGCCGCACGCCGCGCCGTCGTCGCCTAGGAACGCCGCCTCGTCGTCGTCCACCTTGAGAAGCTGCCCGTGGAAGAACACCTCGGCGTGGTGGAGCAGCGCGGCGCCGGTCACCACCGCCTCCGTCTCCTCCGAGGCCGCGGCGTCGGCGGCGGCCGCCGGCGCTGGCTTGTGTGGAAGGATCTCCGCGTCGTTCAGCACCGCGCTCGAGTCGCTCTCGGACGAGCCCTGCGGCGCGCCGGTGGCCGGGGGGTCGGCGTCGGACGCCGCCGGGTCCTCCTCCTCCTTCACCGACGAGAAGCTCGCCGCGGCGTCCTCGTCGCCGAGCTTCCCCTTCAGCTCCTTGATCTGCGTGCCATGGCCAAAGGTCACAAACATTGCACTCGTCCGTGATCAGAACCGTTTCTTGGCGTGCGTACCTCGGCGAGGAGGGCGTCCTTGTCGCGGCGAAGCGCGTCGTGGTCGGCGCGGAGCGCGTCGTAGGATTGGCGGAGCGCGGCGTAGTCGCGCTCGAGCTGCTTGGTCTTCCACCGCGCGCGGCGGTTCTGGAACCAGACGGCGACCTGGCGCGGCTGCAGCCCGAGGTCGCGCGCCAGCCGCGCCTTCCGCTCCGGCTCCAGCTTGTTCTCCGTCTCGAAGCTCCGCTCCAGCGCGCGCACCTGCTCCACGCTCAGCCGCCGCTTCTTCTCCCCGCCGCCGCCGCCGCGGCCGCCGCACATCGCCATGTCCTCGTCCACATCCATCTCCTCCTCCACCCCAACACCACCACCACCTTTCACAACCAAACACACACTCCCATCTCAACCAAGATCTCCAATCACCACACAAAACCACCAACCAAAAAAAACTTACCATCTGCAACCACCGGGAGAAGCGCTGCTGGACTTCTCATGCTTCAATCCCTACTGTCTCACGACGTGAAATTCACAAAAGATTCGAAGAGTAGCGGGAGGAGGACGACGTTGTCACAAAGATCAAATGGAAGAAGCAGAGAAAGGCGTGATGATCAGGAGGAGAGGGGTGGCCGGGGGAAGGGTAATGGGGAGAGGTGGGGTTGCTCGGTGCTGTGCCTCCGGTGATGGCACTTGGCGTCGTCGGTGTGGCCGCCCGTCTTGTGACCCAGGACCATCGGCACCATGGTTGTCGCCTTCCTCCCCCAAGCTCCGATCCGTCCAAAGACGACGAGCGTCTCCTACAACCGAGAGACGCCGCTAGAGGAGGAGGAGGCGACGTTCTTGAGGCTTCGCATGATCCCTGTGGCACGCGTGTGCGGAGTGTACTGGACTGGACTGGAGTGTGGTGGAGTCGAGTACTGGAGTGGGAGGAGTGAAGTGGTTGGGCTGGGCGGGGGGTTTTCCGTTTTCTTTTTCTTGCCTCTCTGTTTTCGGTTCCTTGCGAGAACTGTGTGCGCTATAAAAGAAGGCAGGGGGGAGGGAGGAGAGTTTAGGGGTAAACGGCCGCCTGATGCTACGCTACAGATTTTATTTCAATTTTTATTAGCATATTTTTAAAATTGCTAAACAATACTAAGTATATTTCCTTCATCCCAGTTTAATCGTCCCTATGATTTTTGAGGTTTTCTCAAAATGATCATCATCGAACAAAGTGTCTCTTTGTTTATCTGGAATGTCATGTATGCAAACATGCGACTAATCAATTAATCCCTATTAGTTCAAATCCATGTAACATTTAAAGTGTGAATTAATTTTTGTTGAACAAGAAGTGATGGAGCACCTTGATCGATGATGAATAATTTCAGAATGATAGATATCTTGTTGTTTTTGGTCTTGGTATCATTTGCTTAGGCCATCAAACCCAGAAAAACTATTAAATAGTTTTCATACTTGCTATGTCATATAGACACTATGTATATAAACTATATATCCAATGGATGGTGTCTTCGAATTAAATTCTCATCTAATCGCCTTATATCTCTCTCCTTTTCTTTACCTATCCCCTTGTTTTCATTATTGGTTCTTGTGTATTGATGATTTCTTGCATGAGAAATGGTTTCTTTATCTTTTTATCTCTCTCCTTATTAACTCTCTTACCATATCACATTTTTCTTATGTGACAATATATTAAATGCTATGTAAACTAGATGACATGGAGGGTTGAGGATAGCCTTAGGCCCTGTTTAGATGGGACTAAAACTTTTAAGTCCCTATCACATCGGATGTTTGAAAATTAATTATAAATATTAAACGTAGACTATTAATAAAACCCATCCATAATCTTGGACTAATTTGCGAGACGAATCTAATGAGCCTAATTAATCCATGATTAGCATATGTGATGCTACAGTAAACATTCTCTAATTATAGATTAATTAGGCTTAAAAAATTTGTCTCGTGAATTAGCTTTTATTTATGTAATTAGTTTTGTAAGTAGTCTATATTTAATATTCTAAATTAGTGTCTAAAGACAGGGACTAAAGTTAAGTCCCTGGATCTAAACACCACCTTATAGGATGATTAAATTGGGATGGAGAGAGTATTTTGTATGAAAAACTTTTTATGTAGAAGTTGTTTTAACATATTAAATAATTTTAATTTCTAATTTTGTATATAATTAAAACTTAATTAATTATATGTTAATGACTTTTTAGTTTTAAGCACGTTCACTAAATCTATTAAGCAGAGTCAAACGTGGTGCTGACTGCTGAGTAGGTGAGGGACTGAGGGTTAAAGAGTGACCATGGTTGTTGTGTTTGTTAGGACACTTTTCTAACATCTACTTTTTATTTTTTTTCTCGAAAAAAATTCTACCTTTTTATTTTCTACGTGTACCCTTTTCAAACTTTAAGCTAGGCATTTTGCAAACTTATCATCTTGTTAGGCCTCACATTTTAACCTCGGAATAAAATTGTGAACTCTAATAGACATGATCGTGCTACATGAACAGGAGAATGAACTGTTTTTTTTTTTTTTGCTAGAATGAAGAATCTGTCATGTTTTGTTCTTATGTGATTTTTATAAACTTGTACTCGCTCCGTTTCACAATGTAAGTCATTATAGCATTTTCCACATTCATATTGATGCTAATGAATCTAGACATATATCTATCTAGATTCATTAACATCAATATAAATAGGAAAATGCTATAATGACTTACATTGTAAAACAGAGTAAGTAGTTACAAACCTCAAAATCATCATTTCAGTTTCTTTTGCCCGGGAAGGCTTTTCTTGAGCCACATTTAGAAAATATTTAGGTCCAGCTAGCTACTCAAGCGACTAGTTATACGGTTAAAACTATAATAAATGACATTTTAAACATGTTGGGGTTGTTCGGCTGGCTGTGGTTGTGCAGCCGCAACGATATACTCCCTTCGTCCCTAAATATAAGAGATTTTGGTTGGATATGACACATCCTAGTACAACAAATCTAGACAATCTTCATGTCAGATTCACTATACTAGTATGTATCATATCCAAATAAAATCTCTTATATTTAGGGACGGATGGAGTAGCACTCCTAGCAGAAGTTTGCTTGTTGAGTCCTGTTGTGTTGTAGCCACACAGCTAGCTGTTCCAGACGCTATCATATTAATCTCTCTAAACGTCGCGGGAGTGCTGGAGAATTAGCGCGCCACGTCATCCTGATTTTGCAAAAAAGTCCTCACGTTTTTTTGTTAATTACGTGTCAATCCCCGTACAATCCTCCGTCCGATTTCGCACTGGCATCGATCTGACCGTCCACGTGTCCCAGCTGTGGCGCCCCTTACACAGCTGTGAGATCGTCGGATTGGGAACGGACGGCACCGATTTCGCCAGGCCACACCAAAACCCTAGCCGTTTCGTGTTCCTCGCCCTCAGCCCCTCAACCTCGCGCCGTCGTGCGGCCTTCTCTCCTGCCGGTCGTCGCCCGCCGCGTCGCTTCGCCACCTCACCCTCCTCCTCCGATCGTCGCCGTCGCCGCCTCGCCCTCCTGCATCCATCGTCGCCGCCACTCTTTCCTAGCAAGGCCATCGCATCGCATCAGCGTGATGGCCCCCGTCCTACTCGCCGGTTGATGTGCCCACACGGAGGTGAGGAACATGAGCCACCGCCACCCTCTTATCCTCTTTTATCTCTTCCCCACCACTGCCTCCCTCTTCCTCACCCCCTTCCTATTTGGTGGCTCGCCGTCTCACTATCTCTCTCAGATGGTGTATGCAATCTCCTCACCTGCCACCGCACTGCCACTGCCGCCGCCGCCGCCGTCGATCGTCGTCGTTGCCGCTGCCCCTATTGTCCTCTCCGTTGCAGCTAGAGGAATTGGCCTCTATGGCCTGCTCTTGCCTCGGCATCCGCATGGATTAGGGCTTTGGGCACACCAAGGTCCAGCCTTCAACGGCATCTCCGCCTCGACCATGCCCTGGTAAGGTATGCAGCCCTTTTGCCTCCCTTTTTTTTCCCTTTAACCCTCCTAATCCTTAGCTTTACCTGTTCATCCTGAAGCTCATAGATCCAATTTATCCAGTCCGGACTGGTGCTCACTCTGCAGCATGACCCTAAACCTTCGGTGAATCCATGGAATGATCCTCTAATTCGGTATATACTGTTTTCCCATGCTTAAACCACTAAGCTATATAATAAATTTTCTACTGTTATATGCATACATACCTGATCTGGATCCTTCCCTATCCTTATCCCTATTATTGATCTCCTGCTCATTCGGTTGCAGAATCACCCACGGAAAAGCAATGGCATCAGCTCACGTGCAAACTACTGTGGCTTCTATTTGAAGGTACTAATTCTGTTTTTTTGTCTTCTCCCAGTGATATATGTGACATGGGATTACTCATTCTGTTATTTAATTGTAGTTACTGGTAGGTATGGTGTTTACGCTATGAGCAAGTGCTCTCTTCCATCCCTTTCTAACAAGTCATTTTTCTTTGTTGATAGAATGACTGATGTATGCATTGATCATGTTCTTTATGGAACATCTTAGATGTGCAATTTAGATGCTTTAACAATAATCCTGGGGTACTTACTACGTCAAATCTTTGAATTTGGCTTCCTAGAGTTTCAATCATACCTCTTTTTTTCTTTTTTTTTTTTACTTATGCTTGATGTGCAAACTTATTCCAGGTCCATAGACTACCAATTCCCCTAGCATGATTGGCTATTTCTTTTTAACAAGGATTATAATATTTATGCAGTATTACCCATCTAATGTTAAGTGATTCAAGCATTTTGGAAATTACTGGTGGTGATATTGGTCATGCTAATATTGAAATATTGCCCCAATGTTTCTTACTTCTAAACTTTATTTGTATGAACCATCCATAATACTAGCTCATATGTATTGCTAAATGCAACATGTGAAACCAAAAAAGAAAAAAAACTGTTACTTTTCCAATGCTAATGTGTTTAATAAGTTATTGGTTGTTGTCTAGATCCCAATGTGGAATAATACTTCTTCAGTTTTCCTTGCAGGTCCAATAATAGATATAAACTTGAGACTATTTCTCTGAATGATGCGTGTGCTTATCTTCTATCCAAGTCAGTTGATCTACAGTCGAGGAGATTTCTTCTTTGAGCAACGAGGTGAGATCATTACCTTATTTTCTAACCTTAAAAATCTTTAATGCTATTGCATATACAATAAAAATATTCACATGAGAATGTTGGTTCAAAAGTGTTGAGGTGGTCTATATTTTCATGGATCCTGGTATTGATTCTGCCACTTTATAGTTTGTTGATCGCTACTGTTTCAAACCAGTAGAACTAAAAACAGAGCAACAAAGTGTCTTCTGTGTCAAAAATTTTATGCATGGTATAAACTTTTATGTGCTGTTTCTGAATGCATTATCATATTTATTGTAACGCTCACAAGTTGTCTACACAAAATTTTTGTAGCTTCTTTTTTGACTATTTGCACACGTTGCTGCTGTGTATATGATTTCTGTCCGGTCTTTTCAAAAGAAGCATAGTAAAAGTTGTTGGATTCTTACAAGGGAAAAGCCTTTTTCTTTTGCAAGATATGTCAAGATTTGGAGCGGCGGCCTTCCACCGTAGTGTTCCTTTACTCAATTATAAATTGTCATTTATGTCCACCTATTTGTCTAATTCTATTTTGTGCTTGGTCTACCTCAAGATATTTTGGCATGTGAAAAGTTCTTTCAAATCTCTGCCTCAAATTTAATCAATTTTGCACAATATATATATGCCATATGTGAGAGTACTGTTATCATTTTCTAGCAAGCACCTTGCACATGATAGTTTTGGAATTTGTTACCGGTCCATCCTTTCAGATTGAATTTTTCCCTTGGTAAACATGCTTATGATTTTTTTTGTCCTAGGTTGGATTTCACAGAATGACTTTGCTAAGCCTTTTTTTTTTGCAAGGAATTTTCATTAGATTATTTGATTTTTTTTTATGCCATGTTTATTGCCCCTCAATGGAACATGAGAATATACTTGTGAATGAACAGTCATGCAAAATGGAGCTTTAGACATAATGTACAGCATGGCTCATTATTCAATGCCACTTTGCAAAGGAAGTACCTGTCATCTTTTATATATATTATTGCGAATACATATAATGATGTACTATTTATTATCAAGCTTAAAAAGACAAGACATCTTTGTATTGCAGGTGTCACGAAGAGCATAGCTATACGGAAATGTAGAATGTTTCCCTTGAAGTCAATGTTTCTGTGGTTCTTTTGCCTCTCCGAAGATTCAGAAAAGGGAGGAAGAGTGCTTCTTGGCTCCCCGAAAGAGATGAATCCTAGGATCCTTGAGTTTTTTTCTAATCTATTCTACAGTATGCAGGCACGATATATATGTTTCCACGTGTGGCTACTACTTTTGTCTAAGTGCACATTATTATACAAATAGACTGGAAATTATTGGATATTGGTTGCAACATAAATTATTTCCTCACGTAGTGTTGACTACCATATCGATGTTTACATACCGGACATCATATCTACTATGTGCCATTAACCATATATTCCGTGCACGCAGCGTAGCGCGTGTTTCTTTCTAGTTTTTACCAAGTTCCCTACCTGCATTTGAAGTGTTCAACTGGAAAGCACTATAAATTTCTCTCAGGGTTCACAGTTCCAGTGGAATCCTGTTTGGATTCCGCGAAATCCGAACTTTTTGAACCGGGTTGAAAACATAAACCACTCGGCTTTTTAGTTAATAAAAAAATTTCAAACTATTTTAAAAATTTTTGAAAAAATTTATCCAAATTTCATTGGTTTTTGTCTTTTTCATCGGTTTTTTTATGGATTCAGTGTAATCCGATGAAACAACTCATGAGCGAATCTCGATCCATTATCAGGATTGTGAACCCTATTTCCCCCTATTTCCCTGCTTCCAGTGCCTACATTTGAACATGACGAATTGCTCATAGTTGCACAGCGTTCTGTTTGTTCCGGACCTCCACCCTGCGTCTGCGTGGGAGTGAGAGTGGTGAGCACGACGGACAGAGGAGTAGGACTGTAGGAGTAGGCATGGGCTGCCGGTGTGGTGGCGGTGGTAGAGTTGGGGGGACCCCGACTGGCAATCGGACATGGCAAAAGGGAGCGGGCTTTTGAGCTTGTGGGGGCAAATTAGCCCAAAAGGCGACGCGCTTCCATTGGCTGGTTTGGTGGTGGGGACTGGGGAGAGAGAGCCGGATCACCGGGGGGCGACGAGGCGACGCTACGCGCCAATCTATACGGGAAGGTAGGAAAGCAGCTTTTGTTCCGCGGGGGGAAGTTGTGGGAGCCAACGCTTCCTTTTTTCGCCTTTGCTTCGTGTGATTTGCTTTGGCTCGTGTAACTCCTGCACATTTTTCTTTTACCTGCTGTTACTGTTTTGGCTTTGCACCGGACGAGACGTGCTCAGAAGCTGTGTAAAAAATGAGCCAAAATCCATAATACCGGAGTACGGGAGTAGCAAAGTCTAAGGGCATTTTTGTTTGGTAACTAAATTTATCACACCTTATCTTAATCAAGCCACAGTTTTATCAGGTAATATTCAGTTCATGCATAAATCTACTTTTGTTTAACCCTTAGCTGCATAGCACATATCATACACTTTATTTTCTTACCTAACTTTGCTTAAGTTTAGTTTGTTACTATTTTGTTTACAGAAAAATATGACATGACTAAGCTTAGTTACCTTAATTAAAAATATGTGTTAATATTAGTCCTCAACTAAAAATGTCCTAAAGGTGTGTTTAGTTCACGTCAAAATTGAAAGATTTGGTTGAAATTGGAACGATGTGACGGAAAAGTTGGAAGTTTACGTGTGTATAAAAGTTTTGATGTGATGAAAAAGTTAGAAGTTTAAAGAAAAAGTTTGAAACTTCACGTCAAAATTTTCCTGCACACACAAACTTCTAACTTTTACTTCACATCGTTTTAATTTTAACTAAATTTCTAATTTTGACGTGAACTTAAATACACCCTAAACTCGGCCTAAGTGCAAATTCGCGAGGTAACAAGTGGCCAAGTGCCCTGCGTTTCGCTTTCATGTTCCATCCGTAACGAAAACGCGGAGGTAGCGCGGCAGCACGTCGTCGTCGTCGGCGTTGGGAGATGCGAAATGGGTCGAGCGGGATGGGGCCGATGGCGGCATGGCGCCGTGGCAAGCGCGGCCAGGGGAAGACGCCGCGCGGCGGCGGCGGCCGAGATCTTTTTTTTTTCTTTTCTTTTTTACTCCTCTCGGCTGCTGTCATGGAGAAAGTAATCGCGGCTTTTGAGACGTTCTTTGGCGGCACAATCCTTTGTTTAAGCTGACAAAATCCAATCGAATCCGTTTTCTTTTTTTTTGTTGTTGTAAGGGTATGTACAAGGGTCTTTATTAGCGGTCTCTTTTTATTGGCATGTAAGTATATTTTGTGACGTGGAAGAGAGATGAAGAAGGAAAGAGAAAGATGGTTGCTACACATGACAATGGCATAGAGTCGATTCTTAGCCATTTATTAAGAAAATTTTTCGTTGCATTGAGTCTAATAAAGGAAAGATGACTAGTAAGAAAGTATTTTGGTACATTAATGGTTAGAGACCGTATTATCTTAACTATTGTAACGTGATAGTATCTAATTAACGTAGAGACCACACCGGTCTCTACCTTTGTATGTGCCCTAATACCTCTGTGATTACACAAAGCTGCCACGAAAACGACGAGTCCTAGAATGAGATTACATTAAAGAAAATGGAACTCCAAAAAAGGGTGATCTTTGTCTAATGTCTATCAGTCTATGGTAGGAATCTTCTTTTGAGATATTTGTTCTTGTACAAAATCAAGACTATATAATACCACAATGTTTCCACTCTCTAGTAGTATTATATTTTGAAAGCATTAGAATGTTCTTCTTCCGTGTTTTCTTTCTTTTTCTCCAATATAAGGAGGAGAGCGTAGCGGTTTGGTTTGTCATGTACACGTACAGTTGCATGACAAATGTTTGCTCGATGTAACGTGTGTGGGGCTTGAGACAACGAGGTAATCACCAGAGAAGACAGAAGGTATCTCATCAGAGACTCTTGAGTTGTGGAGGGGATTCTTCAGCAAAGTAGATGGGACTTGCCCTCAGGGAATATGAAGGGGGAAATTACACGCAAGTTTTATGCCACGGTTGCAACTTTCTGCAGCATTTTCCTGTTTTTCCAATCACAGCTCGCTAGCATCTATGGGCTGATTAAAAAAAACAATATTTAGAGGGAGACATCCTCCAAACATTTTTTTAAGAGCAAGCCTAATAATATAGCTGACTTGTTAGCTATAAGATTCTTTGCAGCCTTCTCTTAGCCCACACGTGTAATAGTTAGCTATTTACAATAAATAAATACAGAGCCCACTTGTCTCTCTCACATAATTTCTTGGTTCTTGTGTCCAAGCTGGCTGTAAGTTTACAGCCCGCTTCTCCTCTCGCTCCTCTCTTCTCTCCTCCACCTCAGCATTTAGCCGGCTTACACTCTGCTATTATACATGCTCTAAGAAGAATTTGTGAGCGTGTTAAGAATTGAACACATGACCTTGGGGTTGGAACCACACACCCATTTCCACTGCACTATATATGATCTGATTGAATTAATCTTTTCTTAATTAAATTAATTTTGGAAAAGATTAAAAACCTTGGAAGTGTACACTATCAATTTTGGTAGATTAAAAATGTAAGTGTGCGCTATCTATGTTCGTGTTTTATCGGTGATATTGGAAACGGGACCGTCAGAATGGAATCTGCCAATATTGGTCGGAAGTTGAAAATTCATGTCGAAAACAGCGGAGCGTGGCATAATAACACATTTAACTATATATGAAAATGACTTTATTACTTCATTCTTACATCATCACACTCCACACAATATCGTTATATGATGATTAATGATATGATAAGTTTGACGAACAATATAAACAAATTTTGGCGATACTTCAACATCGATCGGTTGAGTAGACCAAAGTTCAGCAAAATTCACATGCCACGTCCTAGGGTTAACAACGTTTTTCCTGGCCACTTCCCCTTCCTAATAGGCTACAAGTCTGCCATGGGTTGGGCTGGCCGGCCGCTAGGGCTGTCAACGAGCCGAGCTCGAGCAAGCTCGCCTGCCTAGACTCGAGCTCGATACAAGCTCTAGCCAAGCTTGATCTGAGCCTATAAAATGTTCGAGCTTTCAGACAGACTCGGTTCGAGCTCGATCAAGCTTGAGCTCGACTACCGAGCTTGATTTTTAAGTAGCACAATGTATATTTTAAGGAAAATCTATAAAAAAATAATTAATTTCTAGTTTATCATATTAATAGTGAACGCGCAAAGATGTAGCCTAGAGGGGGTTTGAATAGGCTATCCTGAAATTCACAAACAAATCATAGCGGTAAAATTCAGCAGGACCGGAACTTCCGGGTGAGGAACACCGGAACTTCCAGTCTACTCAGACAGACCGGAACTTCCGGTGTTCTAAACACCGAAACTTCCGGGCAACAGAAAAACCTGAAGATCTAGCAAAGACTTAAACTAATTTGCACGAATTAAACTGCATGAAGACAGAGCAGATACACAATCACAACAACATGCACAGAATCATCACAAAGAAGACAAGGGCGATTTTTTACCGAAGTTCGGATCTTGCAATCCTACTCTCCGTTGAGGTGCTCCAAAGAGCCGGGTCTCGATTAACCCCTTGCCTCACTTGTACAGAGAACCCAGAGAAAGTCCAAGGCCTTCAACTCAACACTCCTAGGTCATTTTCTAGAATTTGAGTGACCACCAAGATCCAACTCACAAATCCTTCTAGAAAAGACCACAAGTGCAAGTTGCTCTACCTAGGAGAACCTCTGAAAACTTAGCAAAAGAATCCTTAATCACTTACCTCGTTTCCTTGCGGAGGTGAGGAAAACCTTCACAAACTTTCCTGGGACATCCACAAGATTTCGGAAGCTCGCGGGCGACACCTATCCGTCTAGGAGAAGATCTCCAAGAGTAATAAGCCCCGAGTGACAACCCACAAGATATTCAAAGTGCTCAACCACACCTAGTCTTCAAAGCTTCTCCAAATTACTCCTACACTCTCATCTACTCTCACAATTTCATAAGAAAGGCTCTAGATTTGAGTGGAGGAAGCAAAGGGATCTTGGGAGAGGCTAGAACAACCTAGGGGATGAAAGAACTGAAGTGGAATGGCCAAAAAGTGAGCTGGGTGCGATCTAGATATATATAACGGCTAGGTGACGTCATCTAGCCATTACTCACATTTTTGAACTGGAAGAAGTCTGGAAGTTCCTGACCCCCGGAACTTCCAGCCAACACTTACGCAAATTTCATCCAATGCAAGGTCCGGAAGTTCTGGGTCCAGGGACCGGAACTTCCGGCCAGCCTTCTATGTCCGGTCTGGACCCATTTGCAAAAATGGTTCCCAAAAATATTCTATCACTATGAACCCACTAAGAGGAAATTTTTATATCTCAGAACCACACTTGAAACCCCTCTTAATAGTACGGTTTTTCCTAAGACTCGATTTCAAAAATTAAACTATCCTATTGACTTTCGAGTTTCAAATCCGCATGAATGAAAGTTGTAGGGGTCTCCAAGCATCTCTTGATCACCTAAGATCACCTTGGGACTAATTACCTGTATATCTCAATAAACACATTAGTCCCTTAACCTTATTCATCATTAATCACCAAAACCCACTAGAGGATAAATGCAACTTCAAATAGAAGAAGAAAAAAAACAAAATAAATATATGACGCCAATACAAGGCATATAAATAATATATTTGATGTCCTAATTTATTAAATAACAATAAAAATCATATATTATTAGGCTCGTAGGAAGCTCGAGCTTGGCTCGAAGAAGCTCGCGAGCTTTCGGAGAGGCTTAGACTCGGCTCGTTTGGAGCTCGAGGTGAGCTCAAATCGAGGCTAGGACGAGTCGACCTTGAACAGCTTGCGAGCCTCGAGTTTTTTTTTTTTTTTGACATCCCTACTAGCCGCTAGGGAACTTTCAGAATTCTGACGGAAATTATTGAAACTTTCAAAAATTTGGCGAAAATTACTAGACAATACGGTTATCAGCAAAACAGTCAAAAAAAAAAATCTTTATCCCATTTCCGATACTATTTTCGGAAGATATTTCCTTTTTCATTTCCGATAAACTGAAAACGGAATCCGGAAATCTTTAAAAAAATTGTACCGTTTTCACCCCTACCTTCACTGCGGTGGTGATTGCAGCACCGACATCGTGCCCTGTATGGAACCGTGGCCGCGGGCGTGCGACTACGCCTCTACGTGGCACCTTGTTCGGTGATCTAGCGCTACCGGCCAGTGAGGCGGAGGGCTAGCCCAACCCGGCAACACCAGCATGCCCCTGGCATCCAGCACCACCACGGTAGGGTCCATTCTTGGGTGTTCTTGGATGCTCTTTTGTGCCTTAATTCATCTATTATTATATTGTTTAGATGATGGTAATATAAATACAATTTATGTTAATGAGAATATCCATTTTATCTATTTTAAAGCTATAACCGCCACAAACAATGGATTTGTAAGAACACAACAAAGTAGAAAAACTGATTAAACTGCACAGAATCAGGAGCTAGATTTGGCTTCGTCCATAATAATTGGGCCCTTTTTTTTTGTTTGGAGCACAAAGTTTTGTTTCTGATTCCTAACAAAAATGACTCCATTCATGTGAAAATCTTAACAAATTATCCGTGTATAAAAATGCTCGAAGGTTTAACTGCGGTAGATTACATTGACAGGAGATTTTAACCTAAAGAGCGAGGACCACGGTGGTCAGCCTTGCTCGAAGCAGTTAGGTATTTGTTGTGCCTCCTCCTGTCCTCCACACTGCTGGGTGCACTATTCTGAGCGCACAGTTTTAAAGCCTTTCTGCAGAAAAGACCAGGGACCAAACACGGTGAGCGCCAAGGAACCCCGGGCCGGAACATGGCACGAGAGATGGGGGCTCACAAATTGCTTTCATCATAAATATTGCATAGGTATATTCATATCTGCATGGACCATGAAATGGAACTGACGTCCACAGTACAGGTTGACACAGTGTCTCCTTCACGTATTCCGTCTGTCCCAAAATATAATTATTTTTTAATAGTACGAAGTCAAATTTTTTAAATTTTCAATGTTTATAGCACAAAAATTAAAAATATTAATAATATAATTTTCATGTTACTATATTTATCATTAAATGGACTATCATAATATGCAACTCTCTTTATTTAAAACATTTTACTTTTGTAAATATTGTTGGTCAAAATAGCATCTCGCAGACCGTGCCGAGATAAAAAAAAGCTTATATTTTAGGACGGAGGGAGTAGGAAAAAGAAAGACTTTGGTTAGGGTTCACCTTTCCGATGAATACAAGATCCGGATACTCAGTGGTATAACAGTTTTCACCAAATTTCAATCAGATTTTAATCAAATTTTAGTCAAATTTATCGTTTTAAATTTGAATTCTTGAAAATTATTTGAAATTTCACTCAGATTTTGCTTTCGTTCCGCGTCGAAACCCCTAAATTTCATGCTTTTCGTAAAAAAAAAAACGTGGAGCCTGACTGCCGAATGGCCGATATTCCGGCAGCATTGCTGGCTTGCTGCTGCTCCACCCTAGAGGCCTACTAGAGGATAAGTTCATGACTGCAAGATGGAGGTGTGCAAGTGTGCAACCCATCTTCCGGTATCGTTCACCGGGACGTTTGGCGTATAGCTCTGCTACCGGTGGTACGCTTTTCAACGGGCGAATCCAAACAAAATGGCGTGGACGAACGAGGACGACGCGCCGTGGAAAAAGATGCCGGAAAACCGATTCACCCCCTCCCCACCACCGCGCGATGCCGCCATCCATCTGTCGCACGGCGCGGCGGCAAAGAAACGACGGCTCGGCCGCTATCCAGCGGAAGGCGAGAAGCCTCCTCTCTCCCCCACGCGCGCGCGCGACTGCCTGTGCTGCCGTGGCATGCACGAGACGCCACGAGCCCACGACGCTGGATGCGCGCGTGTGGTTGCCGGCACGGGCCATGTCCGTGTCCATGTCCCGTCACGCTCGGCTCCACGTCCGCGTACGTGTGTGGACTGTGGAGGCGAGCGACGAGCCCCCACGGCTAGTGATTGCATACTGAATTTTCTGAGTGATTGGTTCGGCTGCTGGAAGGAAAAAAAAATGCCATACTGTGGTCCTTGAGACTGAGAACTGAACCTATACAGGGCATCTATCATCAAAGCCCCACCTAAAAGTCCTCACTAACCGAGGACACTATCAGGGACACTCAATTACCAGTAAACTGATGAAGGCTACATCTAGGTGGTCTCTTTAAAATCTGAAGCAATTGGATAAAGGTACTCAAGCCCACAATGGTTGTCCCAACCAAAAAACCCACAATGGGTGTTTTCCTATACCACCCCTCTCTTCTCCCTCTTCCTCTCTCTCTCTCTTCTCTTTTTCCTTCGCTCCTGCCTCTTCTTCTTCGCCTCGTCTCACTCCCTCCGCTCAGCGCCGTCCTCCCCCTCCCCCTCCCCCTCCCTCTCCCTCTCCCTCATGCCGCTGCCACCTCCCTCCTCGCCCTCCCCAGCTGCCGCCGCCACCGCTCGCCTCTCTCTCCCGCCGTCGCCGCTCATCGTCCACTCTCCCACGCCAAATCCGGCTGCAGCTCGAGCTCCCACCGCTCCCTTCACCGACGGCTGGGGCGAGACGCGGCGACGCTGGGGAGGGCGAGGGAGGTGGCGGCGAGGCAAGAAGGGAACAGCGGCGGTGGCACCGCTCCGACTTCGTCCCAACACGTCGCCACCCCTCTCCCTTCGCCCGTCACTGCTGATGGCTGACGGCGAGCAGTCGCCATCACGAGGTCGTCGTCGGATCTAGTGGGCCTGCCCCATCCCTGGGGCGTTGGTGGCTGACAGACGGGTTCGCGGGGCCCGTCCCTCTCCCTCCGCCGTCCCCAGGTCGTCGATGTCACAAATCCGTCGGCTCCTCCACCACCTCGCTACCTCCGACTCCTCCGCATTGCTATGTGCCTCCCGCCTACTCCCAGCGACGAGGCCAAGGGTGGAAGAGGAAATTTGTGGTGCGGGAGGCCGTATCCATGAGCTACGCAGTCGTCCAACGCATAGGCCCAAGCGGTGGCTCAAGAAAAGGAGCTAGAGGCGTGCGTTCCTCTGCCAGGAGCCGCGCCTCTCTCCAAGGACACGGCCCGATGACGGAAGCGGGACACCGTTTGTGAAGGCACGACTTGGGGCTACGCATTGAACATGGCCTCATGTTTCTCCTATGGAATTGGAAAAAAGGAGAGACTTGGCTAGGGGGCCTAGGGTCCTGAACTCTGGAGAAGCGGATCAAAATTAGCGTCATGTTTAAACAACCAAATTCTTCCCAACAGTTGCAACTTACAAGAGTGATTGTGTTACGGGTGCTAATCAGTTCAACCCAAAAGTTTAAGTTGAATAGAATGTCTTCGAAAACTTCACTAACTTCAGTTGCTCAGCACTTCTCCTGACGAATAGCAATCAACAAAGTGACAAACACGATGAATCGGTAGCACTACTGGAATACAAATGGACAAGTATTGGTGCAGATTACTTGTCAAATGCTTCATTTCATGGTCAAATATAAACGAAAACCTTCAAGTCAAATGCACTAACCTGCTGAAGGGTTTTGCACAAGTTCATCAAAGATTCACATGTGGCAAATATTGTAGACAAATACGCTCCGAAAATAGTCTGCCACTCTGCCATCCAATTTGTTGGATAGGAAGATGGCACATTTGGCCTTTGATGTTTTTATCTTAGCAATCCTGTGTTGTCTGATGAAACTCATGGTCCTATATAATAAATTAACAATCACGGCATATAGCAAAAGCAATCCATACAGTTCCGAGAGTACATGAACAATATGCTCAAGGAATCAAGACTCATTCCTGCAGTTAATTTCGTTCATGAGAAATGCATGGGAGTTGTACAAAACGCCTATGAGAACCCTTCTGGGTTGTACAAGTGTATCATGTTCAAGACTTCTAATGAGGAACATCGTTCCATTATTATGCACTCATCAAACTCCTCTGAAGAAAAAATGACTACCACTCCAGAAAGGGAGCCATGAATTACAGGTGTAGTAAGGAACACTTTTGGTCAACTTAACACTTGCAATGACTCAATAAAGCCCTAAAAACTTCCACCAAAATGTACCGACGACTCCCCATATCACAGCATTGATTGCTGCTGTTGTAAAACCCAGTTTGAATACATCAGGAAGATCAACATACCCCGCTGCACAAGGAAAACATGTACTCAATATAAGAAGTACACACAAAGGCTTAAAGATAAAATATGACAAACCTAACAGTAAAAGAAACCAAGGAATTTTTTAAATTGTCTGCTGGTATCCATTAGCTTATGGTTTTATTCCTTTATTAGGCTACATTTGGATTTTCAATGTAGTCCTACATAATGATATCAAATAAGGCTTGTATTCGAATACTCTATCCATACGTAGTAAGTAAAATATTTGTTATGCTCTTTCTCTAACAACAGATCTTTTACAAACAAGAAGAGGCAAATATTAAAGAATAATGTGTCGTAAAGTGTCAACATGAAAACAAATTGAATTCAATGAAGTGTGCACACAGAAAAACTTACCTCCATAGTATACTGCAGACTGCCCACTACTATAATGTGTCAGTGCACCAAAGAGATTTGAATTGTATGTCAAAGCAAGTGCCGACAGTATAGCTGGAACGCCAGCTGCTAAATGCATCGCAAGAAATGCTGAATACAAAGCTCCAACATGTGCTGTTTGGCTTGCAAAGAGATAGTGAATAAAGAAATAGGAGGCCTGAAGAACACCAAATGCTGCAGGCCAACTCAATGAGAAAGACTGGAGAACTTTTGCAACACAATTTGACATCCATGATACAATTCCAAGGTTCGTGAGCTGCCCTGCCATTCCAACTAGAATAGCAAACCAAGCTAATGTGTCCCATGCAGATTTTTCATTCAGGCAATCTTCCCAGTTCAGAACCCCAAGCAGAAGAAGAATTGAAAGACCAATCATCGCAGCAACAACACTTGACACACCGATAGTATCCCTGCAAAAAAAAATGTATAACAGATATATATAAGCTGTAGTTTGACTAATACAACATGAAGCACACATCTGAATATCTGACAATATCTCAAAAGGACCGAAAATGCAACGATATGGGAATAACTCCTAATTTAGATTGGACTAGTAGCATTCTTTATCTTTTCTGTTAATGCTCTTGCTATCTTGTTGCCGTAGCACTTGGTAAGATAACATGCATTATATCCACATTATGTGAAGTACTGAAGTGAAAACCAAGCATAAAGATTTAGGAAGCAATCTGGCAAAAATAAGTAAGCATTAGAAAAACGCATTTATACCTATACTAATTAGGCACTTCCTACAAGCTCCAACGTTAACCACAAAGATCTAACCGTTGAATAAATGCATCATATTATCACTACCATAGATCATAATTTAACATTGTAAAGTGAATTCAACTCGGTTTTTTTTATTGATTTCGAATTTCAGATTTATTAAAACATGAAAAAGTTACAACTAAGAATTAAAATGGAGTACAACTCAATATTTATTACATACGAATTTCAAAACTATTAAATCAGAAAAAAAACTCTTTAATATTTTTAAATATCCATAAGAATAGCCGTGCAATGCACAGTTTGACATCTAGTTACAGTAATTACGAATATGTTGCCATAAGAGAGAAATGTTGCAGGGTGTCTTTCCTTGTTAATATTAATCCAATATAAGGTAATGGATCTTTCCTTGTGCAAAAGTCAGCAATGCAGAAGAAGAATATGCTATTTATTTTACAAAAAAAGAAAAGAAAATTTTCAATCATGTTGAACATTTTACCAACAGAAAGTGAAACATCTCCATAATCATGATTCATAATTTGAAAACCTGGGTTGATTCCGGATTGACAAAAACGTGTTCAGAGGAAAATGCTAAAGGGAAGAAGATAATTCACTACAGGTCTACAGCTACAAAGGACCAGATTGTGGTTGTGGTTTTGTTTTGTGCTGTTCCATGGAATCTAGTTAGTTAAATAAATCATTACTAATTCAAGTAAGATTTCCTGTTATCCAAAATGCATTCAGCTAACTGTTATATCAGAAAGTATAAACGTTTATAAAAAAATAAAACACTGCAATGCCAAACAGAACCTAAGAAAGCTGTCCCCAAACATTAAAACAAAGAGTTGTTCCAGGTATATCATGTGTATCCATCGACAGAACACTATCACGTTAGAAGGAGTAGCTAAATACAGCTTATGAAAAATGCAACAGGAAATGTGGCATAATCATAGACCAAAGTATATATGGCAAATTAACTCATGGAAAAAATAAATTAGTAAAAAGAGAGATCAATCTTACCCAAAAATCCACAGTGAAACAGCAAGAATCATTGTAGCAACCATGATCCATTCATTTCTTGTTACTGGTCCCATGTTCTTCAGTTTTTGTGCAGCTATTGCAGGGGCCTCAGGAGTGTCCTTTATTTCAGGTGGGAATATTTTGTATAACAAATAAGGTGTCGCTAAGAGAGAAATGATGGCAGGCAAACTAGCAACCTTAAACCAAGATATCCATGGGTTTGCAATCTTAACACCAATCTCCTCAGCTAACTTCAGACACAAGAGATTTTGTGCTGCAGCAGTCAGGAAGAGAGCACTTGAGTTACCAGATGCCTGTGAAGCAGCAGAAACCAACACAACAATGCCATTGATCAAATGCAATCCTTATGGGTGTGAAAACGTAAAATATCAAAGCACAGAGCATGCATACAGTTTTAACATCCCAGAAGCAATATATCGAAAAGTTTTCACTAAACATGCCTTTTCAAAAGAAACCTAGTACCAGGAGTTTGTATTGCTTTCAGCATATAGTAGGATCTGACAACCTCAAAAGTAAATGTATGATGTACTCATGCACTTAACCAAACAATTAAAATGTTTGTGAATTCAATCGATTCAACAAAGTGTTCAATTCATAAAGTACAAGCTAGTTTGGTTTAAATGTAGCTCCTGATAAAGTGACCAGGCAACCATTTTTAAACCACACTTCACTTAGGCCGAGTTTAGTTTCAAACCTTTTCTTCAAACTTCCAACTTTTCCATCACATCAAAACTTTCCTACACACACAAACTTCCAACTTTTCCGTCACATCGTTCCAATTTCAACCAAACTTTCAATTTTGGGCTTCCTACCATTTACTATTTACAGAAAGAGTCAGAATTGTACCACGTCTACAATTTATTGGTTTCAGTTTTAGTTTCTCAAAGAAGCAAAGGGTGCACCTAGAAACAGTTTTTTTTTACCTCTGCTGTTGTGATATAAACTAGTCAGATGACTGTATAACAAACATTATATATTATCACTAACAAAGATAAGTCGCAACCTTAATAATACAGCGTGAGCATTTCATCATACATCAAGTAGTATTTGAGACGGATGGGATAATAGAATGATCAATGCACATTAGTACTCCAGTCAAATAGTATAGACACCCAGTCCAAAGCAAAAGTAAGTGAAGATCTCATTCTTAGCACTTCTTCAATAACATGTCATAGAGACCACCAAAAAAAGAAGCATGTTCCCAGCTGAACATTATAAATATCTAGGCGAAATGCATCTCCCATTTCACAACCATTCATGAATGGAGTACTAATTAAAACGCATAGCATTTTTAACATCTGCAGATATCAAGTAACTTTTTACCTGTAACTGAGACTGCACAAGGTAGGAGCCCAGCTTCCTCGCCGATGGGTCGTTCGGCTTGCTGCCAGCCGAAAGAGATAGCGACTTGACTATTGGAAGGAACACCCCACCGGCCCTCGCCGTGGTGCTGGGCATCGCCGGCGCGATGCATGCCTCGCTGATGGCGAGCCCGTACGACAAGCCCAGCGTGCTGCGCCCCAACCACTTGACGAAATAGGTGGCCACACGATCGCCGAGTCCGGTCTTCACGAACCCCCGGGCGAAGAAGAAGGATATGACGATGAGCCAGATGACCTCGTTGGTGAACGCCCCGAACGCCGCGGTGAACGGGAGCGTCCGCGTGGCGACGGTGGCAGTGAGCCCGAGGAATGCCCAGGCGCCGACGGGGAGCGGGCCGAGGACGAGCCCGGCGATGGTGGTCAGGAAGATGGAGAGGAGCTGCCACGCCTGCGGGGTCACCTCGGCCGGCCGCGGCGCGAGGAAGCGGACGGCGAGGCCGACGGCGAGGGAGACGAGTAGGGGAACCGGCTTCGCGCCGCCGCCGCCGCCGCCCGCCGCCCGCGCGGGGGCAGGGCCCGCGGCCTGGGCGGCGGACGCGGAGGCGAGGAGCGGGGGGAGGAGGTGGCGGCGAGGAGGGGCGGGCGAGAGCTGGGGCGAGATGGGGAGCGAGAGGGAGAGGGAGCTGGGGAAGGGCTGTAGCTGGAGATGGCGGCGGCGGAAGTGGTTGTGGTGGGTCGGAAGTGGAAGCGCCGCCCGGTGGTGGGAGATGGCGACGCGGAGGCGCTCCATCGCCGGCGGCGCGGCGACCGGCGGCGAGGGGGGAGGAGCCGCGGAATGGGGTGGGGGGGGGAGTGGTGGTTGCTGCGTGCGGAGAGAGAGCTACGGGTAGGATTTATTTTGTTTGTTTATATCCGGGGAGACGTAGGTCACCAGGGTTCTACTGACAGGTGGGGCCCATTGCTCGCGTGTAAAGGTAGGGCCGTATTGTCATCTTCTCTGTGTACAGTTGGCGGTGACAGTGGTCGATGTTTTTTTGCGTGTATTTTTCTTTTTTTGGTGGGATATGATGCTTTTCTGTTCACAGGCCACGGTTTTGTTGCTTCGGGATCGGCGTGGGACCGGATGGCAGTGAGTCATAGTCGTGAGTTGGGGATGACCGTGTGCGAGGATATGGCGTGATGTGCCGTGGCAGTAGCTCTGTCGTCTGATAAGGATTGTGTGGCTGACACTCCAGATGATCGTTATTGTCGCTCCTACTTTAAAAATTGCAGTCGTGCGCAGTTACGCTTGCGTAACAATGGTAGAGTAAGTAATTTATCCTTAATTCACTCACCCAGATAATCTTCAATTATAGTATGAGCCTATCTCTCGGGATGGGCTGGCAAATTGACTGCAATCCTAACCCATCCTTGGGATGAATGGATATAGGTTTATGCCAAACAAAGCATAAAAAAACTTTAGAGTTTTCTTGCTTCACTTGGGAGCTCCTTGATATTTTAGGTGTTCTATTAAGAAATCCTTGATATTTTAGCAACTACTAGTCTCTAATATTAGGTAACTTTTACCTCCAAATTTTCTCTAGGATATTAAAATCCAGAGTGAATTTCAGAAAACCCCACGTTTTGAGGCTAATGTAACACATAACCACAGGTTTCGTTTATTTTCTCACATAACCCCGTGCATTCAATCCAATTAACATAATACCATAGGTTTTAGTGAGAGAAAGTGCCACAAGGGCAAGTGACATGGCAAACTTGCTCCACATCAGCTGGCCCCACCTGCCAGGTCAATATGTGGCCTATTATGGTGGGATCACGCGGGAGAACAGAAGCGTGTGTTCCCTGTTCCTACGCACACAACGCGGCACCTCCGTCTTTCTTGCGTACGCAGGCGGTGGCGACGTTCCCCAACCATCTCTTGCATGATGGCCTCCGGTGATGATGGTGATGTTGACCTAGCTGGAGGAAGAGAACTCGTTAGGTATCATTCCTAGCAGGTAACATTCATCTCTTTTCTTGTGATGATCATATGAATTGACTCCAAAGCATGTTGGTTGGTGATTTGCAAGGACACTCTGCTTCATGGTTCTTTGACGAGGAATTAAATCCAGCCATTTGATCATGTTTGGCTTGTCAAGAAATTAGGGCTAGTAAAATGTAATTTAGGGGAACCCATTATTGTTAGGGCATTACAACTTTGCAATCGTTCTTCTGTTTGTCATTGCAAAATTGCTTTTCATCATTGGACCATAATTTTTCAAATAAAAAAAGCATGTAGATTGGACCGTGTATAAGACTATTCTATTACAACTATTATATTGCAGTCAGATATAAAACTAACCATAATTAACATTTAAAGGCCTGCAACATTTTTTTCTGCTTCACAAAAGAGCAGACATGGCTTCCTCTTTTTTTTTTCTCGGCAAATAGGTTGTATTTTTCTCTGCTTCACAATGTATATATTTCAGATATGGATTCGTTTTGCAAATTTCTTATGCCTTGGACCTGCAATGGGTCACATATTAACTGTTGCTATGGTGCTTTTATTCAGACATGGAATGTTTTTATAACGTTTGCTCCATTGTTCTGCTTAATGCATAGAAATTGTCAGTTTTTTTCCTTTCATTTTTTTTTCATAGGAACACAGTGTCAGGCACCTTGGTGATCGACCTACTTACAAAAAACTCGAGCAGAAACATTGTCAGGTCCTGGCCATGTTTAATCAAACACACACACAAGCTTTGTATAATTAGAAGATAGGAAGTATATGTACAGTTTGATCAGTTGATGCAAAACAGAACAGGCGATGCTTGCCTTTGCATGTGCACGACGAGCTGCCCCTCTGAACTTGTAACAGGAGGAAAACTGCCGCAGCGAGCACGAGGAAGACGAGGGGTGCGTCGTCGCGTGCGCGGGAACAGAGGATGGGTGCTTCCCAGCCCTAAATAGCTCACGCATTGATCTGGCAGGTGGGGCCAGCTGATGTGGAGCAGGTCTGCCATGTCACTTGTCATTGTGGTACTTTCCCATATTTAAATCTGTGGTGTTGTGTTAATTGGATAGAATGCATTGGGTTATGTGAGAAAATAAATAGAACCTGTGGTTATGTGTTACATTGGTCCTAAAACATGGGGTTTTCTAAAATTCACTCTAAAATTCAAGATGTGTTCACTTTTTGTCATTTTTAACCTCATAAAAAATTTTGGCAAGACAATCAACAACACAACCCTACCAAATTTTGTTGATTTAGAATATTTCACTGCTACCACCATCTAACCTTTGCTTCAGCATTACAAAACATTGGCAAGTTTCATTTTGCAACAAAGTGAACACACCTTCAGTGTCATTATGAACTCTTATTAGGCCTAAGGTCAATACATTTGGGCTTCCACTGGACAAACTAGCTCTCTGTTCTGGGCTTGGAGCCCACGTCCGATGGGTTGATGGACATAATAGTGTATTAGTTTTGGAAAAAGTGCACCGGAGGTCCTTGCACTTGTCACCGAGATACGAAAACGTCCTCAAACCGCAAAACCAGATATACAGAGTCTCCTAACTATACAAAACCAGTCACCCGAGGTCCTTTGGTAGTTTTAACCCCGGTTTTGGTATACGTGGCGGCTGAGTCAGCATGGGACCCACATGTCAGCATGCCATGTCATCACTCCCTCTCTCTCTCTCCCCTCCTCTCCCTTTCTCCTCTCTTTCTCTCTCTTCACTTTTTCTCCTGCAAGCCGGCCGGCGGTTGGGGAGGAGATCGCCGGGGCGACGAGGTGGCGGTGGCGGCGGCTGCGACACGGGAGCAGGCCGGGTCAGATTCTTGCACCGGCCAAGGCTGCGGCGGTGGGGGATGTGGAGAGGAGGACGGCGCAGGTCGAGAAAATGCTGGTCGCCACGCGCCGTGCTCAAGGACCTGCCGCCTCCGCCTCCGACAGGGCGACGCCGAGGCCGGCCTCCCTGCGCCTCGTTGCCACCGACAAGCCGACGCCGACGCAGTAACCCCGCGCCTCGTCGCCACCGACAAGCCGACGCCGACGCAGTAACCCCGCGCCTCGTCGCCACCGACAAGCCGACGCCGACGCAGTAACCCCGCGCCTCGTCGCCACCGACAAGCCGACGCCGACGCAGTAACCCCGCGCCTCGCCGCCACCGACAAGCTAACGCCGACGCCGACGCCGAGCTCCCCGCTGCGGCACCGGCCTCCCGCGCGCACCGTGCTCAAGGACCAGCTGTTTCTGCCTCCAAGATGCGGCTGGAGCAGCAGCTGGCGGCGGAGAGAGAAGGATAAGAGATGGGCGGCGGTGAAGTCACATCCTGCCCTCTCCCATCTCTCTTCCTCCAGATCCGCTCGGCGCTGTTGACGAGCGTGATAGGCGACGGATCGGGCGGCATCTCGGCGAGCTCGTCGCGGGCGGCAGCATGCGCCAAGGGTCCATGTCGGCCTCACCAGCAACGCGCGCGACTGATTCGCTGAGGTAGGCCGCCCCTTTCTAGACCCGTGCCTCTGTCGGCGGCGGCGATGAGGTTGGGGAAACAACGAGTCTTCATCTTCACCGCCTCCACTGAGATCTCCGGCGTCTCCACGCGCGAGCATGGTGAGGGCTGTGAGTCTGAGACTGGCGACGGCCAACCTCCTACTCCCGACGGCGGCGGAGGCACCTCTTGCACGCACCATACCTGACGAGTGGGCCTAGACATTTGCCACGTCAGTGAAAAAAAATGTGGAGAAAAGAGAGGGAGAGAGATGGTGTTTACGTGGCATGCTAACATGTGGGGCCCACGCTGACTCAGCCGCCACGTACACTAAAACCGGGGTCAAACCATCGAAGGACCTCGGGTGACCGGTTTCATATAGCTAAGGAACCCCGTATATCTGGTTTTGCGGTTCGATGACGTTTTCGTATCTCGGTGACAAGATCAGGACCTCCGGTGCACCTTTCCATTAGTTTTTCTTTTCCTTACATCGGTACACTGTGCCACGCCGCCACCTACCTGTCGACGTTGCAGACTTGCCCTATAGTGCCATCCCCACCCGCGCGGCTCGTCTCGTCTCGTCTTCTCCCGAACGAACAAAGCACCCGAACCACTCTCGTATCTTCCCTGTTCCACCTTCCACCACCCTCTTTATCCAAACGCCACCGCTCTGTCACTCTCCTTCCTCCCGGCGGAGGCACGGCCAGCCTCCTCCCGCTCCCGGCGAACAGGTCCGGACTCCGGAGGCACGGCGTGCGCGGCCGCCTTACCTGGCTGCGCGCGCGCACAGCCGGGTGATCAGGTAAAGGCCAGGGGTAGACGCGGCCGGCCATCCATCTGAGTTAGAACGGAATCGAAGGTAAATCGTTCTTCTCTCTCTCAGCGCCACGTCATGAGCCGGCTTGGTGTAGAGCTCGTCCGGATTTAGTTGATTGTTCGATTCGTTTCCGTTCAATCAAACCCATCCGGTTTCTTCCCCATTCTATTACTTGGACGCGTGCGAGGTGCAGTAATAATAGATAGCAATTTGTTTCCAAAAGAATTCGAGGGTTCAGCTGAATCTCATGCGGTACTTTAGGTCCGCCCCTGGAGTTTTTGAGGGTGTTTGTTATGCGATTTTGCTGTGTTTAGCTTTACTCTAGATTCTAGATGACTTGGTTTATTTAGGAGATGGATTGTTGTTTTCAAGGGTTTATTCCGCATTTCTGGTAATCAATAGGCACTAGATACTTATTCTAAATTTCCTTTTGAGGAAAGTGAGATTCTCCCCTGCACAAGGCGGTACTGCGGTAGTAACATAGAAAATCTCTGTAACGTTACTGAAATAATTTGAATTCCTTTTTCCATCACATCCTTTGGGTATATTATTTGAATATTTTTATTCCTAACTTGTTTCATAGTTCTGATTTTTTTCCTCAGATGGATTCCTGTACTGCAAATCTCATGTCACGGCTGAGCAGCATTTACAGCCAACACAGGACTTCTGGATTGCGGTCTGATCGTTCAATTATGCCAAATTCTACATCAAACAGTTTGAGGACAATCAGTTCTGTTCACTTGCCGTATAACCATCGGGCCAGAAATTTTCATATATCTCATGCTGTGGGTGATTCTTCAGAACATGTTATTATAAATGGACAGGCTAGTCCTTCTAAAGTGGTTCAAGCAGATGCTGCTGCACTTGGGACCATAGCTGCTGATATGGCACCTGTTGTTGATGGTTTTTCTGCTGATGATGACGAGCTTGACCTAGACAGCCCAACTGAGGGTTTCTCATCCATTCCTGAAGCTATTGAGGATATTCGCCAAGGAAAAGTATGGATCTTATTAAAAAATATCATGTTTTCTAGCATTAATTAGGTTTTTGAAGTAGTTCCTTCATCTGTTGACAGTGTTTATATTGCAGTATGTGATTGTTGTGGACGATGAAGATAGAGAGAATGAAGGAGATCTTATAATGGCAGCATCAAAGGTGACACCTGAGGCTATGGCTTTCATAGTGAGGCATGGGACAGGCATTGTATGTGTCAGCATGAAAGAAGATGACCTGGAAAGACTAGAACTTCCTCTTATGGTGACAACAAAGGAAAATGAAGAGAAGCTGCGGACTGCCTTCACTGTTTCAGTGGTATGTATTTTCATTCGCTGTTATTGCTTTTTGTAGCACAAGATCATTTTACATATATGGTAACTTGTGTTAACAAGAAAGAGAACCATTGGGGTCTGTTAACCACTTTGGTTAGAATGAGCTAAAAGGGTCACCTTTTGATTGAAATCACTTTGATGCGTGTATGTATTCCTTTTAAAAAACTATGTTATGTCCATGACTATTTTGTGCAAAAGATGGACATAATCGAGTGTCTTATCATTCCTATCTCCTTTGCTTGTTGTGTATGGATGTACTTTTTTTCCCCAGTTTTTGCCTTCTATGAGAGCATATTGCTTATGCCCTGTTTTTCTAATCTGTCTGTGCTAAATATTTGTATTGTAGGATGCTAAAGAAGGCACAACAACAGGGGTTTCAGCTAAGGATCGGGCAAATACAGTCTTAGCACTTGCATCTCCTAATTCTAAGCCTGAAGACTTCAACAGGCCAGGACATATTTTTCCTCTTAAATATAGAGAAGGAGGTGTGCTGAAAAGGGCTGGGCATACTGAAGCATCAGTTGACCTTGCCATGTTGGCTGGGTTACCTCCTGCTGCTGTTCTTTGTGAAATTGTTGATGATGACGATGGATCCATGGCTTTATTGCCAAAACTCCAAGATTTTGCAAGAAGGGAGAACCTGAAGATAATTTCAATTGCGGACTTGATTAGGTTTGCTTTATTTAATATATTCAAGTGTCAATCCTTTTTTCCATAAGAATCATACATGCTGCATTGAAGTACAAAATTTAAGAGTAATTATTATTTACAGAAGGGCTAATGGTTTCATGATAAGTAGTAACGGGAGAACAGGTCATTTTTTCTATTGTACTTCATAACCACATTTCAAGCAAATGTTTTCTTACAGGAATGCAAAGCACAGTTGATATATATACATGTAAAACTATATTTGTGGAAGATATGAATTATAAATTATAATACATGGATTATTGTTTTGTGGAACTTTCCGGCTACTATATATATCAGCTACTAATAATTTTCTTATGCAGGTATAGGAGGAAGAGAGACAGATTGGTAGAACGTGTTTGTGTTACACCTTTACAATTACAATGGGGATCATTTCAATCTTATTGCTACCGATCTCTTATTGATGGGATGGAGCACATTGCTATGGTCAAGGTAAGCATCCCTCAACAAAGACTATGTTAAGTACTTTGATACAATGTCTACTTTTAGGAGAGCGTTTACTTTTTTTAAATAAAAAAAAGTAAAATCCATGCCCTTATGCATTATATAGAAAAGTAGAATCACATGTACAAAATCCTGAACAAATTACAGTATAACAAGATATCTTTGCCTGTTACATTAGTCAGACTGGATCGCAACTAATGATTCAGTGATACCCAGGACATGGTTCATCTGCAATGATTGTTAGAAAGTAGTGAAGCAACGGTTTCTTTTATTGTATTTAAGTTATAAGCTCTACCAGACTTTCTCATCCAGGAAGAAGTTGAACCTAGAATATATATTTTTCCCTTGTATGCAGGGTGATGTTGGTGATGGCCAGGATATCTTAGTGCGAGTGCATTCGGAGTGCCTAACTGGAGATATATTTGGATCAGCCAGGTGTGATTGTGGGAATCAACTTGCCCTGGCAATGACCATGATTGAGAAGACTGGCAGGGGTGTAGTAGTTTACCTTCGTGGACATGAAGGTAGGGGCATTGGTTTGGGTCACAAGCTTCGTGCATACAATTTGCAGGACGATGGGCGGGATACTGTTGAGGCTAATGAGGATCTAGGTCTGCCGGTTGATTCACGAGAGTACGGTATTGGTGCACAGGTATATATAAATTGTCTGTACTCCTGAACTATTGAAAATGAACCTGTGACATAGCGTTCCTGTTCACGCTGTTCCAGATTCCGCTCATTGCTGTTTTTCTCTCTGCAGATACTACGAGATCTTGGTGTCCGAACCATGAGGCTTATGACTAACAATCCTGCGAAATATACTGGACTGAAGGGCTATGGTTTGAGTGTCTTGGGCAGAGTGCCACTGTTGACACCAATAACCAATGAGAATCGGCGTTACATGGAAACAAAGAGATTAAAGATGGGGCATGTTTATGGAACCCGGCCTAGTGGTAATACAAGCACCTTGGCTGATGGCGGCATAAAAAAGGAGCAAGATCAGATTGACAGTGCTAGCGAGCAAGAGTAAACTCCAGGAGATTAACTATATTCATTTTTCTTAAGGCGGTGGAATATAATCCACGAATTTGATTTTAAGCGCACTCGTCGTGCTCCAGTTTTGGTTTTATGTATCTCCAGTTTTTTGCACTTGTCATCCTGCCAAAAGTTTTTACGCTCCTTGATCTTCCGTTATCCAAAATATATGATGCATGTTTATGCACCTCTCCCAAGCATTTACGCCTAAAGTATGTAATATGTTTGATGTTTGTAATGTTTTTTGAGGGATGCATATATTTTGTTTTATATGTATGTGTGTGTATTTATGTGTTTGAGGTGGAATATATGTGTTTAAGATGGTTCTCTATAGGTTTAGTGTATCTGTAGCTACAAAGTGCAATGCTATTAGCACTTAATGCATACATGTACCATATGCAAACATCTTACTAACTTACTAATGGTTTCATATCGTCGTTTGATGATAATGCCCACTCTATTACGTGGCCTGAATACGTACCTACCATGTTCAATCAGTTCTCTTGAAAGAACGGATATGCTTTCTCTTAGTTTTGATTCTTTTATTTGGGCATAAGTTTCATTTTCGGTTGTGGGGACATCTATTTGAGCGTGGTGTACAAAGTGACAATGTAGTGTTCTTTCAGCAAATTGTGATGCCTGCCAATCTGCCATGCCATTATATCTGCAGTTCTTTTCTGTGCTAAAATTTTAGCATGTGAACTAGTTCACACAAACACAGAGCACACTCTTGAGTAATTTTTTTTTTGACTTTAACACTCTCTTGAGTAGACCCAGCAAAAAACAAGCTTGTTAGTTGTTCAAATTTGACTAAGGTAATATTCTACCGGCTTGATTCAAAGAGTTAATTTTAAACTAAACATAAAACAAAAATGTCAAAGCTAGTCAGGTTTGAATGCAGCTCAACGGTATGACGTGTTGTTCTTTTTCTTCCTTCAACGCCGTAAATGGCCTTATCACGACAGCAGTGGTGCGAGGCAAAAAAAAAAAAGAAAAAGAAAAATGCGAAATGTCCAGTACTCCAGTCGACGAGGAAGGAGGAAAAAAAAAGAAAGAAAAAAAGAAAAACGCGCGAGGAAAAACCGAGACGAGAGAAAGTTGGGGAGAGAGAGAGATGGTCTGGTCCCCGTGACGAGCACCGGTGGCCTCTCCCGGAGCCTATCGTTTCCGGGGGCCCTCCTCCACCTCCTCCTCCTCCTCCTCCTCCGTCCTCGCGGCCGCTCGCTTCCCCACCGCTACTTCCCTCCCGGTATAAACCCTATCCCTCTCCGCCTCCGGCCCATCGCTTTGTCGCGACGCGCGCGCATCGATCCCACCGCCGGCGAGGGCGAGCAGTAGCGGCGGCGGCGGCGGCGGCGGGGGCGGAGGCTGATGGCGACGGCGGTTGGGTCGCAGCCGCGCGCGGCCATGTGCGGTGCCAGGTTGGGTCCCCCCCCCACCCCCATCTCCTCTCTCTCCTTCTGGCCGCGGTGCTGCGGGCCGATTCGCTGGTTTAGTCGTTGCCGTTTAGCTCGTGGGTGGATGGGTTGCGGTGGAATGCGCTGGTTGCGAGCTTGGATTGTGGAGGGGAGGGGTAGAGGTAGTAGGGTCGTTGAATTCGTCACTGGCTCACTAAGTTATCTGTGCGATTTCGGTTCGGGGGCGTGCGCCGCCGAGGGATTTCGTCAAATTTGGTGTTGTAGGTTGCCGTTTTGGTGATGGCGATAGCATTGCGGTTTTGACGGCCGGAGCTTTGACATGGCCAATTGAACTGGGATACTTTACTACTAGTAGTTTCCTCTTCTGTTCTGTTGAGGCTTGCAGTTATGCACACGGTGTGTTTCCCGTATTGTGCTTTCAGTGGCAATTTGACGGCGGATGCTTATTCCTAAAACAGTAGCTTGCCAGCGTTTCTTAAATTGTTTGCTACTGGTTTTGATTATGGAATAGGTTTCATTGTACAGTGAAGTTAATAATATTTTTCTTGCTGTTTCTTATTATAATGGATCAAATGGTTGAACGTGTTTGCAGCACATCGAAGATTTACACTCTGGAGAAAGTATATGGATTCAGATTAGTATGCAGAAGTGTGGTTGATCTGAGGAGTCAAAAATTTCATACACGTGTTTATAAGAGAAAGAGCTATTTCAGGAGTTCAGCATCAGAATGTGAGAAGATCATTCACAGTGCTAGATGGCTAGAATTTAGGAGACAGAGGGTAGCATTTCAGAGAACTAGAAGGACAATCCATCTTATTCCTTTGGCTTCTCAAGATGATAGCAGTGGTTTATCTGTTAACGGATCCCCACAAGTTGATTCGGCAAGCGAGATGGATGATATAAGGGTGAAATTGGTTAAAGCACTACAAAGCGAGGATATAAGCACTGGCCTTGTCCAATCAATACATGATGCTGCAAGATCTATTGAATTGGCTTTCTTAGATCACAGCAAATCATCAAAAAACTCTTGGTTTCCAAAGGAATGGCTTGGTGTGGATAACAATGAATGGATAAAACCACTCTCTTACCAGGTACAGGACTGAACTTTCTTCAGGCATATATCTGCCCATAAAATGATAGTGACCATTATTCATGTCATTGATTAAATAGTTTCTCTTGACTTTTCCCTTTTGGCCTTCCACGCAGAAAACTAGTATTGAAATTTTGTAAGCCAGATTTTATTGCATGCACCCTACTGTTTCCCTTTTTTTGTTTAGAAAAAGAAAAGATGATGTAGTCAGGATATCATCCATAGAGGTCTTATGAAATATGGATGCCTGTATAGATGAATATGTATGTTGAACTTGGTAAACTATTAATTGGTTAGCTTTTGTTCACCCCTTTTAGGATATTAGTAGTGCTACTCTGCCACCAGAGGAAGTGTTCTGCTCTGGTGTCTGGAGTATTATTTTCATATATGAAGATGCAGAGTCTTTTAATCAACTTAGAGCCAATCGCGGCAATTGAACCTTCTTTGAGTTGATGTTTATTAGTTCTCACACATAAATCTTCAGTAAAACAAATATTAGCTGTTGCGTTCTGAATTTTGGTGGCATGCAAACTTTTTATTGTCTGGTATCTAAAATAATCTGTTTGCAGGCTGCTGTCGGTTCATTGTTGCAAGCAGTTATTGATGTTTCATCTAGGGGAAATGGCAGAGATAGAGATATCAATGTATTTGTTCAGAGGAGGTCTGCCCTCTAGCACTTGCCTTGATTATCATGCCTAATTGCTGACATTATCCTTTTTCTCCTGGTGTGTTTTTAAGACTACAACTATCTATCATCTTGGAGCCAATTTTGCTTTTTAATACCTTAGAGAGCAAATGGTGTGTAATGTACATTTTATGTAGCTTCCTCTGTATATTAAGTTTTCTTGGAGCTAATTCCTGTCTCATAAGTTGCTTTCCATCTATAGCCTAATTATTAGAGAAATATATTCCTCCATTTCTTGACTGGTAGATTTCTTAAGTTTTAATGTCAATAAAACATATGCTGTCAGAAGAGCATGCAAATTAATTGATCCACTTGATTCATGGGAAAAAAAAGTTACTGCTAGAGTCTACAGGTTTCTGCTGTATTTGCATTTTTGTTGACCCAGAATGAGCCTTCTACTGGATTCAATAGTCAAGCTTACATGAACATAGTATTGACAGCATGATGAAGCCAAATCAGATCTAACCTCTATGTTGTACATAACAGTTCAATTTGTGATTATAGAACATGCCTCTTGGTCTCCTATTTAATCATATTTAATTTTCTGTTGCAGTTTATCCCGCCTACTTAGTTCTCTAGAGGGTGCTATCCAAAATGAGCTGTCGAAAAGGGAACCTACATTGTACCAGTGGTACTCATCTGATCAAAATCCTTTGGTTGTGAGAACATTTGTTAACTCTTTTGAAAACGATCCACGGTTTAACTCTGCAACAGCAATGTAAGTTGTTTACTTCTGTTGGGCTTCATTTGATAAATGAACTAATACATTAACGGATACCTTTTCTTTTGTTGCTTGCAGATGCCATGAACGCCAGCAAATGAATACTAGTGAAAGTGACCTTTCTCTACTTATGCTAGGTTTGACATGTCTTGCTGCTATCACAAAGCTTGGATCAACAAAAGTTTCTTGTCAGCAGTTCTTTTCCATGGTCCCTGATATCATTGGTCGATTCATGGATATGCTTCTTGAATTTGTCCCTCTAAGTAAAGCATATACCTTGACAAAAGATATTGGTCTTCAGAGAGAATTCCTTTGCAATTTTGGTCCTCGTGCTGCTGACCCTAAGTTTTCCAGTGATCGTGAAGTTGAGATATCGTTTTGGATTGATCTGGTTCAGAAACAGTTGCTACGGGCTCTTGATCGTGAAAAGATATGGTCAAGATTGACAACAAGTGAAAGTATTGAGGTTGGAACAAAAGATATTTCGTCTAGCTTTATGAATTCTCCTTCCAAAATAACTATTTTCCTTACTGCAGGTTTTGGAAAAGGATTTAGCAATTTTTGGGTTTTTCATTGCTTTAGGCAGAAGTACGCAAACATATTTGTCTTCCAATCATCTTACCAATCTGGATGATTCAATCAATGATATTGTAAGGTGTGAATGATGCGAATTTTGAATTGCCATTTGCTCGATGAAATTATGTTTCTGTACATAAGCTACAGTATAACTGTTTTCTTGCGTAATTATGATGTAGCTCTCACCTTAACAAGCTTACAATCATCCAGGTATCTTATTGGTGGGAGTGTGTTATATTATCCACAGTTGTCTTCGATTAGTTCTTATCAGCTGTATGTGGAGGTTAGTATGCAGGCAATACACCGAGCTCTCAATGCTATGCACCTTTTTTGTGTTTTTATGACCTTTTCACCTTCCAGGTAGTTTGCGAAGAGCTCGAGTGGCTTCCATTTTACAGTGGTGATGTGCCAGCTGCAACAATTGAAGGTAGAGAGGATGTGCATAAAGGAGAAATAATATCAAGAGTGCTAAATGTGTGCTCTTATTGGATGACTAGTTTTATAAAGTACAGCTCATGGCTTGAGAACCCTTCAAATGTAAAGGCAGCCAGATTTCTGTCCAAGGGGTACATCCAAATTCAGTCATGCTCTCTCACATTTTGCCGCAGATATGGATGCGAACCAACGTTTCTAATATATGGTCAAATTTTTGTAGGCATTCCATGTTGAGTGATTGCATGAAGGAACTGGACTTAACAAAGTAAACATATAATTCTGATGTTTATATTGTTATTTGTTATGTTACTTGGGTATATGTTTGTACAATTGTAAGAATATTATTATTTATCTGCTCATTCTGATGCAGGTATGATATGCCAAAAGACCAAACCTTTCCAGAAGCCAAAGAACACTTGGTTGCTAGGACAGAGCTAGCCTCTTTTGACAAGGTATCTGTTACATGATGCACTTTAACGTTACTAGTATTTCTTCTGGTTCTCACACATCCCAACAATAGTAATTCTCAGTACTGTTAGTTAAATTATTATTTTTTGTGAGGAGTTAGTTAAATTATTGTGCATTTGACATGTTCCAAGATGATGTTGCTGATATCAGTGCTAAACTGCTAATTATATTATAGTTTCTTCATGGAACCTATATGCCAGTTTCAGAGGGAAGCGGTGGTGCATGTGTGTGTTTTGGGGTTTTGTTTTGGTGTGGTGGGAGGGGGTGGAGGGTGGGATGGATGGTGAGAGGCCTTATATTCTCATGGCTGTTGCCAGAATATTGGTGTGGACAAGAAATATGACTAGTGGACTTATGTTATTTCTCTGTAAGCAAACAATAAGATGTTAAGATTGCTTTCATGAGTAGCCCCTAATGAGAATATATAATATTTGGTGAAAAATAGCCTTGTTGGATAAGGGTAAACTGTGAAAGAAGCTCCAAGCAACTTGATGCACTGCTGGCACTATGCGAAACATCATTGCAGGCCTCATGCTGATAGTAACTCCCGGCCATAACACTATAAGCTCAGACATCAAATTCATTACGATGCAAGGCTGCACATGCAGGGAGATGCCACCGTCTCCTTTTGATATGCTTACACATTCAAAGCGTGACATGTATTAGATGTATTCTGAGATATGCAAGAGATGAAGGATTGATCCATTTAATGTATATCTGTTTACAATTAATAACTGTACAAGATCATATGTTAGATGTGTTTTTTTTTTAAAAAAAATATTTTTCGGACTGTTAAGTTATATGCATTTTTATGTTCTCAATTAGACTTGCCATTTGCCAAAAAGCTTATGGTCAGTCTTACTTATGTTTGTGCTTAGTTGTGTATGCTTGTTTTCAGTTTACAATGGCAATTTGAACAAATGCTAATTTAATTACTTCTGAATATATATTGTAGTGGTGAAAATTTATGAAGTTAGTCTCAATAATTGCAGTCACTTGAAAGTGTTGAGGAAGCTTTGGTTAAGTTAGAAGATTTGCTCCAAGAATTGCATCTCTCCAGTTCCAACTCTGGTAAGGAGGATCTAAGGGCTGCATGTTCTGATCTTGAAATGATTAGAAGGCTGAAGAAAGAGGCTGAGTTTCTTGAGGCTTCCTTTCGAGCAAAAACAGAATTTCTTGAGGTGAGCTTAATTATCATACAACCTTTTACTAGCCTGCATTTCATCTGGAAAAGGAATTACTACAAGTATGTGGACACTTTAATTTCTCCATCATAGGACTCAGGAGAGTGCATTCCAATAACTGCAATGGCTATTAAGGGCCAGCTATTTCTCAATAATAGAAACAACATCCTCAATGACTGAAATAACAATTGTCACATGTATAGATTAGATGGCCCTAGACCCAAGCAACACAACCATGCTGATGACCAGGGGCCACACTACATGGGCTATGGATGATTACCTAGTCCAAACACTTATGATTATTTCTTGCTTAATCTGATTAAAATCCAGATATATTTTTAAATAGGGCAGCATTAACCACGCAACGAGCCACATATCTTATCTCCTTATCTTAACCAACTATACATGTTCTGCATCCAGCTGCCTCATGCTTCCTAAGCTCCTGTTGGGCTGTTCATGACATTCCATTGGCTGTAAGGCCTCTTGCCTTGATCACATCTCCAATAATGGGTGTATCATGGAACTTCACCCTTCCTTTCTAGCTGTTTGTCCTCAACCTGCAGGGTGGTGACCAGTTGCACCCCTTGAAATCTCCACGGTGAAGAGGTTGCAGTGTGGGCATCCTGTCATGTGAGAGCACCAAGCTGTCAAGATCACACAGACTGTGCTTCTGAAGGTTGTCAATGTATCTACCATGGCCGGTTGCTGCACCTCTACCAGCTACAGTCACAAGATCAACAGGTGGTGCAGTCATGCCAAAAAGTCTTCATTGGCATGCCCCATGGGGCTAGCGCTTTTCAAGTCATTGATGTTGTCAGCATGGAAGTCGCTGGATGGTGAAGTGTTGAAACCACATCAGGGCTGCCTTTTTGGCGTCCATGGGGCTTGCAAGTTGATGGCAAAGCCAGTAGTTGTGCTAGCGATAAAGTGAATGATAGTTGCAGCCGTTCTGATGGTGGTTTTGTTGATCTTTGGTGTTGCCTGGTAGGGCTGACTCTTTCTGCACCAGCTGTGGTGGTTGACGCCAACACCAAATTATCACATGCCCTGATTATATGGCCCTGGACCCAAGCAGTGCAACCAGCTGATGACTGACAACATCACCACAAGGGCAGGGATATACGAGAGTAGGAAGTCTTGAAATATATTTCTCCTTAGTCCTTAATGATGGCTTGGCTTATTTAGACCACCTCCTAACATGTGCTAACTAATACAGTATAACAGTTACATTCCTAACAGCTTCACTAACTAATCCTATCTTTACTATAAAGTTGATGCCCACTAACTCCTAAAGCTCAACATGCAAGTGTGCCACATCATCGCATACTAGCAATTATCATCCAGAGTATTTTAAATCACATGCAAGTGGACCCACTAGCAGTTATTATCTAGAGTATTTTAAATATCATGCAAACATGACATATCATTTACAATTTTGTTGTATTTTTAGAACTCAATATGCAAGTAATGTCAAATCATTATCTCCACATCATTTTCACATTATTTAAACATGTACATCTATAATCTATAATTTCTATAATGAATAACATGCATTTATCCACTTATCCCGCAACAAAGCGTGGGTACCAACTAGTTACCTAAAGATAACATCCGCTTCAAATAAACTGATAACAACTAAAGATAACACAAGTGGAAAGTGGTATCATCTCCTTCAACGTCAGCCTCCTGACGCTCCAGTTGGCCATGCATTCACGTAGATATGTTGCACATTTTAGATATTTAAAACCGAGATATTATTTCTTTAGGGACATTCTGTTGATATAATTTAGGTTCTTCTACTCCCCCGAGAGTAGTTTCATTGGGTGGACTGTTTAAGTTTTGTTTACTGTGTTTAAACTTTAAAGGTGTGTCAGTTCTCCTTCCACTGATTAACATGGTTGACATTTTACACAACGAAGTTAGTTGATTCCATGTAGAACCACCATATTTCTAAGATTCCCACCCAATATTTGATAATGATTTTTTTTTGGTAATATGTTTGTGAGTCAACATAATAGAGGTTCCATATGTTCTACTTGGTACAACTGTTCATTACTACTATGATGGCTATCCTAAAGTTTTCTGATGGTCAATTAGGCTGATGCTAGTAGCAGACCATTATCTCCTGCTGTCGAGGAAGGCCGTGGAAAGACAGCTAGCAATGCTAATGAGAGCTCAACACCACAAAAACCAGCAAACAGGTAACATTCTGCTGTAGTTTCTGTGATTTCAGGGTGGATAATAACCGCTATTGTTTTTTTCACCAGAGTGGAGAACAAACGTCGTCCAATTTGGGACCTCTTTGGTAGGCCTTCTGGAAGGAGAGTTCAGCTTGTCCAACAAACTTCAGATCAAAATGTATGCGTTCTGTAGCATGCATTACTGTGCATTTAATAATTTTCAAACAACAATAGGGTAAAACAATAGAAGCTGCCATCTTGCAATGAATATTTGAGCTGTCCTTTTAGCAATTATATTTCGAGCAAATTTTTTAGGTGTTGTATTTAACAATGATGGGGATCACAAAAATCATCAATGATTAGTGATTTATTCTTACTAACAGTCTCTCTGTATAGTATATAATAGTTGCGGAAGCATGTATTCTGTTCTTGAGAACAACACCATTGATGCAAAGATATCTTGTTGCACCATGTTCTTACTTAACAGATTTTACCTCTTTTTTTTTCTCATAAAGGTTTCTGTCGCTAATGTGGATAACAAAGACACACAATCAAATGATATCCTCCGGTTTGAACAGTTAAGACGTGAGCTGATTGAGTTAGAGAAAAGAGTTCAAAAGAGCGCAGATAATGCTCAAAAGGAGGTATGCTTCTTAATATATGCTTTCTAAATGTTGACATGAATGCACCTGGTATTTGAGTTAGCACTTAAGCAACAATGCTGGACAGAGTACTTTATTCTGAGTTATGTGTTTCATATGATATTCTCACTATTGCTTTTGACCATAAATGCACATCCGTTTTCAATTTTGAAGAATTATTTATTGTTTTGTCATTTTCCAGGAGACATATGTCGCAAATGAAACATTGGATTCTTCCGTGTCATCATCTCCTGTATCAATGCCTTCTGGTCCAGCTAGCAAGAAAGAAAATGTTATTACCAAATCAGTAGAGAAGGTTAAGGAAACCACGACGGTAAGGCCATTTACATTTTCTTGAAAATATATTTGGTATTGGCCCTACATAATTTAATTAGTTGCCATGAAGCCTTTGTGCCACCAGGGCGCATCATCATATTTGAATGCTTCCATTACTGAAATCCAGAATGCAGCTCTCCTCCATATTTGAGGGAAAAAAAATGTCTAGAATGCAGACCTGCAACTTATTTCCTTTTTCTCTATTTTTTTCCCTACACAGACTGTTGTGCAAGGGACACAGCTCTTAGCAATTGACACAGGAGCTGCTATGGGTTTGTTAAGAAGAGCTCTTATTGGGGATGAACTAACTCATAAGGAAAAGCAGGCTCTTCAAAGAACCCTGACAGATTTAGCCTCTGTTGTTCCTATAGGAATACTCATGCTTCTGCCAGTAAGTATTTGTTGTACTTCGATTTACCCCTCCTGAACAAGCATAAAGCCTTCTAGGCCCAGACTGTTGTTTATTTCAATTTTGGTTTCAGAAGCCTGTCTTCTTTACTTCATCCACATTGACTAAAGATAACCAGTCATGTTTTTTAGTTAGTGAACTTTAATGTTCAGTGCAAATATCTTCATGGATACAGCATTGTAAACAAGTTCATAATGTTCCCAGGTAACTGCTGTTGGGCATGCTGCTATTTTGGCTTTCATCCAGAGATATGTGCCTTCCATGGTTCGTAACTTTGTATGACCCCTCATTATTTCCCCTGTGGCATGATTTAATTATGTACATTGTGCATCTGGTATTTTGTAGATCCCATCCACCTATGCTCCAGAGAGGTTAGATCTCCTCAGGCAACTTGAAAAAGTGAAGGAAATGGGAGTTGCTGAAGGTAGTAGTGAAGAAATGGTAGAGGCTGTAAGTTCGAGAGGTGACCAAGTGAAATAGGCAAACCATGTACAGACGGAAACAAGTATACTTCTGTAAGTAATCATTTCATCCGTGACTGCTGAGTTACTGTATTTATGTTCCTATCATAACGTTTGCATACATTCTTGTTTCCTCTGAACTCTGTAGTATTTTAGAACAATAAAGATTCTACAAGGGTGTGTTTTGCATCTTTGTGTTGTGCAATTATTTTATTAATGTTTTTAACCTTTCTGCAGTGTTTTGGAACAAGACAGAAGATGGTTTCATTTCGTTTATAGAAGATTCTTTCAGTGACATGCTGATAGAAGTGAACATAAAGGAAAAAACTGGAGTTTTACCAAACATTGCAACTGTGTTCGTTGAAGGAAGATCCTTCAGAAGTTGCACTTTGGAAGATTGTTTTCATACTTCATAGTGTACAAGGGCGCCGTGTGCCCATTCAACATAGAAGAAGGTTATCCAAAGTTCCTCTTGGATAATGTCTGTAGGGTAGATATTTGGCTGATGATTTGTATATCTAGCTGAGATTGGTGTATCAACTCTCCAAATGTAAAGAGACAGGCCTGAGTGGTGGCTTATCGGTCCGTGATCCTAGGTCATGCAGTGATGCACGACTCTGCTGTCAGCTTATGGGCAATTCAGCAGCAAAAGATTGATGCTGGTGGCGCACTGCTACATCCAATAGCACGTAAAGACTTTTGTGCTCTTGTAGTCTACTCTACTGTCCGGTCTACATTGCCTGGTCGTCTTCCCCTTTCATTTACGTATCATTATCTTGGATTATCTCCATTATAAAAATATAACATCTTTCACCTATAAATCTGGACATATTTGTCGGATATGTAGCTATATCTGGATACGTAGACGGATCGAGTAGTAAATACGCTGATTTCTGAGCTGTTCATACGGCTGCAAATTTGCACTGAAGTGTTCGCTGGAGCAAGGTTGTCACAACCAGAGCAGTGCACACGAAAAATGGAACGGTTCATTAGCGCGTGATTAATTAAGTATTCCCTTCGTTCAAAAATATAATAACTTTTAGCCCTTAGGATTTGTCCTAAAATATAACCACTTCTTCACCAACATTCTCTTCCAAACCAATCACAACCCTCAACTATTCACTTTTTCCACCTATCTTCACTACTCATCCAATCACAACCCTCCATCACTCACTTCTACCTATTCCATCCATTTCACAATGTAAGACTTTATAACATTGTTCATATATATATATATATATATATATATATATATATATATATATATATATATATATATGTTAATAAATCTAAACAAATATATATGTCCAGATTTATTAACATCTAAATAAATATAAGCAATGTTAGAAAGTCTTACATTGTGAAACGGATATAGTACTTTCTTAATAACCGTGTCCAATTCTAAAACTTCTTATCTTATATTATAGGACGGATGGAGTATTAGCTATTTTTTTTCAAAAATAAATCAATATGATTTTTAAGCAACTTTCGTATAATTTTTTTTATAAAAAACACACCGTTTAGTAGTTTGAAAAGTGTGTGCCTGAAAAACAAGGGAGATAGTTGGAAAACTTGGGGTAAGACCACAGCCAAGGTCTTTGGTCTCTGGATGCATCAGCTCGTAAATACGCCTAGCGTGCCATGCACTCTGGTATTCCAGACGTCCAGTTAATGTTGACTTCTTGATAGCACGATCCTTAATCACCTGATGTGTGATGCCACTATAATACCCTTTCATCGTTTACATGTTCCACTAAAGACTTGGCTAAGCTATAATAAAATACGGGGAGAAACCCGTAATTTTGATAAATTGATTCTTTTAAAAAACTTATTTCGAAATTGAACTATGCCAAAAACTAATTTCAAAAATAGACCGTTTTCTCAGCGCCATAGAGATTGGCGCTGAGATATAACATCTCGGCGCCACTATTATTGGCGCTGAGATGTCATCCGAGGTGTCACGGATTTTACACGTCATCCGAGGTCAGCACCAAAGATCTCTGTTCAATTTACAAATATTAGTTATCTACAAGCTTCCATTGCACACAAAGACAAGATAGCTTGGGGGAGAACTTGTGAAGTAATGGGTTCAATCCTTAGCCACGCAAGTTTTTCCATCTAAGTACAAGCATCTTTTGATGTTCTATTTAAAAATCTCACATGTTTTTCAAATTCATTTTATTTTTAAATATGGATGTTTTTTTAAATTTATTTTATTTTTAAATATGGAAGGAACAAAATTATGTATGCAGTATTTATAGCTTAGTTTTTTAAATTTATTTTATTTTTAAATATGGAAGGAACAAAATTATGTATGTGGTATTTATAGATTAATAGTCGGTATAAATTTACATATTTCAGTTTTTTTTCACCCTCTATTTTGCTACATAATTATGTATGCAGTATTGTTCCTCAAAGGAAAAAAAAAGAAAAATGGGAAGTTACGGGATTCGAACCCTTGACTTATGAGAGGCAGCCCTCCACCACCAGGATACACCTTCCATACAGTAAGGGTGTACATGCATGCTATTTATACAATCCAGACCATGTAAGTTAGCGCCAAAGAATTTGGCCCTGATATCGCATGACGTGTGATTTGCGGGACACGTCGGACCTTATCTCAGCGCCAAGTAAGATGCCGTGAGAAAATGGTCTATTTTTAAAATTAGTTTTTGACACGGCTCAATATCAAAATAAGTTTTTTCAAAGGGTCAATTTATCAAAATTACGGGGGAGAAACAGTCACTGTCAAAAAGTTCAGCGGCGACTACTCTAGACTTAAAATCTGAATAAGTAAACGGATGTGAATACAATAATTGAGCACAGCTCCATAAGACTCGATCCATGGTTCCAAAAGGTGTCATGTCCATTTTCTTCCGATTAAAGGATTTTTTTTAAATTGACCAAAGATTTCTCAAAGCTAATATTTATCAATTAACCAAACAAAACAATTTTTTAGATAAAAGAACCAAAAACATACTCCTACTACTCATCTAGTGTCATTTTAAGTAAGGAAATAGCCTGTCTATTCTAGTATATCCACTTCTCTGGCAATTTTAAACTGACATTAAGATTGACGCGGCATTGTTATAGGCGGACGCGCATTATCACAAATAGAAAAGGCAACCGACCTTGACTTGTGGCCAAAACTTCAGAGCTGGTCTTAAATCTTAATTAGGAATAAAAATAACATTTAACATGATGAAAGAGAATATGATGAGAAAAAATTACTTCACTTGCCCATGGTGACAAAAATACCCATTCTGATATGAGAAAAAACAAAGGAAAAAAAAAAGAGAGTTTTGGATTCATATGGATTCGTGACTGTAACACCGTTCGGTTCAAAGGAATTGATCTCTTACAGAAACCCAAGAAAAATCATGTGGATTCTACTAGAAACAAAGAAAAAAAAATTCATGCACTCTGACATGTCTTTATTTCATTTCTTACGTTTTTTTCTTTGCTTTTGCTTTGTTTGACGCATGTTTTACAATTCTATTTAGAATTCATATGTTTGTTTTGCATATGCTCTTATCTTTTCTTTTCCTATTTTGACTTTTTTTTAGTCCTATAATCCAAAAAGCCCGGAATTGGATCGACATCCCTAGGCTTTAGTTCGAATATGAGATATATGTAAAAGTTCCAAATATATCTACCTGGTTTAAAATTTCGGACAAGTCAACTGTTTTAAATACGTGAATGGAAAATATCTTTTGCTTTGACATGAAGATATTGCACCGTTCGTTTGTTTTGCAGAATTTGCTTTCATTATAAGTAGCCTCAACATTCTGTACCCATATCATCTGCACCCTGGCAGCCAATCCAACGGCCATCCTCCATCCGACGGCCGAACCGACTTAAAAAGGATGGCGTAATCACCGTCCAAAATCTCGAATTAAATAAATCCTCCAAATAAACCAATCTCCAATTTTTAATCGCTATCTATAACTCTTCCTTTTTCGTTTCTACCGCGTAGTCAGTTCCCCCCTTTTGAGATATTTAACCATTTGCCACATTTAGATGTGACAATTAACTTTTTGCCATTGGACCCATATGTCATAGACATATGTAGACCCACATGTCATTGAGATAGGGGTGGCAAATAGTTATTTGCTAAAACTAACCGTGGCAAATAGTTAAAAGCCCCCTTTTTTATAGCCCCCATACCTGAAGGCCATCATCCATCGCCCGCCTCGCCGCCTCCCCCACTTGGAAGTTGCAAAGCGAAGCCCACCAACCTCAAAAACCCAAACCCTAGCTCTCCTCGCCGCCATCCCATGGCGCGCCTCCACCTCGTGGTCGTGGCCATGGCCGCGCTCTTCGCCGCCGCGGCGGTGGCGCAGGGCCCGAGCGCCTCCCCGACGCCGGCTCCGAAGGCGCAGCCACCGGTGGCGACCCCGCCGACTCGGCCGCCGGCCGTGGCGCCGGTGTCTCCTCCCGCCGCCCAGCCGCCAGTGACGACGCCTCCCCCGGTTTCCGCGCCCGCGCCCGTGCCCGCCCCGAGCGCCGCCGCGACACCGTCACCCCAGGCCTCGGCGCCGACCGCGGAGCCCCCCGTCCTCTCGCCGCCCGCGCCGGCTCCGGGGTCGATCTCCCAGTCCCCGACGGAGGCCCCGACGTCTCCGCCGCCACCGAGCGCCGCGTCCGGAGTCTCCCCCTCCGCCGCCGCCGTCGTCGCCGCCTGGGCCGCCGTGGCAGCCGTCGCGGCGTTCTACTGAGATCCGGCTCCCGGAGATGAGTTCCTCGCCGCCGCCGATATCATCACCGCCATTACTGCCGTTAATTTATTATTGTTATTATTAGCTATTTCCCCCCTTCGCTCTGGGGTTGCTAATCCCATTGCGTTTTAATCTAGATCTAGCTTTTGTGAGTGAGAGAGAGACTGTGCTTGCCATTGTATAATCCTCCCCCACCGGATTCTTTTCTTTAATCTACTTTCGGACATTATTAGTAGAGATTTTGTCATCCGATTGCTCCTGCCTGCTTGATCTGTTCTGATCTAGCTCCTCAGATCTGCTCAGATTTTTCCCCCTCTGCTGTATTACTGTAGCATTCTACTCCTGTTTGCTTTGTTTCGATTCTACCGCTGTGGCTTTCGTTGCGTGATGATGTTGTCACGTTGGTGGCCAGCTGGGGAGCACAGCATCTCGCGTGTGATGGGAGATGGGAGAGGCGTCCGGTGCTGGAGGTGGTGGTGGTGGGGGGTGGGTGAGCACGGCAAGACATGCGGCGAGGGGAGGGCGCGTGGCGTTTGGGCTGCGCGCGTTGGTAACGTGCCCGCGGCCGACACGCTCGCGTAGGCGGTTTTTCGGTGCGGTTAGTGCGTGCGCGGGCGGGGCGGGTTTGGCCGGTAGCGATGACACTTTTGGGATGAAACCAGTGGTGGTGGCACACGTTTGATTAGTTTGGCTCCATCCCAGAAGTGAATTCTCCGACTTCATGACTCAACTGTAAACTGAAGTACAGGAAGTTAGAAAAGCCTCATCCTTCCATTCTGACTACGTAAATTAGGTAAGCCTTATCCTTCCATCCTCTCATCCTTCCATTTTGTGACTACACGGTACACGCAAGTTAGGAAAGCCTTATCCTTCCATCCTGATTTATATGACGACTACACAAAGTCAGGAAAGCCTCCTCGTTCCATCCTGACTACACGCCACAAGTTAAATCAGAATAAGTAAAAAAAAAATGTATTACTTTCGTTTTTTAATAGACGACGCCGTTGATTTTTTATCACGCGTTTGACCATTCGTCTTATTAAAAAAATTATGTAATTATAATTTATTTTGTTGCGAGTTGTTTTATCACTTAAAATGCTTTAAGCATGATTTATATCTTATACAATTTTTTTTGAATAAGACATAGTAAAAAATATGTTTAAAAGTTAACGGTGTCATGTATTAAAAAACAGAGGGGGTAGGACTTTACATCGAGCGAACAATGCAGGGCAATTATGTTATCTTTGCCCCTATCCTCCAGCCATTGGCCTCTAACGGCACGATGCGAAGACATTTTGTATGTCGCCGCCGTGATCCCTCGGCCGTCTTGAACCACCTGCTACTCGTGGTTTCTCGCCACCGCGTGTCGTGGCCGATGCGGTGCTCATCAGCATCATGTAGCCGCCGTCCCTATTGTACACGGAGTTGGAGCCGGTGCTGTGCTCGAGTGAGGTGTTATCAATGTTGACGAGGTCGTGTTGTTGTTGTTGCACTTGCATCGCCAGTGTCACCACTGCTGCCAAGAAGTCGTCGTGTGAGCCGTCGGTGGTAGCCCCGAGGTTGAGACGGTGGAGCTCTTGCAAGCTGTGCCGTCGGGCTCTTGCTTGTACCACTTGTAATGTGGCTGCGCGTATGGGTGAGGTGGCCGGGTACGTGTGGAACAGGCAAACAATCCCGCGATGGCAACACGGTATATTCACATTTCTTAGACGAATCATCACGGTACAATGTGGCATTCTGGAATCTATGAATGTACGATAGTATTCGAGATTCACGTTTCTTAGATAATCGTCACGTCGATCTTCGCCATATTCTAAAACCAGGGGTAAAAATACTCCGTAATATTGTTCGGGCGAGTGGCTAGCACGGGCCGTTTCTACTTTTCTGGTCCTCCAGAAATCTGGATAGGGAAAGGCCACAGCCGCGTCATCGAAAAGCAGCCCATAGAACGATGTATATACAAGTTAGCTCTAATATAAGCTTATAGCCGGTTATCTACTATTAAACATGCTCTAACCAGCTCAATAATACAAAACAGATGACATGGACAGTCAAATAAGTTAGTCATTTGCGGACTACGGAGTATTACACCGTAATTGTTTCATATCAGCACATCTACTACTTCCAAGTAAAGCAACAGCTCTCGACACAACAAATAAGCAAAAAAGGCACAGACGGCTCAAATCAACAAACAATAAGCCCCAATATGGCGCCTATGATGCCCAGTGATGATAGTAACGAAGAACAAGAATCCAGAGGAAGGCTGGCTGGAAGGGCCCATAACCAGCAAATAACTGAAACTATGAACAAAATCAGGAGTTCGACAAAAGCTATCAATGCTTCTGGAAGAGTATGCAAGAACAAAATCGCAAGACTATGCAAATTCCAACGTGCGTGCATTGTTGTATATCTGCACACTGAATGAGGACCCTAATAACCTGCAATATTTTTACCCTAAAAAGAACACGAAATAAAGTGTACTGAACATAAGTGGAGGTAAAGAAAGAATGGCTCAGAGAACCTTTCGCCGAACTGCACATCATGCTACTACCATCCCGTCCCATACCAGAGACTAATTGAATCGGGAAGGGAATGGGAGGCAGCCGTAAGACCGGCCTTTCATTTCTCCTCATTGCCATAACACTAATCACAATCCACACGCATACAGCATTAGGGACTAGGGAGGAGGAGACCACAAAATATGATGCAATGCATTTTCTTAATAGGCGGAAGAAAATTCAACTAACTATTTGAAGAGCATTAGGTAGCAAAATATCACCTTGATTCCTTGTCAATCCTCAGGGGTTATCCTCCTACAGGTAGATAATTTATGTGTGGCTGCGTTTATTCCTCTAGCCATATGAACTGTCCTTGATAATATTCACCAAAAGGTCTGGCTTCAATCAATCTTGAGCAAACTCATAAAGAGCTGATTTCCTCGCTATTCACCACAACAAATTTAAACTAAGCAATATGCTCCGGACTTCATATTCCACCAGCATTGGAGATAGCCCTACCGAGCCAATTGGTTTCAATGAAAAAATGATGACACTAAAAATCAAGCTGCATTAATATCAACATGGAAATAGGAATACCTCCAGGGTCCAGCGCTTCTGTTATTGAGCTGTTCTGCATCCTGTGTTTAAAGAGTTTTAAAATCATCCAAATCTAATCCACAATAAGGACCTTGGTCCAGAAACCTGCAAATCACATATAAGTTTACAATGTAAACCCCAAAAGAAAAAACTCAACAAATTCGTCAAAATACTTCCTGCCACAAGCACACCTGCTAAGACAAAAAAGGAAATCCTTTTGTGGCCACAAGACAACAATGTGCCATCACTAGGTTAGTAGGTTTCTAGTTTACTTTTAGGCTGGCACTATATCAAGTGTTGATTAGATATAAATAAGCAATAAAGAGCACAATAGAGTTTTGAATGACAGAAATAAAAATACTGGTTATGTTATGACCAAACAATATGGAATCTCAACAATTCGGATGACTGAAGAATTAACACAACTGACAACCTGCATTTCATCAAAACACCACAGATGTTTTCAGAAAATATGATGGTGAAAATTGGGGCACCAATCATAAAAACGTCCAAGAAAACATAACACGTTATAGTCAGATAAGCAGAAAATACATAAATTTTTACACCCAACTGAAGGCATTTTTGTTAATGGATAAGAGTTAGAATTGCTTTATTAAAGGGTTTTCCCAGAAAGGTAGCTCCAAGAATTCTTTCCAAGTATGTGAAACTAGTGAATCCCAACCACAGCCTTACAATCAAGACCACAATGCAAATATGCTATAATCAAGCATGAGATAGGCAATAGAAGCATCAGACAGCTGTCTGGTCTATCAATCAGATCAAAAGTAATATGCTTATTGTGTTGTTTGCTGTCACACTAATGCGGACCAGAAGTGCAATGAACATATTTACAATTAAAAGCCCACTTGGATATGCCTTTGCCACATATACATTCAGTTTTTTTTAGGAAAAAATCTTCAGTAATGCATCTCTCATCATTGAGGATGAATAAATACGCACTAGCTACTTTAAACAATCAGATGTCAGTCCATCAGCAATAGACCTAAAAGCAATACAAAGAACATCAACGCGAAAACCCAAATACATCTCCATGCCGAAACTTGAAGTAAGCACGCAGAAACTGAAGAGACCTAAAATATTCGTCAATAATTTCATAAAAAACGTGGTACGCGCAAGATGCAGAATACAAGCAGATCCCCTAGAATCATTCCGGATCTAGAAGGCGTAGAGCGCGAGCTACGAACCTCCGTAGTCGAAGCGACGGCACCGCCGGCGCCTACTGCGCAGAGGCGGCCTACGAGGACATGGCGGCCGTCAAGACCGTCGCCACAGGGGCCATCCCCGTCGGCGGTCGTCGCCGCTACGCCGCTATAGCCTGCTGCATTCGCTCGACGGCGAATCTCCAGTTATTCTCGGCGGCCGCGGCCAATCACTCTCCCTCTCTTCGCCGCGTGATGTATAGTGGCGATGGGCGATGGCGGCCGGCGGCTAGGGTTTCCCGATCCAAGCTGGGCTTCCCAGGCGGGGGTTTACCTGGGCCCCAACGGCCCGCGCGGACGTAGTCCCCCGTGAGAAGGGCCTATTTGGGCCGTTAAGAGGCGGGCCTTTTGCCGTGGCGAAGCAGATGGAATGGGCCTTTCTCGAGATGGGTTGGAACGGGTTTGTGCGGGTGCGACCGGACTGGAGGCATATTTCCTTGGCATTTACTAGGAGTATTTGACACACCTACTACGCTCTGCGTGCAAGCACTGAAGCACGGTGGGAGAAGAAAGGGATGGAAGGATAACGAGTTCACTTTTAAGTTAGTATAAAGACATCACAGCAAAGTTCTTTGTTACTCTAACCTACATCACTGAATGGCATACAGAATGCTGAGATGTACAGAAAATTATATCAGAGGATATACAAATGAATATAAGGAGAAAATAAATCACAAGACCAATAAATCATTATTACGCACGTATACACGATCGAACGTAAACAAAATAATCAAACAAATTTCATCAGAAACGCTACAAAGAATCATGCATTGCCTCCACCCTGCCAACGTCCATGCCGCTCGACGCGTCAATGCGATCTCAGAAGAGGGCGAGATTGAGGAGGATCCCAACGGCCGCCGCGACGACGGCGCCACCGGCGTGCAGGTGTGCGGACGCGCTGGCTGGCGTGGAGTAAGGCCCAATCCAAGGTTGCGGCCTCGGGGTGTCGCTGGAGTTGGAGACGGTGACGGCGAGCTTCATGCCGCTGGCGCAATGGTTGCCGATTTTGCAGATGAAGTAGTGCTCGCCGGGGCTGAGCGCTATGAATGTCACAAGCGCGCCTCCTTCGAAATCACTGATCGGTTTGCCGCTGACGGTGCAGGCGTCGTAGTCGCTCTTGGTCACCTCTGTCACCGTGTGCTGCTTCCTGGCGTATCTGAATACTGAAGAAACAAAAAAGGCAAAAAACAGTTAATTACACCAAATAAAATCAGCGTTCGATTTCAAATGCCAATTGGCAAACTGGATAGCATTAGCATTTAGCAGCATTGTGCGAATGAAGTGATTGATTATCGAGAAAGACTCACCAAGCGTGTCGTTAGCCTCGAAGGTTTTGCCCTTCGCCCAAGCGGTGTAGTCGACGCCGGTGTTCCAACCCTGCGCATCTCCGACAATGAAACTCAGCTCCATCGCCGAGGCCACGGCGGCGCAGCCGACGACCATGACGAGGAGCATTGCGATCAGAGCCGAAGGGGACGCCATGCTCGATCGGCCGCAAAATCTTTAGGTCGCTTCTAACAATTAAGTTGATGACAGAGTTGAAAAGGGGAAATTGAAGGAAGAATCAAAGAATGTGTGTTTGAGACGAATGGGCGTGCAGCTGGTTGTATTGACAGGGGATCAGGCTGCAGGGTCCTTTTATACTGAGAGTTTCATGACGACCACTCCATGAGTACTAGCTGCAGCTGGGGACTACTGGCCGCTAAGTTGGACAGGAGCAGGAGCCTGTCCAGTCAACGCGCATTCTCTTCTCGCATTTTTGGATAAAGCATACGCGCAAGGTTGAGAAGTCGACTGTTTTGATTAATTTAAGAGGCGAAATGCAGCCCATGCGTGTGGGAGCAAGTGCTCATGTTCATGCATGCATGGTTTGGTGGGTCGTCGTCAAAGGTCGTTATCTTATCCAAAGCACAAGCAAGACCGTTCAACGGAATTATATTGATTCACACACAGCATTCCAACGCACGAATGAAACGCAAGGATATCATGCACGCTGCTCTCGTATCAACCAAAAATCATCTCGTTTTGAAATTTGAGCTAAGGGTGCGTTTAGTTCGCAAAAAGAAAATTTTTTGTTGTCATATCAGACGTTTGACTAGATATCGGAAGGGAATTTCAGACACAAATAAAAAAACTAATTTCATAACTCGCCTGGAAACCTCGAGATGAATTTATTAAGCCTAATTAAACTGTCATTAGCACATGTAGATTACTGTAACACTTTATGACTAATCATGGATTAATTAGACTTAAAAGATTCGTCTTGCAATTTTTATGCAAATTGTACAATTAGTTTTTTATCTATATTTAATGTTCTATGCATGTGTCCAAAGATTTGATGTGGCGTTTTTAGGTAAAAAATTTTTGGAACTAAACAAGGCATATGTAGTAGGATCCAAATCCAATACAACTCACTTGATTGTGTGATATAATTGTAAATTGATCGTTATTAAATATTGATTCAACTCTTATTCTTTTGCATACGTGCAAAATGAATGACATCTTAAGCATATAGTTTTTTCATGGTTACAAACTTTCTAATTCCTGTATCTGCTTCGAACTTTGTAAATAAGTCTTTTATTTTACGAAAATACATTACTAGGCTAAGTCCTGGTAGTAAAGTCCTTTCAAAAAATGATTCAACTCTTACGTTTGTCTGGCAGATTCTTTGTATAAGGAGGAGATTACTGTTGTTAAATTAAGAGTAAATTGTATTGGTGGTATACAAACTTGTTAGGTGGGTGCAATTTAGTATATAAACTTATAAAATGCTCGTTTTCAGTACACAAACTTGTCTAGTTCATGCGAACGAGGACCAAAATAACTTGACAATGTTAATTTTATAAAGTTGATGTTGATTAGGATGTGGCGTGTATACGCATAGTTAATATGCATAAGACATGTAATATTTATAAATTTTATCTCTACTTTATCCTTTATCATTGAAATGATGAATTTCATATATTTCTAACCCTTATATCAGTGTTCAATTTTTTTAATCTTTTTCTACTATCACTAAATTATATTCTATATTTTATTGAATAGGTGTATGTATAATGGTAACCTTCTCATATATATGTTTACATAGGGTGAGTTTGAGGAGGAGGGGATTGAGAAGATTGGGAAGATACGCAAAACGAGGTGAGCCATTAGCGCATAATTAATTACGTATTAACTATTTTAAATTTCAAAAATGGATTAATATGAATTTTGAAAGCAACTTTACTATAGAAAGTTTTTGCAAAAAACACACCGTTTAGTAGTTTGGGAAGCGTACGCCCAGAATACGATGTCCTTTCTCACCCTATGTCACCAGAATGAACGCTCCCATAGTATCCTAATCGACCCCTAAATCAACAAGATTAGTCATGTAATGTCCTTTTTACTTCCCCGCATGCACCGCACAAGTTTGTGCACCAAAACGAGTATTTTATAAGTTTGTATCCATCTGACAAGTTTGTGTACCGACGATGCAATTTACTTTTAAATTAAATAGAATATTTATAGCTCACTTTTTAAATCGAGGTATAAATATTCTATTGCATGGTTCACGATTTAGGATTTAAATTCTCAAAATTAAAAAAAAAAGTTTTTCGCGTGTATACTTTTCAAACTGCTAAATGGTGTGTGTTTTGCAAAAAAAAATTTACAAGAAAGTTGCTTTAAAAAATCATATTGATCCTTTTTTAAAAAAATAGCTTCTACTTAATTAATCATGTGTTAATGGACTGCGTTTTTCATAGGTGAGGTGGAGTTCCCGAATACAGCCTTAGGACGTTCCTAAGTCGATCAAAGAAAGAGCCTCATGCGAAAGGGCATGTAGCCTAGTGGTTACAAGAGCCTCAGTGTTCGACTCCCCGTGGGAGCGAATTTTCTAGGATTTAACGGCGTTGTGCTTTCAGTGGTAGGCGACGTACCCATCGACAGAGGGTTGAGTGCGCGTGCGTTGTGAGTGTCTGCGTTGTAATATGTAATTCTCAAAAAAAAAAAAAAAAAGAGCCTCATGACCACCATTACTCCATTATCGGCCGCCAAGATGGACAAGCTGGCGCAGTTGTCTGTCAACGCGTATTCTTCTCATTTTGGATAAAGCGCACGCGCGAGGTTCAGAAAATCAGAAGCACATTATTTTGCATGGCAAAATGCAGCCAATGTGTGTGGGGCAGGCCGTGTGTTCAGGGATTGGGAATTTGGGATGGCAAATTTGGAATTTGGGTTGATCGAGTTCATCATGCATGGACACTCTTCACGCCAGTCCGGCGAAAAAAATCATGCATGGACAGCATGGTAGGGGGCCGGGTCGTCGTGAATAGTCGACTGGTCGTTGTCAAAACCGCAAAGAAACGCCAACGCCAGGGATTCCCAACGCCAGTAGCCGCACAATTTCCAGCACGCGAAGACCGGTTCAACGGAATTATAATATTCACGCACAATTCCAGCGCGCACCAATGAAACGCGAGGATATCCACCACTTATCAATTCAGGGAGTAGAAAGCAAGCTGCTAGTGCTACTACTCACTACTGTTTTATTTGATTTATTTTCATCTCAATTTTCTTTTCATCCGATCGATATATTCCGTCCAATTTATCCTAATTTATTTTTTTTCAATTTAATTAAGTTTATAGAAAAACATGATAATATTTATAATAAAAAATTAGTTTATTAAATATATTTTTAAAGTATATTTGTTTCGTGTTAAAAATGTTGGTATATTTCTCAGTAAGCTTCACTAAATTAAAAATATTGACTTATGACAAACTTAAAAATGAACTATAATATAGAGCAGATTGAGTAGAGGTTAAAATGATAATTTTGAATCATAGATCTACCAGTGACCAGTCGTGTTTACACTCGTAATGGTTGTGTTGTGCAACCTTGTAGGTCTCACAATTTGAGATCTAGAGTTTCAAAATTCAGGTTTGAAATAAAGTTCCAATAGGATTTTTTTTTCAGCTTGAAACTATGCAACTTAACAAAAAATTTTATTAAAGTAAAGTGTTCAAATTTTGAGTTTAATTATTATTCAAAGTCTCTGATATAGCAACCCCTCCTCTCTTGTCGTTGAAATATTTATAGGTTCCGAAATAGTGAACACATATTGGCAAACGAAGCAAAAGTTCAAAATCAAACTCAACTCATTATACTCAAGAGTAGTCGAAACTAGTTTTACACAAGTCAACTTAGTTTTGAGGGTTTTTTTTTCTCTTTACCTCTCAGCCTACTGTCATTTGGATTGGAGCTCTCACTGCGGTCTACCAAAGTCTGGTAAAGAGACCTGAAAAATTGCAACGAACATGTTGTGATCTTCTCGCTAACAAATTAATATCCCAAATTGTATGACAATGACTGATACTCTGGAACGGTGATATACTCCAAATCACGGACGGTCTCATTGTCTCAACCCTTTTCTTTCTTTAAGGAGTTTAATTCTTTCCTTGTGTTCAAGGAGTCTGAGGCGGCTGGCACACACTCATCTAGTCATCTATACACACCGCCTTGATGCTTTGAGATTGAAAGGTGTATTCCTCCTCACCAAACCCAACCTACTCCCACCATCACTAAAGAAATCAAGAAGTTGAATCCGCCGTGTCCACTGTCGTCGTCGTCTCATTTCAGACACTGACATGACAGATTCAGTTGCTCATTTCAAAGGTAAGCACGGCTAATTAGCATCAGAGAACTTTGGTACCTAAGCTAACCGTCTGACTCTTACCCCCGGAGCAGGTGTTGAAGCAGGAAACTTTTGTTCTAACAGAAGCAGAAATGTGAGGTATTCCCTTCTCTGAAAACGACGCACTACCTGCCCTTCGATCTATTATTCGATTCTTTTCCTCTAGGCTAGTGTCCTAGTAGTTAGTAGTCGTCTCATTGCTCTTCTTTCAGGTCGGTCTGGTCCCATTCTTACTACAGTGATCGGCCTAGGCAAGCTTAGATCATGCATTGCTCAGCATGACCAATCCGTTAACCATCACTTTAACCACCGGTTTTTCTTTTTGCAAGATTGATATAGAGTGATATAGAGTGTCCGATCAATATGCAGATGATAAAATTCAGAGGAAAATTATACAAATCCATGGAGATGAGAAAACAAATCACATGACAGCTCGTAATTACAGTACTAAGTACACGATGGAACGGAACAACAACCCCATATCATCATCACCATCATCATCTAGCTAGCTAGCAAACCACTCATCTCTCTCACACACATGCATGCCGGCCGTCAGACGAAATGATCAAGAAACAAGAATCATATGCACTGCCTCTATCCTGGCAGGTGGGCCCGATCAGAAGAGGGCGAGCTTGACGAGGACGCCGGCGGCGGCGGCGACGGCGGCGCTGGCCTGCAGGCCGGCGGACGCGCCGCCGGTCGGCTTGGAGGGGGAAGAAGGGGTGGCCGGCGGCGTGCCGCTGCTTCCTGGGGTGGTGCTGGGTGGCGTCCCGGAGCCGGAGCCGGAGCCGGAGCCGCTGCCGACGTTGATGGCCAGCTTCATGCCGCCGGCGCAGTGGCCGCTGATGGTGCAGATGTAGTAGTGCATGCCGGCGGCGGCGAGGTCGAGGGTGGCTGGGCTGGTGCTGGTCGAGCTGATCGAGTTGCTTGCGACGGCGCAGTTGTCGTAATCGTTCTTGTTCACCTCCGTCACCGTGTGCGCCCCAACGAAGCTGAACACTGAAAAGGGAAATTACCAATTATGCTTGATTAGTCACGAGTATTAATTAGTACTCCACTTATTTGGAAGGAAAGGAATGCACGCGTGTTCTAGAATCGTCAAAGAGGAAATCATAATCTGGAAGGAAGCTGAAGTTTTAAAGGATTTGGGAGAGGAACAGCCAAGCCGTAGCACATTTTTCTGTTTTCGGGAGGTTGTTTGTGTACCAATCTCCATTCGGTTTTGATAGCTTTTTTTTTTGTCGAAATTCACAGGTTTATAAATTTGCATACCCTCTATCTTAATGGAATTTGGTCGGCCGACCCGGCAAAAGAAGTACACTTATGTGCTACTCCCTCCAATAAATTTCTACCCTTTTGTTTCTCTTTTGATGTATAGAAAAGCATGAAACAAGAAATTGTAACAAAAATATGACTAAATTCCAGCCTGAAATTCCAAACATTCTGATCACTACTACCAAATTAAGCCAAAAGAAAACAAGGACTCACCGAGCTTGTCTCCAACCGCGAAGGTTTGGCCACTTGCCCAAGTATCGTAGTTCTGGCCAAGCGTCCACCCGGAGCTACCACCCACGGTGAGCGTCGCCGCGGAGGCCGCGGCGGCGCAGCCGACGACGACGAGCAGCTTGATCAGAACGGAAGAAGACGCCATGGCCGGCCGGTGAGCTAGTGTTCGTCCAAGTGGAATAATGCCGGAGACGAAGGGGAAGATTAGTTAGCTAGCTATCGGTGTCTCGCTGCACAATTGACAGGGTGAGGTTGGAAGGGTCTCTTTTTATAGAGAACCATCACCATTTCACCGCATGGTTGGCAACTTGCATGTGACGGATCGATGAGCGATCAGTCTTTTGGACGACGCGGCCGGCCGCTTTGTTGGACAGGGCTGCAGTTTTACACACGCAGCAGAGGATGGTCAGCGTTTGTGTTCGTTCCTTTTCACTCATTTTCTGCTCGCTCGTTTCTTCGTTTCCTCCAGAAATCCTAATCATTATTCATTCAGATATTTCAGATGATAAATCAGTCAAATCACACACGAACGTTCAGAATTCCGAATTTCTTTTTCTCCTTCATCTACTGAAAAAATACAGCGGCCGCTTTTTTTTTTACACAGAGGTATTTGATTTCAGAACGAGATGAGATTGGTTGAACTCATCCATATTTCGAAAATAGGAAGATCGCATTTATCCGTTTGGTATGAGAGATAAAATGACCTACTTTTTAAGTGACGGTTCACATGTTAGTGATAGAGAAAAATGGGCTGGATTGATCCACTAGTTTTTTTTAAAGATAAGGCCAACCCTTATATTATATTCAAGAAATATTACTTTTCAGACTTAATGCATCTCATGAACCAAACTGAAAGTGGAATAGACTCAACACAAAATTGGATTGATATTGGCGCGGAGTACATATGAAACCTCCATTATCCACTCAACCGGTTTATAGAAACAGAACCGAGAGAGATAATTAAGGAGCGATGTCCATGGTGGGGAGAGACGAGGTGGCGGTGGGCGCTATGGAGAGCGCCGGCAGGTGCTGTTTGAGGGCAGCATGTACGGCGGGTCGGCGGCGGATGCCCTGTCGATCAGCGGCGGAGTCGGTGACCGTCTTGGCCATGGCGTCATCAATTGTCGAGCCGGGCAGGGCTTGGTAAGACGCGCGGACGGCGTCGGCAACGGACGTGGAAACAACGTTGACGAGGGACTCTGGCAAGAGGGGGGAGGTAGCCGTCGACATGGCGGTGTTGGTGGAGTTAGGCTTAGAGCGGTAGATCGAAAAAAATCTGATACCATAAAAGCGGAATAGACTCAACACAAAATTGGATTGATATCGGTGCGGAGTACATATAGACACGAAACCTCCCTTATCTACTCAACCGGTTTATAGAAACATAACCGACAAAGATAAAAGGAATTGGCAAAATAGGGAAACAGAGATATACTACAATACATACTACAATACTGCTCATTAACATGTGGGCCCTAATATCATTGCCAAAATGCCAAGTGTTGTTCGGGATCATGGTCCATCCAAGTTTGTCTACCCTTATCTCTAATTATCCTCTATTTCCGCGATTGTTCATACACGGTAGGTGGGTCATCGTCAATGGTCGACATCAAGCACAGCCATGCATTTCTTTTCTCCGCGCACATTGCACAAAAGAGAAAGGTTCAGACGAATTACTCTATACTACGCATACCGGCACTGCTGCTTATTAATACATGCATGGTCCAACGAGAATACTTCTGGCCTGCCTGTCCTTGTACTTTACTTAATGAACGCACAGAAAGCTCAATTAAACTAGAGATTAAACTAATGAAACTATGGCAGAACGAGGAGTGGTTAGGTAACTGATGCAATTTGCGAAAAAAAATAACATAATGCATGTGAATTGTTTCTTTAGCCGCCTGTAGTGGCATGAGCAACAAATGGAAGGCAACATATATGGTAGTAGTCGAAGCAGGAAGAACACTAGTGCTAGCTCACTCATCTGTCAAAATGTCAAAAGTATATTTCTCGTTTTTTGGAAAGAGCTTTTGACCTTGCCGTTTGCAAGGTTAATAAAGTGATCTTTTGCTAATGGCACAGTTAACTCTAGCTTCCAGGTTAAAAATTTCTAGCGTACTCCGATCCACATGGACACACGGCATGTTGACCTAATCATTTTGTTCGATCTGCTCCTGCAATCTATATATGTGATAGCATGCATGTAAGACGACTCGGTTTTCACCTAATGCATTGACCGAAAGGAAGGATCTGCCGTATGGGATAACATCATGGCCGGCAGGGTGTATGTAAACAGTGCCAACGCATCTCTGTATAGAGATCAGCAGATTAGGTTTATGTCAGTCTCTTCAATCAGGAGACGAATAATTTTGGAAGGTTCATGAAATGATTCAAGATCGAGAAGAATATGTTTTTAAAAATACTAGTTTCAGAGAAGAAAATTTTGGATTGTTCACTGGCTGTACCGTACACCCTATTTCCCTTTTCCCACCCCTGAAAGAACCATTTCTTGCACACGCTTAGCACTGTGAATTTGAAGGGGGAAAAAAAGGCATACTGTCGAATTATTTTGTATAAGGCCTCTGCTACAGTGCCACTCACATGATAGTTGCTTGGCAATAATTTTACCCAGTTGAATTTGTATAAGGTCCCTGCTACTGTGCTAGAACACATGTTAGTTGCATGCCAAATTGCCAATAATATTTTTAGCTTCATTTTTTTTTATGATACCCTCTTGTTGACCGTCCTTGAAGCTTGGGAAGGGAGGAAATGTGCAGGTCAATGTAAGAATTGCAGTTGCACGTCGTCTGGCATACGTAAGCCATGAACTAATATGGGCTGTTTTTATAAGTACTCTTCAGTCAGATTATTAACAGTTCATGGGAGCGCAAATTGCTCCTCCATTGTTTATGTACATATATAAGTATATTCGACATACATGGTTGATAGTGATACGCTGATACATAATCCAAATATATTTACTTTACAAGAACCACACATGATTCACACATCTTCTAGATCCATATCAACCTTCAGTGAGTGTATTTTCACAAAACCAAATGTACGTATGTATGTGCACACCTAACTAGCAAATATTATTGAAAATTCAAGAAAAAAATAATGTACATGAACTCAAAATGTACTATATATGTATATAGGAGTATTTGTTAAGTCTTAGCTTCACATTCATTATATTTTAGCCATACAATAATATAAGACAATTTTTAGAGTATAAATTTGTCAAACTTAATGTGCACGGGATTCGGTTCCTATAAAGAATGCAGCAATGCCGAGAATAAGGTTAAAACACCGCAGCTTTAGAAGAAAAGGAAGAAAAAAAAATCAAAGAACCTGATATGCAATGCAGCTACTGAAAGTCTGGAATCGAGCTATTAGTCTTGGCCATGGCATCGCTTGACTGCCAAGGTGCCCCCAAGCTGCCAAAGCAAGGGTGCCACCTACCACTGCCTGCCCTTCGTATATAGAAAATGATCAAAGGAGATTGGTCGATGCAGAATCCAATTCCTCACTTTTTATTTTCTTTTTTATTTTTTTTCTGGTGGTCCGGATTTATATATTAAGAAGGATCAAGAGAACTATAATAGCACGAACGAAGCAATTCCTCACTTTCTTCTCAAAATATATAAAGCAGCCAATTGACCAAATGTAGAATAAGGGAACTGAAAAGGCAAACGGAAAATAATTAAGGGAACCTCGAGAGCTCAAGGCCGAAGAGACGAGAAGAATGGGCCGTTTACACGGCACAGAAAGCCCAGCCCTCCCATTGTGCTAGCCCAGGTGACTAGGCCGCGTCAGGCCGGGATGGTACGACCTGGCATCGGCTTGGCCCATGGCCTGACGGGCCCGGCCCAACATACCAATCAAGATGTGGAATAAGTTCATTCTAGGTCCCTCAATTTGTCGCCGAGTTTGAAATTCATCCCTTAAGTGCAAAACCAGGTACAACACATCCTTTAACTTACAAAACCGTGCAAAAGAGGTCCCTCGGCAGTATTATGCTCGGGTTTGGCTGACGTGGCGCTTGCGTGGCTCCTTTGACTAGGTCTTCGTCCCACGTGGCATTGACGTGGCGCTTATGTGGCAATTTAATTTTAAAAAATAAAAAACATGGGACCCACATGTCAGCTACATACAAAATAATAATAAATGGTGGGACCCATTTGGCCCCACATGTCATCCCTCTTCTCTCCATCCTCTCTCTCTCTCACCTGGGCGGAGCAGGTCTGAGCGGAGTGGCCGGCCGGCGGAGCTAAGCGGCGGCGGCTGGAGCAAGCTGGCACAAGCGACGGGCAAGGGGCGGCGGCACCGCAGCGCCGAGAGGTGGCGGGCACAGCAGAGGGGCGGTGGGCAGAGAGGGGGCGAGTGGCAGGCGAGCTCCTGGAGATGGCGACGGGATGAGGCTGAAAGGACGCCGCCGTCATCGTCGGTGTCCTCGAACCAGTACGGCTTGTCCACACCCTTGAGGAGAGGGAAACCATTGAACAGCACCGGGATTGCGTCAATGGTGGTGTAGATATGGGTATTGGCCGTCTTCGGGTGCTTCTCCTCGCGCCACGGCACCGCCTCACGGCCGTCGCCATTGTCGTCGTCGTCTTAATCCCCGCCGCCGTCAATGAAGAGGTGGGGGACGATGTTAGCTAAACTCCGGCAACTGCAGTGAAACCTGCAACACACACACACGCTTGGACGCGAGAAGAACAAACCAATTGGGAAAGTCTTTTTGGCGCTGCATATTACTTGCTTGCGACATTTTCTGTTTCTTTCCCTTTTATCCATACGCGATTACAGAACGTGGGCACGATGACCCAACTTACGCGGACACGATCCTTTCTCAGCGGATGCCATCCCAAATGCTAGGATCGTGGCCACGCGGCGTCATCGACGCCTAGGCCGAGCTCCGCCGAGTCGCCGACGCTGATCTGGGGAGCGAGGCTGCCGTCTCCTCCCTTTGGATCCACGGCGACGAGAGGAGAGGGGAAAAGGGAGAAGGAGGTGTCGTCGTTTGTGGGCTGGCCGCCGGTTGCTCGACGTCGTCCGCGGCGCCGGCGTGGGTTGTCGTCGTCCTCCACCGCCTTGCCCCTCGCCTGTGCCGCAGCCTCCGCCTGCTGGAGCTGCGCGTGGAGCACCGGCGCAGTGGAGAGGGCGAGGAGCTCGCTCATTCTAGCCACTCCCTTCTTTCCCGTATCTCGTCGACCACCGCGAGTCACTCCCTCCTCTCCCACTGGTGCCGCGCGCCGCTGCCAACTCTTCCGTCTCCCGCCGGCGCCGCGCGTCGCTCCCTCCTCACCCGTCGTCCGCCGCGCGCCGCCCCTCCTCACTCGCGTCTAGAGAGAGGACAAAGGAGAGGGGAGAGAGATGAAGGGGAGTCGGGGAGAGAGGAAGAAGAAGAGGAGGGGCGAGGATGACATGTGGGTCCCACGTGGGCCCCCACCATTTTTTATTAATTTGTGTGTGAAACTGACATGTGGGTCCCATGGGTTTTATTATTTTTTTCTAGATCGAATTGCCACGTAAGCACCACGTCAGATGAAGACCAAGTCAAATTAGCCACGTAGGCGCCATGTCAGCCAAAACCACCCTCAAACCATCGAGGGACTTAATTTACACCGGTTTTGATAGTTGAGGGACCCGTTGTGTCTGGTTTTTCGGTTGAGGGACAAAAGTCGAATTCGTTGACAAGTTAAGGGACCTCAGATGAACTTATTCCTCAAGATGTCGATGACCAAATCAGTGGATCGTCCCTATAGGCCTACCGGCCGTGCACGAAAGCAAACCTTTACTTTGGTTCGGCACTTACATCGATCTTGTGGGACCATGTACAATTAGCAGTGTCTGACCTCCCTCGTACAAACTGAGGCTATGTTTACTTCCCACGTAAAAATTTTACACCCTATCATATTAAACGTTTGAATGTTCCGTTGAAAACTGAGGCTCATAAAGATATAACCTATTGAATGTTCCGTTGAGACTTCCGAATTTCCGATTATGGATCCAAACAGGATGCGACTTCAAAGTGTATCCTACACGGCTACACGCAGTCGTCGTAGCGTGCACCGTGCAGCGAATCAGCGATTGGTTCAGGGATAGAAATGATGCCAATTTTGCCTGATGATGATCCTAGCTACACAAACGTTACCACCAACCACAACCAAACTCCCTTTATGCGAGGGTTAATTGGATCCATGACATTATAAATTCTTCAGTTTGAAAATATGCCGTTATAATTCATATATTTGTAACGATGATATTATAATTTTACAACAGTTTAAGATATACCACTACTTACCTCTTCAGTGTATTTATAAAAATTATTTTGACCATTTTACCCTCGTCTTTTTGCTCCCTCCTCCCTTTCTTCCTTCTCCCCTCTTCTCTCTCCTCTCTCCCTCACGCCTAGTGAGGCCTGGGCCTCCACCGAAGCTCCTCCTCCTCCGGCCTAAACCATGCCTCTAGGCGCTCCTTCGCGCCCCGCCCGCCTGCCGAGGAGGACGAGCAGAGGACACGACGCGAGGAGGAAGAGAAGAACATGGTGGCGTGAGGATGGCGAGCGTACGGTGGCGGCGACACAATGAGGATGGCTAGATGGTGCCGGTGACTCGAGGAAGATGGGCAGACACCGACAGCGTGAGAATGGTTACGGACGGCGGCGACGACGCGAGGAGGACAACAGGACAGCGGCGGCGATGCGAAGAGGACGAGCGGACGACGGCGTGAGGATGGCAGACCGGACGGCGGCGACGACGCGAGTTGGTTGGCCGGATGATGCCAGTGATGCGAGGAGGACCAGCGGACGCCAGCGACGCCTGGACGCACGTCGCTGTTAGGACTCAGATCTGGCAGCCGAGGGGTGGGGGGTGGGGGTGGCAACGGCGGGGGCGTCGGTGCTGGTGTGGGCAGCGGCCATGGAGCACATCCAGGGACGGCGGGAGCCATCGAGCTCGTGTCCAACTGCAACAAGAACTCGCCCATGCTGCTTTGGACCAAGGTCGCTGGATATGCGTTGGAGTTCCTGCCGGTCCCTTCCAGCAGCAGCTCTTCGTGCGTCGTGGACGCCTGCTGCATGAGCTCGTCAGGGCAGCGCTGCGGTTGGCTGCACGAGCTCGCCAGGGGCTGAGGCGATGACCAGCAGACGACGAGAGCACATGGAAGGAAGAAGATGATTGAGAAAGGAGGGTAATTTGGTCAGAAAAACTTAGAAATTGCATTGAAGGGGTAAGCAGTGCTACCCCTTAAATACATGTTAAATTGTAATGGTATAGTTTTAATTTCACGAATTATAGTGGTATATTTCCAAACAGATAAATTTATAATGGCATGGATCCCCACAAATCCAATTGCGCTTCCTAGTATCTTTCTACATATTTCACCCTCACAACTCTATGTTTCATTTATAGGTGATTCCTAATCATCGAGATAGCAATTACTCAAAATATCCACCAAGTCTTTCGGATATATTTCTTTGTATAGGCCCATCCTATTATCTCCCATTAGTAATATATCCGTGAATTATAACGAACTAGACCCATGACTTGAGGATGGGTTGTGAGTGTAGATATATACTTTGCTCTCTTTTTTTTGTCGTTTGATTTTTTTTCTAGTTTATTAGGGTGATAGTCCAGGATACAGATCCTTTGCAGTACTGCTGATGCAGTAGCAAAGGCTGACATGTGGGTCCGGACCCACACATCAGCCACTGCTACCGCACTAGCGGTACCGCAGAAAATCCCCATTGGATGTTCCATGCTTTGCACGAGGTGGGGAAAGGATCGATGACTCCATGTTTAAGTAGTAGAAATACAAATTAAATTTTAAAATATAAATTATTATCTCCGTTCCAAAATAAGTGTAATCGTTGGTACCCGTGTCCAACGTTTGACCGTCCGTCTTATTTGAAAAAAAATATGAAAAAGCTAACAAAAATTTAGACACACATAAAGTATTATTCATGTTTTATTATCTAATAACAATAAAAGTACAGTCATAAAAAAATAAAAAAAGACGAACGGTCAAACGTTGAATATGAACAGTGTAAAACTGTATTTATTTTAGGACGGAAGAAGTAATTTTCTTGATTTTGCATATATATACATGCGTATGAAAATTTTATAGAAATATACATTTCCCGCGGTCCACATACGCGGCCCGCGCCATCACTGCAACTCGAAGGCGCGAAACCGACAAGAGGGGTAGTGTCGTGGGGCAATTGCGCGGGACCGACGTGGTCCTGTGGATTGGTCTCACGGCACCGCGGCACCGGCATCTGAACACGTACATGCGTTTTTAATATTGTTCAAAAACACTATTGAGTACCGTCTAACATTGTTTGCCACTGTTCACAGAGTTGGTTCCACGCAATGAAGCCACGCTGCCGCACTCCTGGTCCGCAGGACCGTCATGGTCCCGCAAGTTCAGCCCACCGGACCGTGGCGGACTAGCGGTTCTGCTTGCTCGTTCAGCGGGAACACCCTGGTTGGCGCTCCCGCATTCCCGCAACGCGATTTGTGATTGCTCCTATGTATTCAATCTGCGGAGCTCGTATATTTGTGACATTTCTTCCCGTGTAGATATATAAACATAAATTATTAAACAAATAGATATATTCTCAATTGTTTTTCTTTTGTAGAAATACTTGCGCCGTATGAGCAGCAGAGATACAACCATCAAGAGAATCAAAGCAACGATACTCGGCTGAGCTGCTTTCCCTATCCTAAAATAAAATAAAAGAACATTCTACATAAACAAAGCTATTAAAAAGGGTGGAAATACTTATTTTGCCTCCACCAGTGGTTGAGGCACAAATTTTGACAATTTAACTCTTTGCAAAAACTATTTTTACAAATAAACCACCGCCAAAACTTATTTCAAAAATGACCCTTTTGTTCAACGTCAAATCGTATGGCGCTGAACTTAGATACCTCAGCGCTAAATAGTACGGCGCTGAATGTACGTTGGCACGCTGACTTAGCCTTCCATCCGTGGTGGCAAGGCATTCAGCGCCAGTTGACGTGGCACTGAGATGTCTAAATTCAGTGCCATATGATTTGGCGCTGAAAAAAAGTCATTTTTTAAATAAGTTTTGGCGGCGGTTCATTTGTAAAATTAGCTTTTTCAAAGGATCAAATTGTCAAAATTTGTGTGGGTGAGGTGTGAACCTGGATTAGTTAACTTGGTAATAAAACCAAGAGCTAGTCAATCGGCAGAGACGAGTATAATCTCTGAGATAATACAAAATTATTTTCGTGTTTTTATAATAATAGTTGAAAGGCAAAAAGGCTCTAAATTAACTAAAAATATTCTCCTTTTACTATTCTTTCTTTTTTTTACTCTCACCCAATCGTGTTTCCATATTATAGAGACTAAGAATGGTTGTTGAACCGTTATTACCCATAGCAACTATGTTTTGTCTCCTTTTTTTTCCATGTCAACGAATATTCCTAATCAACACTGAGAGATCAGTATTAACAACCATTAGACATGCTCTTTAGCTGTAAATACCATATTTTATAAGTATATAGTTAAGATAGAATTTGTACTAAGTTGTGGAATGGAGGGAGCAATGAATATTCTATAGAATTCTTCGGATTATCCAAACAATATACTATATCCATCCCAAAATAAGTGTAGCTTTGGATATCCGTGCCTAACATTTGACCGTTCGTCTTATTTGACAAAAATTTAAATAAAATATTCACACATAAAATACTATTCATATTTTATCATCTAATAACAATAAAAAAATAAATAAAATAAACGGTCAACCGCTAGACACGAACGATGCAAAACTACATTTATTTTAGGACGGATTATCCTACACTTATCTTGGGACGGATTATCCAAACAAGGTATTACTACTCTCTTTTAAAAGTTTATCCTACACGCAGACGCAGTCATGAATGTGGTAGCGTGCAGCAATAGATACGGCATCTTCCAGCCCATTCCCCATCATCCAAGCTTCTCTTTGGGAATAGAAATGATGCCAATTTTGCGTGATGATAATCCTATCTACACAAACTTCACAACCAAACCAGTCACAACCCAACTTCCTTCTGAAAACAGTGATTCCTAAGTTTCTACAGTTCTCATCAGTCATCACCCCTCTCTGTTCATCATGTTCATCATTTACAAGTGATTCCTAATCATCGAAATGTTCCAGATGCTAGCAACATTTTTTTTTGTGCAGAATTTTTTCGTAGAACGATGGATTTTCATGATGTCTGATCTGATCCTCCAATGTGCAGTTTCCCCTTAACAAAAAGGTGAAGAAACGGTTAGTTTTCAGAGGAGCTTGCCCATGGCGAGGCCGATGCCGGCAATGCCGACGCAGACGGCGAGCGCGAGCCACCACGCAGCGGCCCCGCGCCGGGCGCCGCCGTCGTCGTCCTCGTCCTCGTCCTCGCCGACGCCTTCCTTGGCCGAGCCGGCGGCTCCTGCTGCTCCTCTGAGCCCGGAGTTCTCGGCCTCCAGCATCATGACCCACCGGCGGTGCGCCGACAGCACCACCGAGTCCCGCACCAGCAGCGCCGAGAGCTCGCCGTTGCTCGCCCCGGCGGCCGCCAGCTTCTCCTCCGCCTCCCGCGCCCGCGACTGCGACAGCCGCAGCGCACGCATCAGGCGGTCGCCGCCGTCACCACCACCGCCTTCGCCGTCCCCGCCCTTCCGATCCGGGCTCGTGCTCGTCCACGCCGCCGCGTTCTCCAACCTCCACATCAACAAAAAGGGTAAAAAAAACAAAAAAAAAAACACCGCGCCGCTCTAAGCAATGCCACACTCGCGAATTCCACGGCATCGATCGTGTGAGAGAGGGAGATGGGAACGCGGCGGCGCCTACCTTTGCAGAGTGGGGAGCGGGCCGAAGAGCTTCGCGGGAGGAGGCAGGTCGCAGTTCTGGAGCAGGTCGGTGGCGAACGCCCGCCGCGCCGGCTGCTGCTGCCTCTGCTTCTTCTGGTGTTCGCCGCCGGCCGCCGCCATCAGCACCATCTCCCGCTCCAGCTCCCACTCCATCCCGCCGCGGCCGGGCGCCGCGGCCGCGCTGCTCGCCGTCCGCCGCGGCATCCACGCGCGTCAGAGCACCAGAAGGCGCCTGGTTTGGGGGGGTGTGGTTGGTGAGAGTGGTGGGGGAGGGGAGGGGAGGGGAGGGGAGGTGAGCGGTTGCTTGAAGCGTGGCGGAAGGAACGGTGGGCTTCTTCCGCGAGGAAGGGAAGAAACCGCGGGCGAGAAGGTTAACGCGACGCGGGGATTTCCGCTTGCTTTGCTTGGGTTTATTCGGTTCGTTTTTTCTGTCTTTGTATTTTTCGTTCGTAGGATTTTATATCAAAATATAATTAATTTTAAAGGAATGTATCATAATAATCTGGTACTCTAGATTGGTAGTATTAGATTGTGTCATATCTCTCCAAAATAAATATCTCTCCAAAATAACTTATATTATGGGACGGAGAGAGAGAATATTCTTGTAAATTTAGGTCTTTTTTATGTAATAAAAATTGGATAAAAATTTAGATAATCACGTGTTTTTCAAACTGCTAAACGGTATATTTCATTAAAAAACTTTTTATATGAAAGTTGCTATAAATAAATTTTTAAGGTTATGATAATTAAAACTCTATTAATTATACATTAATGCCATATCGTTTTACGTAAAACAGTGTTTTATCTACGTAAGTATAGTGGAATTAGATTATACAACTCTTTTTATATCTAGATTTATTATTTTTGATATGCTTTTTAATTATTTTATTTAAAATGAATTGCATCCATTGGTTGAAAACTTTTCAAGATTTGAAGGTTTAAATTTGTTGAAAGATTAAATAGGTTGTCCCGGTTCGGTTTCGGTGTGGCGTCGCACGGAACAATCGGCGGCGAGGCGGTCGCTTGGTGCGAGGACAACGCACTGGCCTCGTTGTCGCACACAAGACAAGCAGATTGCTTCTGCTCCTTGCTTTCCTAGGCGTTACATGTGCTTTCGCAAAGGACCGGCACGGTATTCTCAACACATAAGTGTCCACTAATCCACTATGTTTGGTCTGCCGGCCAAATGAGTACGGTATCACCGGTGCGAATGAAGGCGACGGATGCAGGAGTTTCATACGGGTATCCCGGCGAAAACAAAAGGAGTTTCAGATGGATAATCCAACGATTGACCAAAGGAGTTCCGTACACGTTTGCTCATGCGTTTAGCGTTTCAGGTCCACTCCGTCAAGGTAAATGCTGCGAAATGGATAACTCGGAGTTTGCGCTTAGCTAGTGTTATTAGAGCACCCGCAATGGTTATCTATATGCTCTCTATAAAAGATAATCGTATTTTCCTACTTGTAAGAGATTAAATGGAGAGAGAGAGTAAAGCTATCTACTAACCTGGAGAGTCTATAGAGAAAAACAAGACAATGGATGAGAGAGCTATAGATACCCATGTAGAAATACTATTGAGGTGGTTTACTATTAATCTAATCTATTACTGAGATATACATGTTTTATAGAGAGCACCTTACTTTACCATTGCGGGTGCTCTTAGAGCAGGTACAATAGCATACTATTAGCCAGCTACAAACATATTTTAATAAGATAAAAGATGAGAGAGAAGAACAGCTTCTGTAGCCCGCTGCAGCACGGACTCCAAGACATAATGTGTATATGACAGTGGGACTATATACTAATAGTATAGTAAGCAACTATTGTATGAATTAACTATTAGATTAGTTATAGATGAATTGTAGCTAGTAGTTGGCTATACTATTAACTTTGCTCTTAGGACTAGGTCCAGGTTAAGAGGGAGGTTCAGCGTATCTTTAGAACCAACATAAATCCACTAAAAAAAGAATGGACCTAAATATCTGCAGCACATTCACAATCAACAAGCTTAGTACTACAAGATTATCAGATTATTAAAGAGGATACTTTCTGAGCTAAGAATAGACAGATGGGGACGGAAGACTGGACAATAATTGATTCAGCACAGTTCAGTATTGCTCACAGATGTTTCGTCGGACCGCTCGTGACGCAGATGTACTAGCCCGTTTGGTTACTGAAGAACCTTGGGTCTGTACTGCACGGCAACCTTTAAGGATAGCACACCAAGCGTGCAATTTGGAACTGATGTGAAGGCTATATATTAATTTGACAGTTGTCACAGTTCTTCCGGTCACATTTATTTTAGATAATGGATTAGATTAAACCCGGCCTCTACAATCTTCCGGTCACATAAAAACGAAGACAAGTACAGACTGAAAACAATACCAGTAGTAGCTTTTAGCCTTTAAAGTTATCCCGGTGATTTATACATTTCAGCCAAATATTTCACAATAAACAAATTATCGCTAAATCCATCGGGTTACGGCTGAGATCCTTGAGACTTATCTCTATCTACAATTAATTAACCTGGGTGTCAAGAAAAGCTTACATATATTTTGTGCTCATGGCATAAAGCTGACCTCCAAATGTCATATGTCATCCATATCAAGTGGACAGCATAAACAACGCTGTAATATAGAACTCACGAGGCGTTGAATGAGCAAAACTGACCAGCAGCTGGGAGACCTTGTGAGAAAAAGAATCTTTCACCATTAGCAGAGAGTGGTGGCCAATAATTCAGTATCTTCAGGAGGAACACACAACCATAGTTAAGTCAACGACGCCCAAACTATAACTCAACATTCCATCATATCAACAATCAAAGTGACAGTAATGTATAACTAACTGGTACCTTAAAATGCTCAAATTGGCACAAGCACTTGCTAAAATCTAAACTAATAATTCAGGAGAGATAATGTAATGAAAATATGAAATGATAGTAGTTTTTATGTTTACAAAACCTAACCAGTGAGCAATGCAACTTGGCAAAAACACATAATTTTCAGCATTCAAATAAATAAACAGACATGTCATCAGAAATGACAACCAGAAAAAATGTTGCTTCATCATTATTATTTTTTTCGGAAGATGCCCTTTTCTTTTGTTATGATGGCTGAAAATGTACTTAGAAAAAAAATAAGATTAAGGACTGAGTTAGAGTAATTACTGGGAAAATGTCAGTTAAGCAATCCTCAATCATTTAAGTTCTCGGTGTGTTCCCATGACAATTGATGCTTAGCTAACAATCTGCTCAGATGATTCTGCCTTCAGATCCTCTTCCGTTGGTGCAGCAGATTTATTCTTTTTGGCATTGTCATCTTTGAACATCACGTTAATGGATCTTCCCATCAATTTCTGTGATATATTTCATAGGTCAGAAATAGCATCAAAACACAATCATGTATTAGAATTTGGGCCGTACACAAACCAAAACTTGTACTATATTTTATTTCTAAGCTACATTTCAGAATACTTACCGTGCCATTGAAGGTAGATATGGCAGCCTCTGCTGCCTCTTTTGAGGAAAAGGAAACAAATCCATAACCAGCAGATCGCCTCGGACTTGTGGTATGGAAGACAACTTCAACTGATTGAACACCTGGGGTTGATGCAAATAATTCACGAAGATGGCGAGATCTCACTCTCCACGTCAGATTACCCACAAAAACGCTGTGCTTCGGCATGGGAGCTGATGGCACAACATACTGCTTCTTTCTCGATCTAGTAAAGTCTACCTTAATTGTTCTATCATTTAGAGTCTACAAGAGAAAATGAGTAGAAAGACAGTTAGATGACAAAAAAATAAAGAGTAAAATGCACCAGCGGTCCTTAAACTTGTCAGCAGGTTTCACTTAGATCCACGAACTTGTAAAGCGCACATCGAGGTCCCTAAACTTGGTTTATTGTATCATCCCAGTCCAAAGTCGCGTTTGACCGTGGTCTTGCCTACGTGGCACGCCATGTGGACGATGACATGGATTTTTTTTTCTCCCTTCTTCTTTCTCTTTTCTCTTTAATGAAAATACGATGGCATGGACGATAACGTGTATGAGGCATTTTCATCTTTTCGACAAGGAAGAAAGAGAAAAAAAGAAGGAAAAAGGGAGAAAAAATAAAATAAAAATCCATGTCATCGTCCACGTGGCGTGCCACATAGGCAAGACCACGGTCAAACGCGGCTTTGGACCGGGATGATACAATAAACCAAGTTTAGGGACCTCGATGTGCGCTTTGCAAATTCGTGGACCTAAGTGAAACCTGCTGACAAGTTTAAGGACCGCTGGTGCATTTTACTCAAAAAATAAATAAGAGTATGTCTGATACAAATAGACATTCCTTCCAGAACAATCTAGATCTTACAGTCGAATTTAGATGGTTGAGTGCTGAAAGAGCCTCCTCTTCTGAACCCATGGTTACAAACGCCAATCCTCTGTTTCTGGTCGAATTGTACATCGAGAGCTAGCAAATCAAGCAATAAAACTAATCACTAATGATGCCATTTATCAGTAAATAATGGAGAAAGATCCATTTTTGAATGCATCATAGCCAGGTCAGCTGGTTAACCTCCTGATATTAACATGTAAGGCTTAAAACATGGAAATGAAGCTGCAAATAGTGCAGTTTGCATTGGACTACTGAGTCCCGATTCTTTTGCCCAAAATTTCTGCTAGATTGTTAAGTACAAAAATGACTCAGATTCTTCAGTTCACCCTTCGAGAAGAGGCTGGCAAGGGAACACATCATCCACGTTAGTAGAACCATTGGAGTCTTTCAAATACCTGGCTCCTACTTGAGCAGAACCAACTTTGAAATGAACAATAGTTTAAAGTCTAAATTGGACATTCTTGCAGGCAAATGGACCATGGTGTATTGGTGTTCAGATCGACGCGCTAAACGCATTTGTGTTCTTGTGCAAATTCACGCCATCCTCTTGGCACTAGGATCTCAGGCTCTCAGCAACCGTGGGGTGCCGCTGCTGCCTGCTTCGTACTGCGGCGCGGTCACAGCGAATTACTGCCACTCCAAATTCGCCGCACATTCCTTCTCTCTGAAGCGGACAAGGATAAGGCGACGGAAAACAATTTACCTCGACATCGACGACAGAGCCGTGCTTCCCGAAGAGCGCGCGCATGTCGTCCGCCGTGCAGTCCCAGGGGATGTTCTGCGCGATGAGCCGCGTCCTCGGCCCCTCGGGCTCTTCCACCACCGCCTCCGCCTCCGCCGCCGGGGCCACCGAGGCGCTAGCACAGCAGGCAGCGAAGGCGGCGCGGCTACCGGACGAACAGGCGAAGGAGACGCGGCCGCCGTGAGGCGGAACGGAGTGCTTGGGGAGGCGGAGCAGCGGTGGGTGGCGCGCGGCGGGGAGCGGGGGGAGGCGGACGAGGGGGAGAGCCATGGCGATGGCGGCGTACGGGGCACGTGTGGATATCTGACACAGAGAGCAGTAGGCAAACCTCGCGGTCGCGGGGAGGTTTATCCACCAGACCAACCACGGCAAAATATCCCAAACGGCCGGGGAAACATATGGGGTTCCGGGTTCGCTGGACTGGAACCCGATCGTCTGACTGACGTTGGTCTTGCGACGTCAAGACGGACGTGGCGCGTCGCACGTCCGTTCGATCCGCATCGCACGAAAAACTAGCGAGAAGCGCGGAAGCGAACAAAAATTATCCCACGGATGCACAGCCCGTCACTCCTAACACTTCGACTCTGGTTTCCTTCCTCCTCTCTCTTCCATCGCCTCGCCTCATGGGCCTGCTCCACCCATATGCTCGCATCGACGACGATGGCTTTCACGGTGGTGTCCTTATCGAGCACCTCGTTCCAACCTAGATGAGAACACTAGGACGGGAGCGGGTCCCTAGCTTGTTGCTAGCAAAGTCTGGACCGTCAGGGCGGCCACCACCAGCACCTCTGAGGAGGACAACAACAGTAGATCAAGAATGTGATTGTAAATTGATTTGAAACTGTAAATCTATTTGAATTGAGATTGTGACTCAATACTGAATGTGATGAGAGTGAGCGTCCTTGTAAATTTAAGATTCTGACTATTGTGTCAATTTAAAAATACGAAGAGATTGACACTGATTATTGTGCCAATTTAGTGTGGCAAAAGAGATTGTGACATCAGAACAGAAAAAAAACATCAAAATGTGTTGTTGTTGCTAATTCAATATGTGAGGGCTGAACATTTAAAGAAATTTGGTTCCAAAATGTTTGCTTGCAAAATGACAAAAGAAAGCTAATTATAATAAAACAACGAATGATTTGGTTCCAACTTGGTGACTTGCCAACTCATTTGTTGCCTTTGGCCCAATTCCTGCACCATCGGCTATTTCAATTTCAAAAACTTGTAAATCTGAAATTCTTCTTTATAATGCCATCAAGTGTAAGGTTTCAGGAAAATACAAAAGGGTGAGTGTGTTCCAAAATTAACTTAGCTATTTCATAGTTTCTTGTCTTTCTGTCCATTACTACACCCATGTGTAATTGACAATCAGATCTAGTTTTAGCTCAAGGATACTTTATTAGATGATCTCTTTTATCCTTTCCTCGATGACCCTCATTTCCATAAACATATCTACATGGTGTAACTTTATCCTTGGATTCTCTTTTGTTTGTATACCTTTTTTTGGCCTCAAAACCTTTTTTTGACATCCATAGCGATGCCAAAACATCCAACCTCATATAAACTTATCAATTCAATTCCAACTTGCGGTACCCAAAAACATGGTAGTAGCATCTCTCTCTCCCTATATATAAAACAAAGTTAGTGCATACAATTGATGACCAAAAAACATAACACACAAGTATTTCAGTAAGAGACAAACACCATCTCCTTATTTGACCAAAACATTATCCCAATACTAATCGAGGATATATTTACTTAGGGCAAATACTTTTCGACCCTTTGTGACAAGCAAGTAGAAGATGACCGAGGGACATGACACGAATGCCGGCTTGGAAAGTAGTATTCGAATTCGTTACAAGACAAAAATACTACTCCCTCCATTCCATTTTGATCATCACCGAAGCAAAGAGCACAGAGACCAATGATAATAAAACATTCATCATTATGTAATTAATTCTCATCGGTTAAGGTGCTACGTCATTTCGTGTTCCATGTATTGTATCAAATTTTAAATATTGCATGTAGTTGGACCAATAGAAATTAATCTTGGTTGGTTACATGCAATGCATTCAATGATGCTCATTTACTCATGGCACAAATAAAAAAAAGATGCACTTGTTAGAGGATGATCATTTTGGGAAGACATTAAAAACCTTATGTGATGATCAAACTAGGATAGAGGGAGTATTCGACAAGGGAGAAAGGAGCTTGATGATTACACCATGGAGCATGGAATATTCTCTTAGAAGATGTCGTGGGGATCACTCCAATCACTCGTGCAAGCTGACGCCAGTAGCTCTGGGAGACCACTTGAATGTATAGTTACATCCTTAGGTTTTCCAACTTTATGGGGGTATTATAGTAACTTCCAGTGCACCCTTGGGGCAAGATTGCAATTTCATGTGTAATTTCGGGGGCTATATAAGCCGATCCAATTGTATAGCAACACAAAGAATACAATTCATTATACCATTATACCACACCATTTATTAGTGAATGCATTTCAAGTTCACCTCATCCTCAAGATAGGTGGGGAAAACAATAGTTTCCAGCCTATCTCCAATTTTTCCGTGATCCAGTGTCTCGACAGAGCTTGGAGTTGCATTACAAACCTAGCTCCTTCCATCTCATTATTTTGATGGGGAAGACTTTAACTGAATCTTCAATCAAACGATTCTTCCATGAGAAAGGGAGAAGCTTGCTCAAAGGCAACCTAATATGTGGAGTTTGATCGATTCTAAGAAACCATTCATGAGGAATAGGGTAGAAGAGAGGAAGCTAGTTGACATAGACTCATGATCAAAGTGAAGAAAGTCCTCATTGTCTCACCACCCTCAGAATAGCAGGCGATAGAGCCTTTTTTCCCCCTCCGTCTAACAAGGATGGTGCCATTTTCCCCCTCCACCTGATAGGAATAGCCGAATGGCGGTGTGTTGCAGCCTAGGCAAGCATGAGGCTGTTCGTGGGCCGATTTTCCGATTCTCCATCTCCATCTCATGTTCATCTTCTCCAACATCTGCATCCCCTTTCTTCATTCAGTGATATTGACCTACTGATACACCGATGCGTGCTCTTCGCACGAGCCCCTTCCGGTGAGGCGTTTTCGGACGTCGGGCCGTTGGTCCGAAGGGTGACAGACTGGAGCTGCGGGAGATATCCTCGTTGGCGAGGAGGCGGAGGTTAGGTATGAGGCCCTACGGCTGGTGCTCGAATCCCTTCCGTCACCGTGCCCGTCGCAAGCCATGCTGCCTGAGGACCGACTAACGACCAAGCAGCAACTTAGGCCACCTGTTTGATTACGCTGCATCTTAATCCTTCTGTGGGGAATCAAGTGCTTTGGTGGATCGGATAGAGATTATTAGATGCAACATTGTAGCAGGGATGCAAGCAGGACGACCCGAAAACCTACTTATATATCAAATAAGTGGTAACTCATGGGTTTTCGCGTCGTAGCCTAGCTTGCCGCACCTAGAGACGCAAGTGGATCGATCCATAAACTCATTTACAAAGCAAATTAGTAGATAACCCACGGGTCAATCCACAGGTTACCCATTAATTTTTCATATAAGCAGGTTCGTGGGTTGGCCTGCTTGCATCTCTACTAGCAACATGGCAGCTAATTCACCTTGGGATCATGTCCCGGTGATTGTGAGTAGTTGTTGATTTGACCCATCGTTGCTGCATATGCCTGCATGATTGGGTCCACAACAGCTACTCCGCTTCTACATACCGTAGGTCCTGTTTGGATCCAGGGATTAAATTTTAGTCCTTGACACATCGGATGTTGGGACACTAATTAGAAGCATTAAACATAAACTAATGACAGAACTCATTCCATAACCCTAAACTAATTCGCGAGACGAATCTATTGAGCCTAATTAATTCATGATTAGCCTACGTGATGTTACAGTAAATATATGCTAATTGTGGATTAATTAGGCTTAAAAATTTGTCTCACGAATTAACTCTCATTTATACAATTAGTTTTGTAAGTAGTCTATATTTAATACTCCAAATTAGTGTCCGAACATCCAATGTGACACGGACTAAAGTTTAGTCCCTGATCCAAACACCACTGTAGTAGGCATGCTGCCTGCTGCTTCAAGGTTCAGCTCAGTGGCCGTGAGATCTAGTTCACAGAGAAGACGAACAAGAGAGAGGAAATAAAGGAGGAAGAAGGATAATTTGGTTTAGAAATTTTAGGAATTTTGGTTTAGAAATTTTAGGAATTAAATTGAAGGAATAAGTAGTGGTATATTTCAAATAATAGCAAAATTGTAATGACATGACTCGAAATAGATGAATAACAGTAAAATTGTAATAAGATGACTCCAAGTACATGGAACCCTTGTTTAAAGCACAACGGTCTGCGCGCTGGTTCCCTCTCTCATCTCTCTTCTCGGGCTCGCCTGAGATGATGCTGCTGCTGCTGCAACGCTCCCCATCCCATGGCAAGCCTCCAGCCTAAATCCCGCAGCACTCTCACCGTCTCCATCAACCGCCGTCCGCCGGTGCGCGCTTTGTGGGCCCGACCTACCGGAGAAACAAATTACCAGCAAGGGCCCGACCCACCGTCGCCGCCATTCCTTTCTCGGCTTAGTACGGCGTGGGGAACACGGCGCGCAACAACCTCGCCACCGCTTCTCCCCTTTTCTCTTCTCTTCTCGCTTCCCAATCCGCCATTCCGCCTTCTCCCCTCCAACACGGCGATCTCTTATAAATCGCGTCGTCCTCCGATCAAATCCACGTCACCACCACCACCACCACCACCACCGCAACCGCCCCCTCTAACCCCGCCGTCGCCGCCGCGGCCACAGCAATGAGGGGCCGCGGCCATCCCCGGCAGGCACCAGCTGCTCACGCGCGCCTTGCTCGCCGCCGTGACGACAGACGCGGCCATGATGGGCGCGGCCAAGGGGAGCGCCATTTCCTCGAGGAAGGTGGAGCTCGTGGGCGTGGACGACGCGGAGGAGGGAGAGGGCGCCGCGGCGGCGGCGGCGGCGGCGGCGGCGTCGCTACTGTTTCCCCGCAGCGCCGTGCTGCTCCTCACCCACCGGAGCGCGGTCATGCGCGCGCGCGCGACTGGAACACCGAGCCAGCTTGCGGCCGAGGGGATCGGGAATCTTCTGCGATCGTCAGGGCGGGCGCGCGCGGCGTCCAAGCCCGAAGCGCCGGTGACCAGCAACACCAGGCGTACGGCCGCGAGCTCCGACGCGATGCTCGGACTCCGCGCCTGCAGGTCTGGGCTCCGGTACTCAGCATCGGCATCGCCAACACCAACGGTCCTACGTTCTGGATTCCCTTCCTTGAAGCCATGGGATCGTTCGCCGGTTGCCTCCCAAGCAGTGCGCTGCGGGGCCTCGGGAACGTGCCCGTTGGGGGACCCGGAGAGGTCTACATCCACGCTGCAGATGCGCAGTTTTGGTTGGGGGCGCCCCTCGACCGCGATCTTCGTAGAGGTTGGGGAGGTCGGGTGATCGTCGTCGTCCATGGAGATGACGGGCACCTCGGCGATGGTATCGGGCTCGACCAGCGGGGAGGACACCACCGCTATTTCCTCCCCGTCCATTTGCATCCTCCCGATGAGGTATGGAGGGATGCTCCGGGTGGACCTCGCCGCGGAGGAGTCCGTCATGGCGGTGGCGGTCGAGGTTGCGATCGTTTTCCCTGCGGCGGAGGACCAGCTGCAGATCGAGTGGGCGGTGGCGGTCGAGGTGGCGATCGTGTTCCCTGCGGCGGAGGACAGCGCGCAAATCGTGTGGGCGGCGGCGGCGCTCGCCGCGGCGGAGGAGTGGCCGCGGACCGTCAGGATGGCGGCGTTGCTCCCCGCGGTGGATGGGCTGGTGCGGTAGTCGGCGGCCATCAGCAACCTATTGTGAGAGAGGTAATTTCACTTCAACATTTGCTTGGTACTATGTTTGATCTCATCATCTGAACATTTGCTCGGTCCAGTAATTAAGGCACTAACTACATTTGTTCGGTTCAGTAACTGTTGAGTGCATGATGTTCAGTTCTTCATCGACTTCTTTTACGTGTGCATGATGTCACAGGGTCCCGGCCGTCGTCGGCGTAGACGGGATAGAAACATGGCGCGGGCGGCTGCCGCCGATGTTGCTACCCCGGCCCAAGCCCCACCAGCCCCAGCGCCTCAACTGCTCTCGGCGGACAACAGAAGGCTCGAAAAAATGCATCAAGGTGTTCTGAATAAGAAGGAACAAGTGCAGGCCCTACTACGCCAGTTGCAAACAGAAGAAGATTTAGCGCGCACGAACTCTCAGAGGCCAAACCACGATACCATCGAGGGAATCCACGGTATGGTGGTGCTACAAATTGCAGATTACGAGAGGCTCGAGGAGCAGGTGCACCATCTCGGTGCACAGATTTTGCAAGACGGTGAGATGCCAGTTGCCGCACCAGCAGATCTTTTGTGCTTAGAGTCCGATGATGTTCTTCTTCCTGTTCGCTTATTTGTGAATTTTTGTTCTTCCTAGATTAGCACCAAAGTCATCTCCCAAGGGATGGAAAAATCCAATTGCTAAGTTGCTAACGCTGCTAACAGGGGTTCTATTCTAGTACAGAGATCGCCACTTGTCATGCCTGGTCTCCTTTTTCGAGTTGGTTACTAAGATCTTTTTGTTGAGCAACGTTTTCCTGGCAATCTCTGCTTATTAGGGTGGCCTCTTAAGCTTCCGCAAATGTTCCTCGTGAAACTTGTTTACATGAGCTAGGAAAAGAAGATAAACACCGACGAGATGTGTACATGCCAAATTAACATATAACCACCATAATAAACTAAGAAAAACAAAATAAAACAATACTAATAAATATGCCTCCATTAATGCGCGTTTTGAAATAAGGCTTCAATCACAAACATTGGATGGCATTTTCTCGGATGCAATCCTCGATTGGAGCTCTCGGAAGGAGGCGTCTAACAGGATCATGCCACGCACGAACATGGCGGTCGTCCACGCATCCTGCCCGTCGACGTTGTTCGGGGACTTGAACCTCTCGGGCATCTCCGCGACGTTGTATGTGCCACCCTTGGTCGCCACGTACTCCGGCTCCTCGTACACCGTCTCGTTAAGCTGCAGAGCTCTCTTCCTCCTCACCACCGTGTGCGACGACGCCGCCGGCAGCAACGAGGCCTCCTGATCCATCTACGTACCCGCCACGCACAAGTCGTCCCTCCTGCTCAACTAGTTTGTGACTTGCCGACTTGGTGATACGCCCGTACGGTACGGGTGTGTTTGGTGTGGTCGTACGCCTACGTGCTTGTGCATATATAGGCAGGATCCCCCGCCCCGACGCGGACTCGATCGAGGTCCCGGGCTCCCGGCACGGCGGCACCAACGTACGCGACTCGGACTCGGAGCCGTGGCACGCGGTTGCTACGTGATCGCGTCGGATTCTTCGTCGCAGTACGGAATAGAGCAATAGGCTGGCTGGCGTCCCGCGGAGTCGCGGTCGCGGGGTTCTCCAACTTCCACCCGAAGCGACCGGCGCCAAAGCAATGCGTTTCGCGCGGCCGGGCTTCTCGCCAAGTCGCTGTTCGTTGATCCAGTGACTAGTGTAAGCAATGGCAGCTGGGCTTGGCTCGCGTGCGCCTCGTGGTCGGGGGATATAAATCCAACACAGCAGAATATCCCAAGCAAAATATCATAAGCTGAGCTGGCTTCTCGCCGGCGATGGCCCTGGAACCCGGGTGGATTTTGCATGAAAGGTAGACAAGCGAGCAGTTCTGATTTCTGAAACTCTGAGCACTGAACAAGACCTGGGGGGACAGTTCAACAGGAACCTAGAAGTTGACGAATTAGCACTTCATATTACGTGCACAATAACTACTATATCCACGAGTCCATGACAACCCAACTTTAAATAAATGTCATAAAAATTTCATAAGAAACTGTTCGTGGTTCCAGTTCTATGTACCAAAAAGGCATTGTTCATTTTGTGATATAATAGCATTTACCAGTACCAACCATTCTATTTTGTACCAGTCTATGAAATTTCACAGCTCAACAGTCTCAATAGTCAATGCTAACTCTACTTTAGTTTCGAGCACCAGCCACAACACCACCATGCGTCACAATAAGCATGGTATAACTCATACAGAAAGGTACACATATGTACAACGAATCATTCAAAAAAAAAAGCATATGCTATACACAATGGGGAGCTGAGAGTATTTCCTTCTACGTAGGGCTAGTGATTATATATTTGCATTTACTCCATCATTTGATGTTGAGTCTTCGAATTCCTTCTCAATCTCCGTGAAGATAGGTTCTACTTTAGCATCAATCTTGTCGCTGAAATTCTCAATCTGTATTAGCGAGAAGATCAATAAAGTGTTAATAGCTTCATCTTTGGTTGTCTTTCACAATACTTCCAAAACAGTGCAGATATCTCAACAGTTTTACGCAAAATGACTCTATACCTGTAGGAATCCTTTCTTTCTTTGCCTGATTCAGTTTTATTAGGATAAAACAATACTAGTTGATTTGTATTGGTACAATCCGGCATTTTGTTCACTGTTATTGTACTCTTCTACTTGCTATATAGATACATTTTCTAAAACTAGTGCAATGCCACAAGGCTGCATAGTAGTAGACTCTTTTTAAATACAAAAGAAAATAGGACGTTATTCCTAGATGTCCTGGCAAATTGTGGCACAGTAAAATTGCATTAATTTTTTTTGATTTAATGTCAACAATATACTTTTGAAGTGGAACTATGACCTTGAAGTCTTCAACAATACCTACAAAGATTTACCAATTAAGCAAAATCCTTTAACAATTGAATTGTCAGAATTTTTGTAGTGGAAAACAGAAATAGCGAAACAATCCTTGGCAGAAACAACTAACAAAGTTAATTATCATCAATATAAACACTATAATGGTAAAATGTATGTAGCACACAATGAAGGTACAACACTATTATACAAAAGAAAGTTGAATAGATATATTCTTGATGCATGTGGTTACTACAATACTACAATTTAGGTGGAGCCAACAGAAATATATAACGGCACTTGAAAACTGGTGTTCACAGTTGGCACTTAGAGTTGCCCTCTACCCACTTATCTTTAGCACTACCAATCAACTCATACAGCATATCCAACTGCTAATTTGCTTTCAAAATATTCTGAAATTCAAATGACATTATGTATCCTATATAAAATATAGTAGGCAAAACAGGGAGTGACATGGAGCCCACCTTCTCAGTAATGGCCTCAACCTTCTCTGCATCTTCATCCACTACCTCAGCTATGTATTCAATCTTCTCCACTACTTTCTGCAGACATCCATTCTCTGGAAGGTGATCAGCCACGTTAGAAGCCAGTTTCTCTGTGACCTCAGCTATTTGCTCCACAACCTCAGCAGCAGTCTCCACATTTCGAGCCGTCTCATCTGTGAACAACCAAACATCAGCACTAAGGTGTGTTTGGATCATTTGCTTACTTTACCTAGCCCGGCTAGATTTATCTAGCTCCTTTTGGCAGTAGCCTATATAAGCAACGACCATCATTTCGTTTACTTAGCTTTTACCGAATCTAGCGGTTGATTATCACGAGACATCACGCACGCCGTTTGCCGTCGGGGGAGAACCGATTTGGCTCTCCTCATCAGGCAGGCTTTTTCAGGTTATTATGGACTGGTGCCATCAAAAGCAAGGTCTTTTAGCTTCTACAAAACACTAAACCTTGACAGCAAGGTCTTTTAGCTTCTACAAAACACTAAACCTTGACAGCAAGGATAAATTAGGCCTTGCTTGAGATCCAAACGCACCCTAAAATTCTCCCAACTATTGCAAACACAGATACTTTGTAACTACTTGGCAGCAATTTATGAACTGCACAGCAGTTTCTGGATTACTACTTGACAGTGATTTCATAAAATCAATAATGATTACCTCCCATTCAACATTACAAAGTCATTTTCTCATAGGTAAAGGTGGAAGATTATCGGAGTTGGGCGCACATACCTTCAACATACCGTGCTCTCTCGTAGAATGGCACCACTGTGTGCAGCACACCTCCAATCACCCACCGAGCCCTGAAAGAACACCAAAACAAACACAAATTTAGTCAAAACATCATACAGAAAAAGGAAACAACCGCATGCTTGCTTCTCCTACCATGTAGGAATTGTCTTCGGAGATGAGCGCAGGCTCTGGGCTGCCAAATCCGCCGGGACGATATCCGACTTCCCAAGAACAACCCAGCTGCCCAGAATCGCCACCACAACAACAAATCCATCAACTAATTATAAGCCAAGAACCAAGCGAGACAATACAATAAATTGGGCAGAGCCACATACCCCGAGTCGATGTCACTCAAATCGGCACCACCCTCCGCAGGCTTCTCTCCCCTGCTGCAGCAAGATCAAAGGACAAGAAATCACAAACAAATCACCGAAACCTAGTTTCTCCCATCTTGTTCTTGCTCTCAATCTCAGTGAGTACAAAGCGGACCAAGGAATTCACTTGCCTTGTGCCTTCTTGCTTAGTAGACGGTAGGGGACCGATCGGCTGCATGGTGAGAGTCGCCATGGATTGGAAATCGCGAATCGATTGGAGAAGAGAAGCTCGAATGGATTGGGGACGGGGAGACGATTCGGAGAAGATCGGATCGATTACTTGTGTGGATGATATGGCGTGCTTAACCGGGCTACGATCTGAGCCGTTGAAAGATGATCGAACGGCTGCTCTATCATTGATTGCGACACAGAGAAAGAGACCCCATTGCTAAAACATTACGCTATGAAGGTCTCTTTTGCAAAGTTCCTCCTAGATTCAATCCAGACCGCACAGTCCCGATCCAACGGTGCCCATCGGCTGCTTTCCCTAATCGCGTTTATTCTTCGCGAACCAATCGATTCGCCGCCGGCTAGCCGCCGCTGCGACCACCGCGCCGCTTCGCCGGCTGCTCGCCGAGCGGCGGCCGGCGGGTGGAATGCGCGCCAGTTGTCCGATGGAACGCCTCCGGGTTGAGTGCTCGCCTGGCTCCTTCGGATAGAAGGAGGCCATGGCCGCCGCGGGCAACGGCGGCGGAACAGTACGGCGACGGGGGGTTTCGCGAAGTCGCCGTTCATTCCTCCTCAACTGGTCACGCGGCAGTGCTGGGTGCGGAGGCTGAGACCAATGGCGAGGTGCTAGTTGCCGGGAGGTGAGTGGAGGCGGCCATTGTTCTTCCTAAACCAGCTAATTGGGGATCTTTGTGTTGAAATCGCAGCTAGATGGATATGTCTGACATATTATTGTCTCGTTTACTAAATTTAGTGGTTTATTTAACATTGTTTGGATAAGAAATTATGCAACCATGTACAGATTTATTTTGTGATAGACTTGATACTACAGTAGACTCAGTAGATTGTAAATGCAATCTGATTTTTCTTAGCTTGGCTTTTAGATGTAAATTAACACTGTTGCCTGTTGGGTTAGGCTGAAACTATAGGCTGTGACTAAACTAGTTATGTCATGCAGATTGATACTCCCTCCGTTTCGAAATATTTGACACCGTTGACTTTTTAGCACATGTTTGACCGTTCGTCTTATTCAAAAACTTTTGTGAAATATGTAAAATTATATGCCTACATAAAAATATATTTAACAATGAATTAAATGATAGGAAAAGAATTAATAATTACTTAAATTTTTTGAATAAGACGAACGGTCAAACATATGCTAAAAAGTCAACGGCGTCAAACATTTCGAAATGGAGGGAGTATTATATTACTTGCGTGCATCCGTGTGTCATATTCTCATATCCTCCTAAACTGATCCATACAACCATTTTTCGGGAATACCATACAACCATTTTGAACTTGTTCCTGAATATTTCATCTTACAAGTTGATGAGGATGTGAGTTTGTGGCATATTCCTGATTTTGAGGGAACTTGTGGTATACTTGTATTCAAGTATTTCAGCAGATAGTTTGTGCATAACTACATATTTGATGCTACTACCTTTTGAAATAGACGGAGCTCTCTGTCTCTGCTTTTCATCAGACTATAGTTCACTGTAATGGAAGCTAGATAGTTATTCTCCTTGTACCTGCGATTGTTTATCTCATCCAAATAAGTCTTCTCTTCAGATGGACATCATGAACCTGTGAATGGTTATGGACAATGACGCAGCAGGTCCCAAGAAAACAACATTATGCCAATTAACATGGAAAAAGGCAAGGTGGTTACTCTTTTTCAGACATAATAGGTATTGCTATCATAATTATCCTTTTCTTACTAACTATTAGAGTGTGAAACACGTTCATGAACTGCTTTCCTGTTAGGTGGTATGTCTACCTTCCTTAGTACAATTGTTTGGTATTGTAGTATGTGTGCCCGTCCCGTGTTCAAAGTCCTTTTATGAATGTGGAAATTTCGTCATTTTTTTCTAGCAACTAGCCAAAATGATTAAACATCACATCCAATCAATAATGGAATTTACCATTGGCATTATTGGTATACGGACATGTTGCCAGAACCATCTTGTTTCCTCTTGAATCTTGATAAAACATGGAGAAATTCAGCTATTGGTTGAGACTATCTGTCCTATTTGAGTGTATAATGCTAGTCTCAAGTTTCTCTCATCGTGGAAATTTGTTTTAATTAGAAAAATAGATGTACTCTACGCAAATTGCGGAGACGTTAAGCTAACTTGTTGTTTTATGCTGTCTGATAGGGAAGTCAGATCTATTTTCTGATCTGTGCACATGTTGCTCTGGTCTCTGGCAATATGCCAAATGATGAATACCCTGTAGGACTTACAGACTTCAGTAGCGTATCTAATACCCTGATGTCAGGTTTCTATGATCGATCTACTATTCTCCCAGTGCTTTAAGAGAAGTATACTTAGTCCGACATACTGTGTAGATACAGGAATATTCCTTTCTGATGAAGTTATATATTCCTGGATGTTTCAGGGCCTACTCCGAGAGTCCAAGTGATTCCTTTCGGACAGCAGCTGAATAGAATTAGGGTACTGGAGACATGTAGGGCTAACTTATTAGTCAAAGGTGTTGTTTGGATCCAGAGACTTAACTTTAGTCCGTGTCTTTAGATGCTAATTTAGAGTATTAAATATAGACTACTTACAAAACTAATTACATAAATGAAAGTTAATTCGCGAGACAAATTTTTTAACCCTAATTAATCCATAATTAGAGAATGTTTACTGTAGCATCACATAGGCTAATCATGGATTAATTAGGCTCAATAGATTCGTCTCGCGAATTAGTCCAAGATTATGGATGGATTTTATTAATAGTCTACGTTTAATATTTAGAATTAGTATCCAAACATCCGATGTGATAGGGACTTAAAAGTTTTAATCCCATCTAAACCGTGCCTAAGTTTGGAAACATCCGATGATTTATTGCGAAAGCTGTCAGGCAACTTGTATGTTTGTCTTGATATGGTGAATGTAGTTTCCCAAGGTTCCATGTTACCTCTAAAATCTACTAGCTGTCTGAGCTGTGACTAAGTTAATTTGGACATGGGTTTAATATAGCTCCTCTACTTCCTTTTATATTTGAAGCATGCGTTACATTTTCTACTAACATATCGTATGTACTGGTGTCATTATTCTCTCTCTATCCTAGTTGATTGTTACTTAATTGGTGTAATTTTCAACTGAGCGAGACCGACTGCAGTAACCATGCTTCTCCTCTAAGTAAGACCAGTGATCTTTAATGATACACCATTATCTGTTATATATGCATGTTATTTGTATATGTAGTATTTTTATATGTCTAGTTAAAGTAGTGTAGAGACGGTAGCCGTCTTAACCATTATGCACGTACGTACGGCTTAATCTCTTGCACTTCAATTAGCTCTATACTTATCCAATGTAGTAGTACCATTATTTCCCAATATATCATATGATTCTATAGGACCATCAAACGATTATATAGCTCTGTGGTTTTCTGCATATTTTTCATTCGATTGCAGTTATAAAATGGTATATTAACTCTTGCATATCGGTTTAGCCTGGTACAGGTAACTTGTCAAAAATTAGGTGAAAACAGTTAGTGGAAATTTTAAAATCCATCCATGTGGTGCCTAAGGTGTCACGACCTTCATAGTGGCGTTGCCTAGCAAGTTTTCGCTCCCCACCTTTTCTGTCTCCTCTCAATTTGGTTTTCTCGATGGTCGTGATCAGATTGTTGTGAGAGATGAGTGGATATTCTTCTCTCTTGCCCTCTCTCTCCTCAACCCTGTGAGGATGATCGAAAGCCCGTCGTTGATCTCTTTTGTTGTTTCGGTGTTTTGTGGAGCGTTTGTGATCCCCAAGTAGGTATATCGGCGGTCGATCACGCTTAGCGGTGACCAGCTTAGTGCTAGTGCCTTCTAATGGGTTGTGCGGTGAGCTACTAGCAAGTGGAGGTGGTTTGTTTTTTAAAAATTCTTTTATCTGGTTACAGGCTTTTAGTGTTGCAGTCTTATAATTTATTTGACTATATCAATATAAATTTTTGCACTATCTTGTGCAGATTTTTTAAAAAAAAAAAAAAAATCATCCATGTGTGGTAGTTCCTCCCACAATCTCGTGATCCCGTCCTTGTATTTTGACATTTTGAAGTATCGAGTAAACTTCCTTTTTGGAGTACTTGAATAGGTTTTGCCAGCACTTATTGCTTTGAACCATCTTTCTGTTACTAACTCTGCACTTTGGACCCATGGCCCATGTGCCATCGCGTGATGAAAACAGAGATTGGAGGGCGTGGTGAGGTCGTATGTGGTCGAGTATCCGTGTTTGCATGCTCCTGTCTTGGTGATGAAACTGACGATGGTGCCCACTTCTTCTGGCAAAATGTCGACCTATGTAGGGTTGAGAACTTGGGATCGGGTTGGGTAGTACTCCATCCATTAAAAAATTATTCAGATCCTAGGAACGATATGCATCATATCCAATATCTAGATTCTTTTTTTTATAGAGTAAAAGAGAAGGGGAGCTTGACGAAATGGCGAGGCTTGTGCGTGATGAGTATAGCTCGTGCACGACCTAGATGAATTTGCTCTCGCCTCTACTTAATGCAAAGATTCGTAAATCTTGTGCATATTCTCGAAAAACATAGATGAACTTGATACAACCAGTATGCAATATGCAGGAAGTGATATTAACAGCATGGAGGTGTGGACATAGAAAAGGTAGAGAGGAGGAGGTTGACAATACGATACAATAGAGAAGTGATATTAATCTTAAGTACTGCCCTACCTACAATCCAAAGATAAGTACGGGTTACCTTCGTGAGTATGCTTATATTCTATCTTAGTACTCTATCTGTCTAAAAAATCAATCTAGATGGAAATTTGTCACAAAACCTAGAACAAAGAATCTAAACAAGATTATTCTAGATTGTGTCAAATTCCAATATCGATTGAGCGTTTTTTTTTCACGGAGAGTGTAATTAGGACACTAACAGTGCAAGCACCAACTAGGAAAGACCACGAGCTGACACATAGGATGAAGAGATTCAAAAATATTTTCTCCACAATGCAAGTAACCTTATAGTGGGACCCACAAATATCTTTCATCCCTTCTCCCTCGTCAAACCACCCACAAAATCCTCCTCAAATCCCCTTTTGCTCCCTCTCTCCTCCCATTGGCGCCGGCTGGTTCTCCCCTCCTCCCGCCGGCGCCGGCAGACGTGCGAGTTGAGGACAAAGACGACGACGAGCTCTCCCCTCCTTCCTCCGCCGGCGTCGGCTCTCCCCTCCTCCTGCCGGCGTCGGCAGACGCGTGAGTTGAGGACGAAGACGACATACTCGCATTTCCTCCTCCCCCCTCCCCTCCCGTCGCCACAAGCTATGCGGCGGCCACGCGAATCGAGCGACGAGCTCGACGCTGCGTGGAGCGACCCGACGCGAAATCATCGAGCTTGTCTCCGGCAAGCACCGAGCTGAGCAACAAGTGGGCGGGGGCAACGCGGAGCAGCGGACGTCCTCTCCCCTCCCACGGCCGCGAGCTCGGCAGCAGCCGCCGGATCTGGCCAGGCGTGGGGCAGTGGTGGCGGAGATGGAGCTTGGCAGTGCAAGTCAAGTCGGCAGGTCGAGCTACCCGGCGGTGGCGCGGAGCGGGGCTGCAGCCACCGTCGACTTCTTTCACGGTGGTCAAGGAGGCCTTCTCCATCGCTCAGGTCTGGTGGCTTCGTGTGCTGCGTTGCTTTTCCAGTTTTTTTTAGAGGCGAGTTCCCCGCGTCTTACCTGAGGGACGAGAGCCTATGCAAAGGCATGAGGGCCCACACCCTCTCTCCTCCACGGCATCACGCAGTTGAGGTGGAGGCACGAAGTAACTCACCAGCGTGCTGCACTGTGAAAGGCCTTAACAACCACATCCTTCTCCATGACCTATCCACCCATTCTGTGAGCATATGCAGCAGTGCAGCACATGTAACCTACCCACCCTGTAAGATTGGTCTAATCGCCGATAAAATACACATTTTGGGAGAGACGGATCATTTCAGCAGTCAATTCATGCATTGGATCAATCATGCCTAGACAGAAGAGGGAAAAGTTGTGTGTAGGAGTAGTGAAGGAAAGCAAGCGCTGTCCTAGAATCTTTTTCCAAGGGTCAAATAGCAGCATGGGACGACACGAGCAGCGCGTCTTTTCCTATCATTTCCAGCCCTCGCCGTCACCTCACTTTCCGGCGTTCAGTAGACGTACGTCGATCGCTCTCCCTCCTCCCTCCTTGTTCATCTAATCATCTCCAATGCTTTGCTGATAGCTCTCCTTGTTCATCTCCCATGTGGCCATATGCGCTTTTCCACCCAAAACTCTCCTTCTGGAGTAGGATTATACTTCATTCAGAGAAAAAGGCTCGTCAGACAAAGCCATGCCTAGCTGACAGCTAGCACTGGTCAAAGTTAACCATCCTCCAATCTTAAGCAAACAAATCGGAACTATATATGATATTCAATTCTGTAATATAATCTGAACTGTTGATGTTTGCGAGAAAGGCAAAGCTTGTTTTAGGAACAAACATGCATGAGCAAAATTTAGGTTATCATAATTTGTTAGAGTATCTTCTTAACTTAAACTTTGTGGACCTGGGGTTGTGTGTGTATCCTAGATGCAGAGGCCAGGGATTTAATTATCCACCAATCCACCATATTAATTAAAAATGAGCACAATTTAGATTACCATGAATTTTGAACTGTTTTCAATAGCTTTTGTCTATAACTTATAAATCTGATAAACCAGTCTTTGAATTTTTTTTTCTCATGCTGGTTGAATACTTTGACGACTCAGACTATCACAACCACATGCATGTGTAGAGGTAACTTGAAAAACGGCTCTAGTAGCATATCTTTTGATAGACGATGCCTGGTAACCACCAAATGGTTATTCATTGTGTCCATGTGGCTTATAATTCTAGAATATGGCTCCTTGTCCGCTGACAATTTAAGGATGAAAATGGTTGAAAATGGTCCAAACAGCCTTAACTTTTCCCATAACTATATTTTTCTCGAAAAAAAAATTGAAAATTATAAAGCTACTAGAAACGAAAATGGTATCAGAGATATTGAAAAAACAGAAACGAAACTATACGAACGGAATCATATCGGTATCGATCGAAAACCAGTAATAAATGTTAAAAATATTAAACTAAAAATACCACATATTTAACTTAGTATAACTATATATAATATGACCAATTAAATTCAAGTTTGCACTAGATAAGTTAAATTTTGTCTCTCTTAGCCATGCATTCAACCTAGGGATTTAGTTTAGGAGTTGACGAGACTCTAAACTATAGATCAAAAGATGACTTGGACCATAGATATTGGAGTATTTAGAAATATGCTAATTACTGGGATTTATTTTAGGAGTTGATGAGCATCTAAACTATAGATCAAATATAGATCAAATAGAGACTTGGACCATAGATATTGGAGTATTTAGAAATATGGTAAATACCATTGCCAAAAAGGTAATTTCCACGATAATACAATCAAACATGGAAATCTTTTCTGCTTTTGTTTTTTTTGTTTTCGTTGTTTACCATTTCCATATGGCTTGGTCAGTAGAAATAAAAAACGAGCGTCCGTTGGTTGAAAATTTCTGTGACCATTTTCAACCCTGGTTGGCATTGGTGGGTGGCCATAGGCGGCAGAGCAGAAATGTTGGAACCTTGTCATAAGCTCATATTTGGGGCTATTTAGAACTCATGATATTCTTTTTCCGCGAGATTAATTTTCACCCTGTTTAGTTCAATTCATGTAGAACTTCTTTGAAATCCTACCATTTCAAACTAGGGCTTTGAATATTGCAATAATCGACGTATGCTTCATGCGGGGAACAAGCTAGGGGTCCCGAGATCGAGAGTACCCCGCAGCTGTGCCTATCAATTGCGTTGTTTGGATCCTAGCTACAGATCGAAAACATGTACCCCACTAAGAAATGTTCGTGTCTACATACGACGAGGAGCTCCCATTTCAAACACTTCACTGGCTCACTGCCGCATTATATTGGTATACTCCCTCCGTACTAAAAAAGGAAGTCGTTTTGGACAGTGATACGATTTCCAAAACACAACTTTAACTTTTTTCTATAAAAATATTTATTGAAAAGTGATATATGTATACTTTTATGAAAGTATTTTTCAAGACAAATCTATTTATATAATTTTTACATTTTCAAACTCAACAACTTGAGAGTTATTCATGATTTATATTCTCAAGGTTTGACTTAAATATTATTCTAAACGACTTCTTTTATAAGTACAGAGTGGTAGACCATGATGCATTAATTGAAGTGAAGATGAACTACAGAAATGTACGTGGGTGTAGTAACTGCGGTACATGTGCATCCAGCGTACAGAGTTCTAGAAGAATCGAAAGTGCACACATTACACACGGTTGGCGCATATTAATATTGACCATTTTTGCCATTGCTAAATGTTCTAAGAAAATACTCTAGCTGATCTAGCTACAGCTCTGCTTCTGCTGCTGCTGCTGCTCTTGCTCGATCGTCTCGACGATCCCGTGTACCGCCGCCGCGATGTCGTCCACCGACGTGAGCTGGCAGTCTTCTTCCACCTGCAGCGACCACAGAGCAGCCATGCATGCGTTAGCGTCATTAAAAAAAAAAACGGTTGTTGTTTTCCTTCTGCTTCGTGTGCTCGGTTCTCTAGGGGTGAATGAGCGAAGCGAAGCAGCCATGACACTGATCCGAATGACGAGGAGTTTGTAGGCGTCGTTCATGACAATTTCTGCACGGAAAACGAGGCTATCTAGCTACAGTAGCCAGCTACTCGTAGCTGCTAAAATGGAGAAAATGGAGTAGAGTATTTTGGGGAGAGGATACGTGTACGCATGCACGTATACACGTACTCTCTCTGCATCCTTAAAAAAATCGAATCTAAATTCATTGTATTAGATTATGATTATGTTCTATCTTTTAGGTTAGTTTTTTTTTAAAGGAAGAAGTAGTGTGTTTTTACTATACCTTAAGGCTAAGGGAGTAGAGAGCCATGTGGCCGGCGCTGGCGACGTTGAGGTGGAGCACGGCGAGGCGGTGGTGTTGCAGCCCTGCCACCATCCTCAGCAGCTGCCTCGGCCGCCGCCGCGACAGCACCTTCAGGTTGGCGTGGCTCTCCACCATCGTCACCTCGATGTCCGCCACCGAGGACGGCTTCGACCCCGACACGTCCGCGTCCGCGTCGTCGCCCGCGCCGGCGCCGGCGACGGCATTGCCGTTTTCCGTTGCTGCTGCTGCTACAGTGGTGGTGGTTGTCGTGGGCACGGCGCTCATGGAGTACTGCGGGAACGTGAAGAAGCCCGCGAATGGCAACGCGGCGGCGGCGTCGGTGCGTGCGCGGCGGGCGTGTCTGTGCGCCTCCAGGGATTGGAGAAGCTGCTCCATCTCCTTGACGTAGTTGATTGCTCCGCCAATTATGGACGCCTGGTCGCCCTATCCACATGAGAATTTAATTTATTTATAGCTTGAATTGTTGATAATTCTAACAAGATCATCAATGGCGGTCTTGGGCGAAGTGAGCCCTAGATGGGTCGGCAGGAGACGTACCCTTTGCACGTAGGAGGCCGGCATGAGGGAGCGGAGCACGGCGAGGTACTCGTTCATCTGCTTCCGGCGGTTGCGCTCGACGGCGATGTGGGTCATGCGCTGGCTCTCCACCTCCTCCCTGTTCTTGACGGTCCTCGCCCTCCGCCGCTTCCTCCTCCCTGCGGCCGCCGCCGGCGCCGCCGCGGAGCCATCCCGTCCGACGACAGACGCACCTCCGTGCTCCGGCGGCGGCGCTGCGTCTGCGACGGAGGAATTACCGCCGTCCGGCTCCTCAATAAACCCCGAGACGGCGGCCATCACCGGGGAAGAGCTTGCGCCGCCTCCGCCGCCGTCCCAGAAGGCGTTCACCACCCCGTCGTCCACCACTAACTCCATCGCCCCCTTCCCCTGATCAACGCCACCGCCATACCCGTGGCTCCAGCTCCAAGCTCCTCCTGCAGCTGCTTCCGCCGCCATGGCACCGCCGCATCCGAAGTAGTATCCTTCCGAGAACACCACCGCCTCCAACGCCATGCTCCAATCAAGAAACCAAACCACCCACACACAAGAGAGAGATGTCTAGAGAGAGGCTATAGCTAGCTAGCTAGCTAGCTAGGTCATCTCCATGGGCAGACCGAGCTCCGATGATGGCGATGGCGAGGAAGGTGAGACTACACGTGAAGAAGGGAAGAGGACGAGAGGGCGGCAGCAGCATGGAGCAGCTGGGAATGGATGGAGGAGGGTGAAAAAGGCAGAGGTAGCTTTCGGAGGCGACTAGTAGTAATTATATACACACAGGTCAAGGTGAACAGGGGGGGGGGGGGGGCGTGGGAAAGCGCGGGTTTTCGCGTGATTAGGCCATGATTTGGTCGGGATGGCGGCACGGCGCGTGGCACATCTCCAAGAGGGTCCGCGACGATGAGACGATCGATCGCGACGTAGGCGCGGGCCATTGGGAAACGCGACCGCGCGCGCGGCGTGTTGCTGCTGCTACGGACAACGCACGGACCAGCCCGTTCTGGAGCGTACACCCGGCTAATCGTTTATAGTAGTACATATGCCAAGTAATTGATTATAAATTCCTTTTTAAAAAACTTAAAAGATAAATTAATATGTCATACTCTCTTCGTTCCGTAATATAAGTCGTTTTGACTTTTTTTCTATCAAATCATTTTAAGTTGAATCAATTAAATATAAAATATAGCAATATTTTTTACATAAGACAAACATGTTATGAAAATATATTAAATGTTAGTTTAAATGAAACTAATTTGGTGTTGTAAATGTTGTTAAATTTATCTATAAACTTAATCAAACTTAAAAAAAAATTAAAATAACTTATAATATAAAACAGAGAAAATATATCATTTTACAAAATATATGTCAAGAAAATGAGTAGACGTAGATTCATGTGATTAAAATCCTTCTCCTAACCCGTTCCTCGTGTATGGCCAACCAGAGGGAATGGCCGGCTGGCTCTCTCTGGCCGCAAAAACACAAGCGAGAGAATACATCATCCTCGCAGTAAATAAAGTACTGTAAAATGGTAACAGAGTGTGGCCGCGCGGTAACTTTACTTTCCGGGAATATTTTACGCGTCGTCGCCATCGGTCGGTCGGTCATCTCTGGCTGCTGCAGTGTACGTACGTACGAGCTGAGAATCACTGGTACACAGGCGTACAGATGAGCTAGCCATAACTATTGTGGTAATAGTACTGTATATACTCCCTCCGTTTCATGATGTAAGAATTTTTAGCATTATTTATATTTATATATATCTAGATTCATTAACATCTATATAAATATAGACAATGTTAGAAAGACTTACATTATGAAATGGAGGAAATAGTACAGTCCTCCCTCGTCCCTAAATAAGTGTAGTTTTGCACTGTTTGTATCCAACATTTGATTGTTCGTCTTCGTTGAATGTTTTTATGATTAGTATTTTTATTGTTATTAGATGATAAAACATAAATTTTACTTTATGTGTGACATTTTTTTAATTTTTTATAATTTTTTTAAATAAGACAGATATTTAAATGTTGGATACGGATACCACGGCTACACTTATTTTAGAACGGAGGTAGTAGTAAGCTAGCGTAAGCTATAGCTAGCCGCACTTCGATGCCACTCGATCCAGCGATTCTAGCTACTGTATATATACAGGCTTCTACAGGGAATTCGCATGCACTGTGCATGTGCAGGGCTGAATATCCTATCCGTTCATATATACCAAAGCACTGTGTAACGTCTAATCCCCAACAGGATCGATTGCTGCAGTTTCTCTAATCTTTTGATGCATCTCCGAGAAACAGAGGGTAAATTGTGGATGATGAAACCTTGCAAGGTGGTAAGAAAAGCTGACTCTCGCTTGATGTCCCACGACGCCAAGGGGAACGAGCAAAGTATGCTATGAAGTGGGTAATATAGAAGTGCGTGTGGAGAGTCCCAATGTTGATTAGGGCTTGTCCTTCCCTCACCTGTTTTTAATGTTTTAAGTCATATTTGTATAGCTCCTGTTTCCAAGTTATTTTTGCTATTTATAAAATCTCATGGAATTCTGCCCCCATTCGCTTCTCCATTCATGTTGGCTTCTTCTTATGATAGGGTGAGGTACCATACATTGTGTCGTTGCCTTCTCCCTGATCGATATTCAGAAGCTACCTTCACCAGATCCACAACATCCTAATCAGTTACGTTGTTTGTCATCTCAACAATTCCATTCCTGTGAGAGCAAATTTAGTAGTATAACTGACTACTAACTCCAAATAATCGATAGTCAATTCACACAATAGTTTACTATAAATATATACTACATCATTTATAATTGGTCACACATGTCATACACACAAATCGTCTTGGAGTCCGTGCTACCGCTGGCTAAAATCTATAGCCTACTTCTCTTCTCTCTCCTCTTCTATCTTTTTTACATATTCTTAGAACTGACTTATAGTCTATTATTGTACATACTCTTATCAACAAAACAGTTGGCTCTTACCGTAGAATTTCACTTATTGTCGGTTACCAAAGTTAACTAGGCTTACCACTGATATGCCGTCAAGGTAAAACCTATTCTACTGCCGCCTCTCTACCATAAAACTGCCATTGGTCAACCATCTCACTTCCTAAAGCCCTACACAAAATCCTAATTATGGGGTTTTACCATGCCTCCTCTCCGCCGTTGGAGGACCAGGCCAGTTTCGAGGCTCACTAGAATTCTTTTAAGAAAAAAGTATAAGCATGTTGGAAAGGGTTGAAACCACCTACCCTTGCACTATCAAGTGCATGCATCTATAGCCACGTGCTGTCATAGTACCGATTAGTGAATTTTTTCTAACCCTTCATGATGTTCTTGTGAAATGTGAATGGCTCAACTTAATTTGTGAGATTTATCGAATGATTTCACCTTCTTTGATATGATTTCATTACATTATTAGCTTTGACTAACTCAAATTTGCCGAGTTTAAGCTCACCAAATTGAAAACCCCAGAAGCTGTCTCTCTAGAAAGTAGAAAGTCCCAACACATACACACGACCGTATACCAAGGATGACAATGATCAAACCAAAGTAGCAAAGGGTGCGAGGACCAAACCAAAGTACAGTAAAGTTTAGGAATCCAAGGAAAGCCGAAACCGATGTCAAACCTGAAACCACGTACGCACTCTGATAAAAGTAGATCGACGAAGCCATCTGATCCACACCGTCGTCTATTTCTTGGCAGTTGGTACATCATATCCAACGACATTGCGTAGTGTGCTACTAGCAAAATAGCATACGATCGAAATCCTCAAAAGCGAAAGGCTTGCAAAACGTCGCCGTGGTTACCACGCTCGCGTGTAGTCGTCGCTTTGGATCGAGCAGCTAGCTAGCAGCGCCGATGAACACCAGGGAAAAGTACTGTGAAAAAGATGATTGACAAAAGGCTACGTGTCCCTGCATGCCCTGGCAACGATTTGTCATTTTCAAGCCTAGCGGCCGGCACGGCACACGGGGAATTGCTATCTAGCTAGCTTTGGTTTTACATATATATTCGATGCAGACGTATAGGCTGTCCCACACACGGTCTACACTGCTTGTAGGAGGAGCCAATGCTGTGGTTACTGCAATTCTGAGGCTCTGAGAGGGAGGGAAGAAATGTCTTAATTTCTTTCATTGTTTCCCCCCTCAAAAATCGGATGCCATTTCGATCTGTGTCCTCATCTCTTGCCTGTGATCAATCTCGATCGGGCCCAAAAACCGTCTGTGAGGCTCCTGCATGCAAACTGCAATTGCCTACGGACTTACGTGTTTGTTCATCAGAAAACATTATCTATTCATATTTCTTTGCTCTTTCAAAAAACAGAAGTTGAGTGTGATGCTACATTATGCTATACAGCCTACACATCCTTTTAACGTGCTAGCTAAATGCCCGTACTTTGCTACACGGTTAAACGAAAAATGTATTGATATGTTGTCTATCTTTTTGCTATAGAGAATATTCATCTTAATCTAATTTTTTATGTGGCTAATCCATTTAGATTTGATATTTTTTTAATATGAAGAAATTTAAAGGCTAACTTGCAAAATTTACAATGTGAGTAGGTGGGGTGGCAGATTCACTGCCGCCACCACTACCTTTTTTAAAATGGGTATAAGTTTAATGTTGCAATTGCTTATGTTCTATGTTTATACACTATATTTTTATTAAACAACTGCAACATGCATATGGTACAATCTTCTCTAGATTTGATTATATTTATTTGTTATTTGTATTCCATTACAACGTGTGATTCCATACTTTGATAATTTTTGTATATCTACTTTTTTTATATAATGAAATTGATTTCAGACTTTGTTTCATATGAGTTAGAACCAATTCTTACATATATTATAGGTCGAATGACCACAAATTATAAAAACATAGCCTGATTAAAAACAAAAAAGAAACTACTTAGACTACAAACCTAAAGAAAGAGATGAAACAAAAAAAAACTTTTTTTTAACGGAAAATAGCTCTAGAGTGCCTTTTTATTGAATAGAGCAAGAGAAAAAAAAACTTTAGCTGGTGAGAATCTATATAACTGTTGTTTCCTAATGGCTTGTACACTGTATGTAGTAATTGTCTTCCTGAAACAAAGAAACTGAATCTCTGAAAACATTAGCCGATTAATTATTACCGATTGATTTCAACACATCACCGATGACCAGAACCACAACAAAAGATAATGTTGGAGATAACTAAGATGTAAATTAATCAGTTGTTCGTCCAGATCTTGCCATCGCCCATCGCCCTAACCATCGAAGCCGATTTGGCGGAGACATCGCCACCAAGACGTCGCACCAACATGAGACTTCCAAGAAGGTCGTAACATATATAATATCACCGTCGCTGGGCTTTTACTTGAAGAATCCACTCAAAAATGACAAAGGTAAGACAGTAAATTACAACATCATCTCCGGAAAGGTGTGTGTCGTCTACCGGCGTCACCGCGTCATCGATGTCGGAAGTTACCCTCGTTCTCGGATCAGGTTACCCCAGCACACTGTCAGCGGCAACCCTCACTACACTGCAGAATCCTCTCGTGATCAGAGGTTGAAGACGATGAATAGTGAAATCGCCAAGTGTTCGACACGGGTTTTTTGGTGCTGCGCAACAACTTACAGCGTTTTCTGTTTACTTCATATATAAAGAAGATTACATGCTAACTGAAAAACGAGAAGAAAAAGGAAGTGCTGAAGTGGCCTCCGCTATGTGCGCCAGTACTCCCTAATGACGTGCGCCATCCCCCACGTCGA